AAAATTAAAAAAACAAATATGCAAAAATATATTTTTCACATTGAATTAATCGCAGATCGGACGAGAATGCATTCTCAAATACGAAAGTAGAAAATGATTTCCATTAAGCAGTGACATTCCAGAACTGGAATCTTCTTTCTAAAATGAGCACAAGTTGCTAAAACGACAACTGCACAACAAGATGAAGTGGCATGGCATGCTGCAGTGCATACCAACAACATCCTGCATTCCACTTCGCGAGGGATCGATTGATGTACTGCAATATGATGCTTCCTAACTGACTGTAAAGCGGCGGCAATTGACGAGTGTCGATTAATCTGTTCTAATAGTAATGGATTGATCGACAGTTGCTGAAGAATTTACTGATGGCAAGACAAAGACGCATTACAGGGAATATATGGTAATGCAAAACAAGTATCACAAAAAAAAAATATGAAAATGTCTTTTTAACACTTGAATGAAGGACATTCAAGAACTCGAGTTTTTAGTAGCAGTTTTGGGAAGGTATAAGGGGCTAAAGGTAAAGATTCCAGCTGGTGCAAGAGATGTTGCTAATTCGGTGAAAATGTTAACTGTGTTAAACACATTTTTTATAAATATTTCGAGATAATATGTGGAAAGATAAAAGATAAAATTGCGATGAATCATTTCGAAGATTTAATCTTAATGATAAATGAAAAGGAATCAAATAGTTTTGTCTTCACAAAGTAAACAAAGAAAAAACGAAAAACTTTCTAATAATAGTTCGCAACAATGATTTGAAGCAATTTGTTCCCATTATGGACAAAGATAATAAAAACAAGAGACATTGGTGACACTGCATTTCTTCACAAGTAGTATTCATTACTACTGAGCCAAGAATGAAATGGAATCATCATTTGCTGGGCTGGGCCATTACAATTATTTCCAGGCTTGATTAACTTTTCGCATATCTCAATAGTGTAAGACGCTATTATTTTCAGAATTATTACTCGCTAGTTTCTTTTATGTAGACCACGTCCTCGATTTCACCTGAAACTTTATGGCTTGTTTAAAGCTTATTGACAAATGGTTTTAATGAGAAACACATAACTTGTAGCTCTCTAATAATATCCCTAACCTTTATCTAAGATCTATGCTCCTGGATAGTGTCACTCTTCCTGTCATTTCTATTAATTACTAACTTTCGTTTAATCTCTTACAAAATGGCAAAGGATTGTTGAAATCTGCAAAAATGCTTTCAATGAGATATTTCATGTCACAAATATTCGAGCGCAAATAATAATAGCAAAGTTCAACTAAAAAAATCTCATCGCTGCAAAAGTTCGAAAAAATTTATCGAATGTAAAATAAATAAATGATTGATTCCTGCAGCAATAGTTTCTCTTTACAACAATTACTTTCATTTACAAAAAAATTTTTTTTCTGGAAAAAGAAACAAATGACGTTGATAGCTGAAACTGGCAAATAATCCAATGATTATAAATAAATTTTGGTTTTCTGAAACAAAAAATAAATAAAAAGATAAGTAGATATTAATGAAGATGTCAACCAAAAATATATTAATGGATGATATGGATGGTTAACATTCAGGACTAAGTGATACCTGAAGCAAAAATGATTCTATTTGGGCCAGAGGCGGAAAAAGGACAATCTTAAAGTGCCGATATGGAAAGCCGTAACTGTTGGCAATCAAAAAAAAAAAAGAATAAAAAATAAATAAAAAAACAAAATCTCTTTTAAATATCAAAAAGACTAGAAGCAATAACAAGTATAAATTTATTTAAGATAAATAAATATAGTAAAATAATTCACAATCGGATTTCTATGCATATAGATTCGCGTCCTTTCTCTTCTTTCTCTACATCGAAAATGCCTATCATGGATTCAGGCCCATTCCTATATTCAAGCAACAGCCACACTGGCCAGATGTCTTCCTCAAAATATAAACCAAAGGAATGACAAATTGCAAGCCTTATCAGTCTTCACCTCCTTTTTTTTCCTTTTTTGAGAATATGACAAGAAAGACAGTGGAAAGGCTGAATGTAGCAGTACAACTAATAATTCATCTTTTTTATTCCAAAAAAAGAAAAAGGAACATTGGAAGAGGAAATTGAAAAATAAAATGTAAAAAAGAAATAAGTCAAAAACGCGCAGAATGCGAAACAGAGAGAAAGAAAGAAAGAACGAAAGACAAAGAATTAATTGTTTGATATATTCTGCAGTAATCCTGGATAAACAATAAATAAACAACGTAAATTTATGGAAGGAAACCATTTACAGAAGAATTTTCAACCTGAAGCAGAGAAGAAAATAAGGAAACATGAGAGAATTACGATCACTTGCGCTGTTTTTTTTTCTTTTTAATATCAAGTGGTAAGAGATGGCAGTACCGCGGAATACCGGGAGGAAGTTCTTAAGTGTAGCGTTTCACTTCATTAAAGGATTTGAGGCCGAAGTTTTGAAAAATTTTCTTAGTTGCCTTATGAATAATTCATTATGGGCTAGAATACTTTTCCACTTACAAGCAAGGTGCATTATTGTGCTAACATTTTATACTAATGTTTTTATAATGAATAAGAAAGTAAATCGCAAGCAAATATAAAATGTAATATTGGAAACAATTGGGATGACCGTAGTTTAGGGAAATGTACTGCGAGTGTAGAAGTGTCGGGAAATTCTCATAACAGTGATCATAAACGTAGCATAATGATTGTTACACGACAGTCATTATACTGGCATTAAACTGGTGACAACTGCTACAATGTCATCTCTTCTATTAACAGAGCCGCGCTTTTTCCATCCTTTTTCGAGTGGTTCGACGACAATATTCAAATCTATGGTCTATGGTTAATCTTTGCAAGAAAGAATGGAATAGTCTCCCACACTCTAAAAACGAGGAAAAATGAAGAGAATGTTTGTTTAAAAGCAATGTTCTACGCAAATATATGAGATTTGAGATTACTATATTTCAATCAATATTTCTAACCAAGTAATACACATGAATATATACGAGAGAAGGAGTAAATCGAAACAGATTTTCCAAATATTGAATTACAGGGACTATTTACTTATCATATTGACTTATTGTTAAGTTGTTTCATTCTGAGTGATCCTTAGTTAAAAGTTGTCAATATTAAAGTGATTTCTCGAGAACTGGTGGCACAATATCAATCAAATGTCTCAAGTAGCAATTTGACTAAGAGCATTTGATTATAGCTGCATTTAGCGGAAACATAAGTTAAACTTAGATAAACAAGTCATTTATGTTGACCATATAGATCTATGTGAAGACTCACATCTGTGTCTATAAATGAAAATGAGCTATGAATCCCAACACTGAAAAAAAAATGCGTTTTTAAATTGTTTTACGTTTTTTAAATTTTAAGTTTTCTAAAGCCTGTCGGAACAGGAAAAGAGGTGAAATAATCCGATAGGATAAGCATAAAAGAGGTTCGTCTTTATTCTTTGTCCATTTTGAATCAATTAAACCAAAACGAAACAAATTTAAAAGGAATGATTTATTTCACCTAAGAGAGAAATCTGTTTCAGTTTTAATGACCAATATTTGGAGTGGGTGAGTGGACAGAGGTGCAAATGACTGTCCCAGGTGTCATCATAATGATGGAAAGCAATAATGAGAAAGGGAAGTAATTATTGGATTATCTAAGAGCGGATGGTTGTCAGTGATGATAATAGATAAGAGTAGGATCATCGTATCCACGGTAGTGTAATAAGGACGGAGAAGACCTGCGGCTCTAACTGTTTTTCCACCAAAGTAACGAATGGGATTTTTTTTTCAAAATTTGAAATATTGTAATAGCTTGCATTAGCAAGATAAGATGGCACGCAGAGGGGTCACGGGTCTTAACCTCTGACAAATCAGTGAGTAGGATCGATTCAATTTTGTTTAAAATATGACAGTGCGAAATGAATGAGTGGCCCAGTTGATGCTACAACGATCGCCGTCTGTGCAGGTCTGTCCGTCCAAAGAGTGATCAGCGGTCGATCGGTTGCTCTCAGAGACGTAAAGAGGGACAGAGAGAGAGAGAGAGTGAAGCAAGATATTGGAGAGAAAGGAAGGTTGGCCATAGGTCGTGACAGTCGTCAGCTCCACCCTGCTGGCTGCTGCTTTGGCCGTTTTATCCGTCCGACCCATCTTGACCGAATGCCCAGATCTATGGCAGTAGAGTTGCTAACTGAGTAATAGCGACCGATCAATAAACAGAGACATATTTCCTTGTTTACTATACAAATAGATAGATTGCCTTTGAAATAGCTTTGCTGTTTGGATGAAAATAAATTGTCTGAGTTTAATGTGACAATAACAAATTGACTCATTGCAACCAATTTGCATAGGGTGTGGGGGGCCTTAGGCTGTGATCACACCACGGTTATTTCTTCAATATAGTGCAAATTCACTTCCTGCTGTTAGCAGCCAGGAAATTTCTTTTATATCATTGCGGTAAATATTACTTTCGAATTGAAAGACTCATTCCCTTCAAACATTCCACAACTTTTTATGTAAAAAGAGGAGTTTATCGTTGATATGAAATGAAGTTCATTCATTGCAACAGTACTTGTTTACAGGAAAATTGTTGTCACTTTTTAAGCAATTTCTAAAGCCTAAATTTAAGAGCAGTGAATATATTTTACAGCAAGCAGAAACTCACTGATATTTTTTTTTTAAATTTATAAATATAGTGCATGAAATCGCTGCTATAAATACTATAACAATACAATTAATAAATAGAAGTCAGTTAAAACATATCAAATTAAGTATCGAAAAATCTGAGAAATAATTGGAAAAAAATGATAAAAATAATACTTGTTCTTGAATTGTTTACAGTTCCCGAAGCTTCGAAAAATAAATTCTAATAGTGCGACAATATTTATGCAAATTATTGTTGTACATTTGTGAGAATGAGAAAATACAATTTATTTTTGTGTTACTAATAGATTTGGCCTATTTAATAAAAGAGACAAAAGATTATGCTCATTTGATAGTTTATAACAACGATATGGTGGGACAGGGGAAGACGATAATTTGTTTAGTGGGGTTCAAAGCAATGAATAGACCTATCAATAAACAATGTGATATGAATAGCTTATCTGTTCTAATCGAATATTTTGTGCCTTTTTATGAGATATTTCCTTAGAAATTAGGTTTTGATGTTAAAAAATTACTGTTATTACTGCTAACTAAAGGACAGATAGGCGGCTATCAAGAAGGATTGATACATCTTTGGCTTGGGCCATCTCCATTAAATAATCTAACATTTGCAGGCATCCGTAATGTGCAAACTAAGTTCAAGAAATGTTCAATTGAAGAGACTTGAAGTTTTAATTTACTCTTCTAATTTGTACTGAAGTTTTGGAATTACACGTTTTGAGTTGATTGTTTAATACAATACTGGGAAATGTTACCGAAAATATATTAACTCATCAAAATCAAAACTCATTTTTCTTTAGAAATGGACAGACCCATTTTCATATGGAAATTCCCGGAATTTTTATATCTTCGGAAAATAAATTGGAGTTAAAAAGCTATGCATGTTTGATATCAAATTAATTCTTTGATAAATATTTGTTGCATTTCCATTCGCAATACAAATAAATTAGTTGTGGGTGGGACAATCATTATTATAAATTAGAAATTTTTTGAGCAACATTCTTTTACTATGATTTGTAAATAGAAATAGTCTTATAAAGAACTTTTAAGATGTTCAAAACATCAGAGAGAAAGTGTTTAAAACATGCTGAAATTACATATCAAATATTTCCGATTCGGAATTTGTTGAAAATTACTTGAGCCTATTGATGCCTAGATAATGTAAACCAAAGGATGAGGACAGTATGTCAAAGAGTTTAAAAAAAAAAAAAAAATATGAAATGCTTTTCATTCACGAATACAAATTTTGTCTTAATTGGTTGCTTGTATTTCAGAAGCGTTGCTATGCTTTTACTTTAGCGCTGCTCTCATCCCACCACTTGCAATTTACACTTTATAACTTAGTCTCATTGCTGGAATGCAATACATCTTTCTTATCATTCTTATCAATATTTAAAAGTCACTGATTGATACATATACGAAAGTAATTTCGTTTTGTTGTACAGTTGTGTCCTATTAAGACTTAAACTACAGAGAAAGGTATTGTTTCCGGTCATACTAATACATAATTCTTTGCTTACATACAGTTTTTATTAATAGTGATGAGAATATTAAAAGTGATATTGATAGCATGTAGTAGTGATAAGAAGAATGATAAAAGTATCCAATGATTCAGCTGTAACAGTATTCGCTTCAAAAATACAACAAATATAGTTGCACTGTGCAAGCATGATAGTAACTATTTAATTAGGTGTCAACCTAATATCTGTATTATTACAGCAAATCTTTTTTATAATGTAAGCAGAAATGACTGAAGTATGAATAAATAAAGTTTGAAGTTCAATAATAGCAAGAAACGATTAAATATTATTTAACTCTCCATTTTACATAATTTACCTTTCTACTTTTACTATAAAAAAGGTTTTTTGTTAAAAGTAGTTTAAAAGTAAAATGAGAAATGATTTTAAAGAATAAATTGCTTTTGCCCTTGAATCAACCAATCGACCACTTACGCCATAACATATGGGACACAGCTGAATGGGAGAGGGAGAGAAGGAGTTTTTGAAGGTGATGATGATGATGATGGTGATGATGATGCATTATTATAAAGAGGGAAGGAATTGCATAAATTACAGAAGTAGTAGAGTGCATAAATAGGATTAGGCTGAGAACAATGGATGAGAGAATCTAAGAATGGGCCTAGAATGAATCGATGCAAGAATGGGCCTAAAATGAATCGCTGCAGCAGTGTGCCTTAAACAAATTGTTTGTTTAAAATAGCTCAAAATAAGTAAGCTGTGAAATCTTGAAAAGTGCATTCATTTTTGTTTGTTAGTAGCCCATTTGGAAGAAGGAAAAGAATATATCGTGCAACATGAAAACAGCCTAAGTTATGCAAATTAGCAAATGTGAAAAATCTTGGATAATTCAATGATTTCAATGTCGAACAACTGAAAAGTTTGAGTTATTGACATTTTATTTTCAAACTCTTTTTCCTTAATATTCATATAGAAAAACTGAAAACTTGAATTAAGTTATTCAAATAATTTAAATCCCATTATTAAAACGCTTGTAAAAAGTATGAAAAGAATAGCACCAAAGTCTCAGATAAAAAAGTGACTGAATGAAGTTAGAGGGCATTTATATGTGTTGGAGTGTTATGAAGATAAGTAAAAATCCTACTTATGCTGTTTTAAATTTCAAACATTTAAAGTTCTCTCACAAAATCCAGGCTCAAATAAACTTAGTTAATTGGACATAAAATTATAATAACTTCATTTATCTAAATTTTTATTACTATTGTCATCCATTATCACCTATAACAATTCATGCATATATAGGTTCTATCCCCTGTGAATTAAATTAAGCCTTTCGATATAATTTATCCCTTCTAGAATTTGCTCTGCAAATTAAACCAAAAAGAAATAAATAAGAACGAAAATTCATAAGTATAGGAAATGTTTTGCAAAATAACGAGTTTCACTCTCATAATAACAAATGAATCATTTTTTCTCAGGGGACTTCCATCAATATAATTGGAATAAGAAAACAAACTGCTCATTTACGTTCTCAGTGCTATTTCAGGGCACACAAAGTAAGTATCTCTTTAGTATTCTTAAAATTTTGATTCTTTGATTCTTTTTTCAAGCGCAAAAATTTCGTAAAGTTTCATAATAAAAAGCAATTAAAATTCACGAGCTTAGTTAAAATCAATGTTACTTAAAAGTCGGTCATTTCCAAGCCAAATGTATCTGTTTCAGTAATCCATCCTTATCAAGATATAAGCCCGGTTCAAAATCCTTGGCTTCTTTTTCAAATGAAAATAATAAACAGGAGAAGATCACGATTTTATTGCCTTTTTTTTGAATGCAAGTCGGGAAACAACATCAAGAAGAAGGAGGTACACTTTAAAAATTAAGGAAGTTAATTGGATATATATTATTGAAGTCATTGAAGTGATAGAACATTGCAGAATGAGCTACGACATTTGCGCTTATCAGTAACAAATCTCTTAGATCCTTTCCTGATCAATTGCAATTCCATAACAAAATCAACTGTTTGCTAAAGATAAAATGCACTAATTTCTTAAGATTAAGATTAGCTCTAACTTATTATTTTACCACTAACAATTACTAGTACAAACAGAGAAAGCCGAAAAGTTTGCTTCGCTGATTGTTAGTTGGTAAGTTCAAGAAAATAAAATGATTTGGCAAAGAAGCTGGTGACCTTTTGAAAAACAAGGTTAGCTTTTTTAAAAAAAAAATAACGGCTTGAGCATTTAATGTCATTTTATTGAAGAAATTTGGGAAAGTTACAATTAATTTGCTTTGGAGATACTTAACCATTCCTAATGAAAAAGGTTAATTAAAAATGGATGGAAGTTGAAAGCATAGGACATGTACCCAATGAAAGAATATTATAATCTCAGTATAGTTGATGGATCTAGTTAATCACATCGTGAGTTTTCTTTACCTTCTTTTTTTTAACTTAAAGAAATAAAACAAAATTATATATCTGTTGCTATAAGACATCATATTGGCAAGTACAGCTATTTCTATGGGATTAGAGTGAATGAAATTGGCCTTAAGGTAGCTAAATCAAATAAAATTTAGTTGCTTTGAAGCCTTTAAATACCCTTATTTTATTTAATTTGATTTATTTAATATCTTAATGCTAGCATTAATTTATTTCTGTTTCATAGGAATTGTCCAGATTTGAAGGAATGTGTTCTAACCTTTGTTGTCACTTTACGTTTGACATGAGCTCAATATGAATGCTTTATCGTAATGACAAAAGAAAATCGACTTAAAGAATTGACTCTGATACGCACACGTGGACACGAGATACATGCATACACGTATCACAAATATTAATAAAATCTTAGCGAACTGACTTTCATACAAGCCATCAGGCAGAATAATTAGGGAATCACTACGCATGTTTGAACTACTTGCAATAGTTAAACAATAAAAATAGCATTAATTGCAGCAACAATGAGATCACAGTGTAAAAAGTAATGAAATGCCAAATTAACAACAATAGCCAAAGAGTTCGAAGATCAAACAGGAATTAAGACTTTTCACTATGTGTGGGTGCATATTCGTCTAACTTTAGCATACGAACATGAACAAAAAAATGAGAATAATGCAATAAAAATAAACAATTGGAGATAAATATGAAACCGAGATTTCATACAATTTTTATCATTCACAAATGGAAGCAATGATGGAAGAATATGTAAATATTTGGAATTTCTTTCATTGAGTCGACAGTTAATTTCTAATTGAAAAATAACAGAAATCAGTTAAACAAAGTTTTGCATAAAGTTTTAAGAATAATTATTAGTAATAAGAGAATAGCAATGGAAGCACTTCAAAGTATTGGGATGATTCAAGCATTTCTCGATAAGCAAATAAGGCTTTTGTTTACTTCTTGTTTTTCGAAAGTTAATTAACAAAAAGGTTTTGTCATTTCATGCAACATTTGCATCTATTTTATCATTCAGTCTCCAAAAAATAAAAGTAAATGTTAATTATCGAATTGTTGCAGTTGCTTAACAACCAAATCAGCGATCTGTTGATGGGCTTCCTCTATCGGATGAAATGCTCCAAAACTATTTCCTTGTAATCGAATTGAGTCTCGTATGCTCCTAAATTTGTGAATAATTCAGCAGAAATGACATTATAATATTGATTTATATCGAAAGCAATTAGTTTTATACCCTATAAAATGTTAAGTTTTATTTAAATTAAAAGTAGCTCACGACTGTTTTGTTGTTTTTAATATAGATTTAAGTACGCTATTATATTTCTTAGTTATGTGACCTAAATTTAGAAGTTATTAATAATGGGACTGATACTGTCCAATGTGAAACTATCATTTCCAGAAGATGTAGGGATATATCGGAAGAAATCGTTCATATTTCGATTAGGAAATAGACAAGGAATAAATTTACCTAATGAGTGAATTAGAAGAACAACAACCGCGTGATTGGAACAATTCGGCGACTCCTTCAATTGCTGTCCAACCGTATTGTTTCGATTTTTTTGTTATCAGACCATTAATGCGTTGCAAAATTTTTTCCTCGGCTAACATCAAGTTTTCGGTGCTTATCTATGATTATGAACATATAGAATTCTAAAATAAATAGTTCTCGATAAAAGACTAAAAATCTTAAAGGATTTTTCAAAAAAAATTTGAACAAAATTTTTATACAAATACGCAGAAGCGAAAGTTTTACGCTGCTTAAAAAACAAGGAAACGCCACATTGATGGATATTTTTTCACTATAATGAAAATATAGAATTATTTTAAATGATAAGAACAATTCCTTTATCAGCATTTTTACTGTATATCGAGTAAAATAAATATAAAGTTGTACTTGTCGCATGTCAGCGCAATCGGCATCCACCACACCTCGTTCGTTGCGTGTGAGATCGAAGTAATGCGGTATGATGACCTGAACGTTGTAATTAAAATTCTGCAATCTTCAATAGCTGTAATTGTATTAATTACAGTTTATGGTAGAACAAAACTTGAACAGACAAAAGCATAGCAAATTGCACCAGTGAATGCAAAGTTTATGAATTGATCGCATACTTAAATGATACATCAAGTGGAACCTGGCTTGGTTTCAGTTTTTGAATAGCTTTAGCAACTCGATCCAACTGATGTGATGTGTAGAAGAAGCGCATATCAATCGTGGAGAACAAAGGACCTGTTGGACCTCCGATTAGAGTCGAGAGTATTTCTGAATATCCAATGTCATTACCGCCAATTGACATCATCAACAAATCTGGACCAGTGCCTCTGAAAATTTCCCCTTCTGTTAAAAATGTCTGAACAGAGAGAAAAGTGTAGATAACCTTATCTGTGTAATTTGTTCCAGCACATTGATCTGTGATGTACTGTTAATGAGAACCAGAATTCCGTTGTCAACAGATGCTCCGGTACACGGCAAATAGGTGAAGTGTATCGCGTTCTGCTCCAGGATCGTACTACTCAGCCGTTCGAACACTTTATAGGCCCAGGACCGAGAACTTCGATGGCATTGATCTGCAACGTGCAATATTGCTAACGTGCTGATATCTGATACCTGATAATATTTCCATCCTCTTCCTTCTGGTCGCTACATGGAATCAGTGATAAAACAAAGATAGCAGTAATCGGCGCTCTTGCTCATTATCATTTACGACCTCTTTTTCTTGCGCTATCGACTGATACAAAGAGGACAAGGAACATGCATCTTTCGAACTCAAAATTTCCCCTTCCTTTGTTCTCTGATTTCCTCATGGAATAACACTTCCTTAAAGCTAATACTTTTTTGGTCTTTTCCTAAGAAAATTAATGTTATCTAAATGTTATGCAACTACTTGCAATTTGCTTTTCGAACGCTTTGCTTCCACGAAATATTTTTAATTGCTCAGATAATAGAATAAATTTAATTTTTCTTGCACAATGATGACTAATTAAGGTAATTTTAACAAAAAGTGATAAAACTTGGCGTAATCCCAGGACTTCCTCTTTATATTGATCCAGTCCTTTGATGTTGCCGCATATTACTACTTTTTACCAAGTAAGCATCATTTCACTGAATCGGACCGATCACTAAACTCATTCTGCAAGCATTCTTAACTGTATCAGGCAATTATTACATGTAGCCTGGGAGAAGTTCAGATTTAAGCATTAACTTGGGATGTATTAAAATGAATTGTTCAAAGAAGACGCCGCTTAATCATTTCTCTAAATATTATAATAATGATTATTACTATTCAGGCGAAACAATAAGTTCCTCATGTCTATCTAAAGGGCATGGTAAGGTGACATAAAATTAAATCATTGAAGAAATCGAAATTGGAAAAAAACATTCAGCACAAACACGTATACTTTTCCAAACATTGTTACAATTATTTGGGAGAATAGGACCCTCTTAATTTTGCAATTTTGCATCAAAAGAATTAGAAATTGGATAAGGCCTTTTTCTGTTCAGAATTCGTAATATTTGCCTCTCAATATATCAATTTGCTTTTTCAGCTTTTGGACAATTTTAACTATAAAATTTTTGATGTGGTATTAAAATTTTATTACTTGATTGAAATTCCTGCTGCAATAAGGTTCAGCTGTTTTAAAATGTAAGGGATTTTGAAATTTTAAGGAAATGCTCCAACTTGAAAGCCATTTTGCCATCGTCTGATCGAGCGCATTGGCCGGAACATCCGGATTACCCTCTCCAGAAGCAAATGAATCTCCAATCACTCCTATCCAGTAGTCTCGAATTTTGATGCTCACTTCTCCATGGAGAATTTTATGGTCCACAAATTTTACTGATACTTTCACGACGTATTTTGACTGTAAAATGTGATCATTTTTAAATAAAGATTAAAATTATGGTATAAATAAAGGAATAGGTAATGAATGAATGAATATTTTTTGGGTATTCGTAAGTAATAGATTGAAAATAATGTGTAATAACTTGTTTTGGAGCAATCCAAGACGTTTGACATTCCCGTGTACTCCAACAAAATTGTTGGCCATGTTGATCAGAGATTGTCCACTCAAAATTTTGAATCGTTCTATTCTGCCATGTTAGCAATAAACTTGAACAAGCTGACAAATGCACCAAACCGTAATATTTCCGGAAATCGGTAGCTGAGTTTGCAAAAACAGTGCCTCTTCCATTAAGCTTTAATTTCCCAGGTCTATTCCATTTAATTTCAATAAATTCTTCCAAAGATGAGCTGATCTAAAATAATTTTACCAGTTCTCATTAAAAAATAATGCGTAAATTTATGTCATTTTGAAATGAAGATTACAACTAAGAAATTTTGTTGAATGTAAGCATGAAACAATTAAACAATCAGGAAAAGTATTTTATTTTTCTCAAAGATGAACTCTTCCGGAAAACATTTAATGTTGTAATCTATCTGAGAAACAATTATATTTGATTTTAAAGAATGTTATTTAGTACTATGCAGTAGTAATGTAGTAGACATTAAGGCGCTTGAAAGATCATAGAAAAGGTCATTTGTCTATTACACCAAAGGTCACAACTGTCATTGCAAACAGTGCAAAACTGAATTATCATTGCGATGGTGTTAAAGAAATTTAATGAGTGGAATTGAAATACACATCCAAAAGAAAATACAGCTATGGAATTTAGAACTACAAAAAAAATTATCGAAACTATCTATGATTGAAAACAGGAAGCTAAAAGAGAATCGAAAAAATTAAATGTAACTATTTAAATTTGTTTTTGATTCTTCTGATCCTCATTTTTTCGAAGTACAAAAGAAGATATAATTAAATAATACAACATATTTCCTGTTGAACATTTGTTCCAAGTTTGATTGTCTGAACAAATTCCGAAAAGTGTAATGAAAGGCTAATTTTCCATAACAAATTATTAACTAAAAAGAAAGATCAAATTAGAAATCATACCGAATGATCGAAAATGTAGACGACAAGTTTAGGCCAATTATTAATGAGATGGAAGAAAAATACGAAAAGTGATGGTGCAAATGATGCCATGAGCGCATGCAGGTATAAACTTTTAGAGGTGTTAAATTTGTAAATTCCTGAAGAAGAACTGTAACAATTTGCAAATTTTTTTTTGCTACTGCTTTATTTCCAAGGAATTTGATACTCAAATTTTCACTTTTTAAATTCTTAAACTAATCGCTCCCTTCATTCTAAACATCCCTCCAGAAAGTGTATCTTTGATCCGCGTTACTGACGAAGTAACATAACCGAAAGGAAATATTTGTATACCACAATTTTCCAATCACTGTTATCTGTTCAGGGCGATCTCTTGGACAGCGAGCTTTAAGGCAGGTTGACACAGCGGCGCAGCACAAACCCTTCCATGCTTTGACGGATTGACTGAGGTTTCGCTTCTCTTGTCAAGTATATTCACTCTGCTTCACGATTTCTTCAGGATTTCTGAATCTGAAAAGTTGTCGGCAACATCAAAAGGCTGCCATAGCAAACCCTCCCTTAAATCTTTCCTCTAAATTACCTCTTCATACGTCTGTGCCTCTCGAATTCAGTATTCCCTGAGTAATCTCTTCATTCTTAATTATTGCTGAGTAGAGGCATACGCGTTTTACGGCATTCTCTTTTTTCTTTTGCCACATATATTTTTACCGCCACTACTAATATGTTTTATCTCGAGTTAATGTGGCGATAAACAAATTGAGCATGAAAATTACCTCTATCATGTCCTTTGAATAAAATACCTAATGGTATGAGCTTGAGAAATTGAAGACATGATCCCTCAACATGTGAGGTGGCAGAAGGAAGAAGCGATTTCTCTCGAGGAAAAACGTTATCCTCAGATGCTAACTAATTATTATTGATCTTTGATGATTGAACAGTAATGATAGCTTATGCTCATAAAATTTTGTCTTTTTCTTGATACGGAGATCCATCGATAGACATCCAACATAACTGATTCAATTAAACTATTGCTAACGAAATATCAAAGAAACTGCCGCTTTATTGGCTAACACTTTTGCAAGAAATTGGTTGGAACGTCATTCAATGAAAGTTAGTTAAAAACAACGAAAATCCATTTTCACTTCCTCTTCTCTTTCTCCAGCAACTAATTATTTCAATCGAAAACCATCTGATTCTCTTATCTACTCATATCAGGAAATAAAAGTTGATGCCATCTTCTTGAGAGGAAGCGGAAAATAATGGTGTTCACGTAATGGTGTCATAACTTTTTCATCTTAGATAGATTCAAATCGATTAAATGCTCTCTTAGCTTAAAATTGACATTTCATAAGCTATTTATGCATCTTATTGGTTGAATTTTAAAGAAATAGAGTTCTTTTGGGTTAATTATGATTAAGAATGTTTAACTCTCAAACGTAATTACATCAATCCATGGATTTGTTGCATTTACTTCAATTGGTTCTTAAAAAAGAATCCTTAGCTTCAATTACAAATAGCAGTTTTTTAAACAAAAATTTGCATAATAAGTATTTGAGTATAACAATAATAATAATAAGGTTGCAAGAAGAACTAAAAGCATTCAAATTAAGTGCCTCTTTTTGGATGGGTGACTTGCGGAAGGGTTTCAAAGTAAATACTTGTGACAGTTTATCCGAGAAGGTCACTGTGGATGGAAGAAATGTGTTGCTGCAAGTTGAGAGGGATGAAGATTTTGTGATGCCCTCAAGGGTAAACCCGTGCTTGAAATATAGCATCTTCACGTTTAGCTACATCTTTCTGCTGCTTTCTGTTGGATTGCTGACTTTGGGTATCTGGGCGCAAACAGCTAAATCTGGAGTACTGTTCAGTTTGAAGAAGTTTGATTCTAAGAAGATTGCTCTTCTATTGGACCCAACCGTTCTCATTTTTCTTACCGGTATTATCACCATAATAATCAGTTTCTGTGGAGCTGTTGGTAAGTTTTCTTTGACAAATTCGACATCTAATCAACTTATAAATCTGATTGTGAAAAAAAGCTATGACAGAGAGTGTAAAATTAGGATATTGCAAATGAATTTGGTTCATTTTCTAAAGAAAATATATATTTTGGCATCTGATAATGATTCACTTCTCGAGAATTTATTCATCACTGATTATTTTTACTACTTTGCTGCTTTTTTATAAAATTGTTGAATTTCAGGAAGCTTACGAGACAACTGTTTCTATCTGATGCTTTATGTATGCATGTTGGGTTTCATAATAATAACTTATTTTATGCTAATTATAACTGCTGTATTTATTAGCCGTGTATTACTGAATGTGGTGGAGACGACGATCCAGGATACCATTATACTGTATCGTGATGAACCAGACTTGCAGCTTTTAGTGGACTGGATACAAACTACTGTTAAATGTTGTGGTGCTTTCTCACCTCATGACTGGAATAATAATATCTATTTCAGGTAAATATCTTCTAATTAGATTGTGAATTAATAGTTGCTTGATTTTATCGAAAGCACTTAGAGATGTACTTTAAGAGAGTTCTTTATTGCAAATGAGATGAAAGACTTTCTCATAATTAATGAGATAGGATCAGTCCTTATCCTTCTTATAGTTATCTTTAGATATTCAAATTTCAGTGATGCGAATATATTGAGAACATACGAGTCGTTAGAAGCTGGTGGTGTACCATTTTCTTGTTGTAAAGAAACGAAGTCAACAACGGCTTCGCTTTCAAATATGTTCTGCGGTATAGGTGCTCGTATACCACCACCGTTTGCACCGTTAGATGATAAAGGCATGTTTTTGCGGGATGACATTCATCAGCAGGGTTGCATCGAAATGATTAAGGAATTCCTGATCAGGAATATTTTATACATTACTCCAGCTATCTTTATCTTCCTTATAATTCAATTGTTTTGTCTTTTTTCTGCATACATCTTGCAAAATCAAATTTTTGAACAGCGAGAAGATTGGTATAGCACTCAAAAATTAAAAGTTTTTGTCTATGAGCAGTAAAATAGTCTTTCTATCTATTATAATCATTAAAACTGCTACTTTTTGCTTGTAAATTCTTGTTCTTTTTGTTATTTCCTATTAAATTTTATCTAAATTTGATAAAAAATTTTGGATTTTAAAGCAGCAACAAGTAGATAATTTAAAAGTAAATAATTTTAAATCAACTAAATTTTACAAATCAATTTGTATTTCAAGAATCCCTAACTAAAAATTCTCCAAATCGATTTGACTTTTGCCTATAACGAATACGATTGAAAAGTATTAGTATATTAATAGCAAACTTTATTGTTATGCTTTGGATTCGTATAGTTTATGTTATCAAAATTGTAATATCCACGTAATTATGCAATTATTTTTGTATTTATATCCGCCTTGCAACAAAAAGCAAAAGAATTATATAAGTAATATGATTAAATTTTATACATCTATGAGTCACTGATATCGAAGTATTATGAAAAATATTGCCAACGAAATAAAAAAGAAAAAAATTGGCCTATTTTGGTCTCAGTTTTTCGTTTCTCTTCAGAATGGCAATATTGTTTGGGACAGTTTTTGAAGACCAAAGATAACGAATTCAATGATAAAACATTTTAGCAGACAAAAAGCATTGTTGCTCATTAGTGTAAATTATATATTAATGCAAATTACAAATGATCAAAGTGAAAAACTCAAGTAGGATAAAGTAACCAACAAATTCAGTAGTTACAAATCCAACCGGAATAAACTTTTCGAAAATAGCCTTAGACTATTAAGCCTTAACACATGCAAAAAAAGAAGCAATAGATTTTAAACAAAAATTCTCAAATTTAAAAAATAAGTTATTGCAATAGTTAGTAAAAAAAAAAGCAATAAATGAAAAAATAGTTTATTCGGCTCAAATTGTGGAAGCGCAAAAATTGAAGCTTATATCAATTTATTCTACTATCTATAGATATTCTTAAACCGAAATGGAAGCCTAAATTTAAATAACTTACAGATGCATGACTGGATAAGATATAAAACTGGACTAGTCCTTAAATAGGACTGCTACTTGATACTCTCAGACACATCCATATTCGTACCATACAGTACCAATTTCTGAATCAGTGGATATGTCATTGTGATTAACATTCTCGTAGACACTAATTACCTTCTCATTCCGCTCCGCCTTATCTCGAATGACACTTCTTTCTTCATCTTTTTGACACAGCACGAACTCACTGTGCTCTAATTTAGGTGTTGATGTCTCCTTTGGCGAAAATTCGGCATTTCGTTTCGTAGGTGTCTGGAATTCCGAAAAAGAACATCATTTTGACAGTATAATCGGTTCTGATTGAATATCATGAAATAATAATATAAATCGTATGGTTTATTTTTCACATAATTTTCCTAATGACATAAGATATAAGTAAATAATTTTACCGTTCGTCCCTTATACGGTGGCGGTGGTGGTTTATTGTTAACTGCTGGTTGTTTTGTGCAATTTTTTGGTTCATATGTTGGAGGAAGTAATCTACTGTGCAAGGATCGGCCGACCGAATTTGATCGAGATAGAGGACGTGGTGGTAGGGAGGGCACATCTACGCCACGTTCGGAACCTGAGAAAAGCAAATTTTTAAATTCATTTCAGAAAATTATTTTAAACTGTTTGAAAAGTGTAGAAGTCACTACCATTCAAACTAATAACATCAACGGATCGTTCGTTGAAAGGAATAGTACGTCGCATCAATGAATATTCGGCATGAAAGACATTCCTCATAAAAGTCCGAGGAGAATGCGTCGAACTATCCTTGCAATCCGAATTTGCCTGTGTCCCTGAAATGGCACAAACCCTGAAATGAAATCTTTCCTCTTAACAAATCAATGCGAATTTATTATTCATGGAAAAGATGCACCATACACATCGTCCATGTATGATATATGTGGTACATACTTCCATTACCATTTTGTCGCAAGTCGCAGTTCCTATTGATAAGTGTTAATTCATCGGATGAACTGCAAGGCTGATCATCCAGAAATGAGCAATGTCCTGAATAGGATATAATCTTTTATTTGCTAGAAAGGAGCTAGTAATTTCAGGGTTTCTGAATAATTAAATTATGACATAAGCAATGAATGTATCAATTTTACTGCATATGAATCCGACGATAGCAAGTGCACTATCAAATGCAAATGAACTAGTAGGGTACCGCGCTAATGTTAATTTAGAATAGCATCAATATGAAGACATGAGATATGGTGCTTGGCTAAATGTAGAAAGTTAAACTAATCTGAAAGTCTGAATGTCGCATACCGACAAGTGTTTCAGAACAAGAACAGGTGAGCAAGCAAATCATACGCTAACAAATTTTATTTTCTGTTTGTAAGGAAATCACAGTACAAGTTGTTTCCGTACAAACATGGAATAGTTGATTACCGGATAAATAATTCGGAAAGGGAATGACATCTTTCCTCCTATAATAGCAATCCTCATCTTGTGCCAGTGAAAAATTTGCTCATTCATAATTTTAATATTTTAATCTCTAAATCATTTCGTTCATATTTAACAATCAATTTGAAAAACTTTGAAACAAATTCGGCAGTGCAATAGAAACTGAACCAAGAACTTTCAAACTTAGCCTTCGCAGTGAAATTCAATTTAGAGCATGTGAACAAATGCAAAAATATAGCGCTACGATGAAAATTATCGGACTGAAAAGGATGAAATATAATATTTCAATATGTAAGATTAATGCTTTAACTTCCGGTCATCCTTTTTTCCTTTTAACCCGAAACAATCAATCTCTCTAGACCATCAAAATATATCCAAGTATAAATTGTTTGCAAGACTATGCTCTCGTGTTGCTATAACGAATAAGTGCACAATTTTTGCATGCAAGAAAATAAAACGCAGGCAAATTATGAATGAATAACAATGCGACAATGGCGTAATGTGACATTAAACTTCATATCGTGCAGCATCAGTTGTAATTAAGAGCGCTCAGAAATTCTTCAACTATTAACCCTGAAAATATCAGTTTGGAAGAAATGCTAATATTAAAATATATGACGAAATTGAAGGTCGAATGGCATAATTTGAATACAGACAGTAAACAACAAATATGCAACAAACATAAAAGCATGAAAGATATCTGAGAGGATATTTCAAAACGGAGAAGTTGTCACTCTTGTCACTTATTTTTCTATAAGATTAAAAGATTTATTTGTAAACAACGAACAAATTTAGATAGGCCCAATTACTATAATTAATTTGTACTAACTAGTAATAAAGATAAATTTGAACTTTCTAACAAACATTGTCATAAAAGCTTCTGGGCCTAGTTGACCTTGAAATACGATCTTTGGGTGAAAAAATCAAAGGAAGAACGATCTCGGGCGATCGAAAGGCTGTTGAATGAGTCTCACTGTAACATTCATCTAAAGCAAAACTAGTACAGCGTTTCGGAATAGTAAAACTTAGGCTTTCATTTGGAGTTTTCTTGGAGCTAAGATACGAAATACTGCTAGAATCATTGCTGTAGTTGTTATCTTGGATGACTGTTTCCATACAATGATCACGAATCCTCGGTAACTGACCATTTGTAGAGGCCGTAAGCGGTGAATCTCGTTTTGAAGCTGCTGTCGTCAACGATTCCTTCGCTGGATAAGTGTTATTTTCTTCTGTAGAACCACGGTACATAAATTTTTCAGCAGAAAATATGTTGCCGCTCTCGCCAAGATTCTGAATTGGAATGGATAAATTCAAGATTTCAGCTGACAGAGGTGCTTTAGGAATTAATTCTTGTAAATATTTTATTTAGAAACTTCCGTTTTTCCTTCCTGTCTTGAAAATCACCAGTTTCTTTTTCTAGATAATAATTTACCAATAAGTTAGTTAATAGATATGTATTCGAGTTATTGATTGGCTGATGAGAAATGTCAATAAAAACAAAATTTAGTAAAAAGTGTTTTATAATCTCAAGGTTGCACTCAAACGAAACTATAAAATAACAAAGCAGTAATATCGTCATTATACCTTGGGAATGAGCGTTTTGACGGACACATCCACAGATGTCGGTTTCTCTTTGGTTACATCTTTTCTGTTGTTCAACATTTGATACTGTCCCATTATTTTTCCTTCTAATTGTTCTTTATGACTTCGTAACGACGATAATTTCTCTTGTAAGGTAACTCTCTCCTTCAAAAAACATTGCAAAATTTGTTTTACTTCAATTCTTCTGTGACATATCTTTGGATTAAATTTTGAAATTTTAAGAAGAGCGGAACAAAGCCTGGAAAAGGAATGAAGCAGTAAGGAATTATCATGTTTACTTTTACCAACAGAATGTTAAGTTAAAATCAATTTTTGTACCCTAAACAACATTACGTCCGAAATTTCAGGATGTAAAAAATTTTGAGCAGCACCTGAAAATCTTTTTGTACATTCTGATAAGTATCCTTATTATTCAATATTCTGCTAAGAAGGTTCTGGTTTTCTGCTAATAGATGATTAACTTGTCGATCCAAAATGCGACTTTCTTCTTCCAATGTTTTATTCAGATGTGCAAACAACTGAAAGTAGCCATAATCAAATAAAGTTATCAGGCAATGGTCTTCAAGCTGCCCTCACAGCAATAAGTTTATTATTATTTATAAATATTATTATCTCTGGAAACTAGAGAATAGAATTTTGTCTCAAAATTTTAAAAGTAAAAAAAGGCACAGGTAATATAATATAACAATAAGCCGTATCTGAACCTCAATTTTCTGAAGTAATTCTGTGATTTCTAAATTCCGAGCTTGTAGCTTTCGTTGCAAATCTTCAATTTGTGCTGTCAAACGTTCTTTAATTGTGCGCTGATTTTGCTCAGCAAATCGAAGCTTTCGTAATTCGTCCTCACTGAGTTGTGCATTTCGTGCCATTGAAATATTATCTTTTCTACAAAATTCGATTTTAAAACGAGTAATAAATTTTGAAAGTCTTACAATTAAACCCAAAAACACTTACCGTATTTGTTCATAAGTATTACGCAGTGCCATCATATCACTTCGCATAATTTTTATTTCACGATCACGTCGTTCGCGTTCCTCTGCAAGCGTTAATTTTAATTCCTCAAACTGCCGACGTTCGTTTAAAACTTCTTCGGTAGTTCCCTGTAATTATAGAAAACATTAAAAAGGCAAATTAAAATGTCCTCCAAATTTTCCTCAAATATATTGAAACATTAAAATTGCAGAAAACTCCTAAATTACTTCAAAAATATACTTTATGATTCTTTAATTTAATATTTAACAACGTATTATCATATTTGGCACGATCGTAATCAGCACTAAGCATATCGTGCAATGTTTGCAACCGGTCGTGATCCATTAGAAGTGCATTGTGCATTGATTGCAATGATTCCTGAAAAGTTCGCATATAATCGAGATATCCTGATTAAGGCGATAATTGTAAATATGAGCAAATCCCGACCATTTAAAACTTACGAAATCAGTTTTTGTGGCTAATTTTTCTTCCTCACAAATTTTAAGCTGTTTTTGCATTTCTGCATTGTCCTGTCTTAATAGCTCCTCCTGCAATAAATTAAGTTCCGTCAGTTTTAAAATTCTTCATGGTTTTTTTTTTTTTCTTGGATTTCCTTGATAATTTTGATTATGAGATTTAGCACTGTACAACAAACCTGAAGTTGAAGATTTCGCAAGGAAACTTGAAGTTTAGCGAGTTCAGTATGCAATTTATTGCGGTTTGCCTGAAATTTGCAAGAATGAAAATAATATTTTTAACAGCAATCATTTGACAAGACAAAAAAAAAAGCATATCTGAATAGAAACATTTTGTGGGCATGAAATCCTGATCTCCATAATGCAGTAACTTGCAAAAGAACTATAAATTGACTAGCAAAGATATCACCAATAATGATTCATACAATGAAGGGAATGGGTAATTGATTAGAATTAAAATAAAACACACAAAACGTAATATTAGAAAAAGATGGATGTCAATAAATGTTAAATTAAATATGTAAACAATTTCTAAATTTTATGATAAAGAAGCAAACAGTAGCTGTGACAGAGACAGTGATAATACTGATAACTCACGAACTTCCTTACGGGTCATTAATGCTAGCAGTAATGGTTAGTATAATTTATAAATAACACCACTGCTACTTCAATCCTATAATGATCTGTGAAAATGTTCAAGAGAAAGAATATCATTGCAAGGTCGTAATCATCTTTATCACTAACTCTAGCTTTTATCACGCAATTAATACTTTTATTGCTACCCTCTCTTAGAAACTTCGATAAAGGTAAACCTGCCCATTATGCATTTAATTTACAAATTTATTTAAAACGTATCAATTCCAAGGTGTTATTCTTGTCCAAACATATATTTCTTAATGATTATATTTCTTAAAAAAAAATATACGAATTTGAAACTAAAAATATACGAATCATGTTGAAAAGATGGGAAGAGATATGATACTCTGAATAAAACACCATAAATAAAGTATAAAATAACGAAGAAGAGTAAAAGAGAAAATACCTTTAAGACATTAAACGTCATCTGCCATCATATAGACTGCAAAGACTTTAGATTCAGATTACAATTTGCAAATTGCAATTCTAAGTTGTAATTAACAAACTATAAATCAAGCAAAAGCATGCTATAATCAGCTATAAGTGAAAGGAAGAAGTTTTATTAATTTGAAGTACATGCAAATAACTTACGGCACTTTGCTGTAATTCTTCCAGCTCTCTTTTCAGTGATGTTACTTCACTACATTTCAATGAATTTGCTTGCTGCATTTCACGAATTCGTTCTTGCAAAAGAAATACCTGCAATCACAAATTGCAGGTATTTCTTTTCCTGGTGTTGAACCTATTAGTCCTTTCAGTAGAAGAAGTTCATCACTTGCAAATAAAAATGCATACTTGTTCTTTGATATTTCTATTCTCTGTAGTTAACTGGCGTAAACGATCGTCACTTCCGTTCAAATCACTTTCCGATCGCCTGAAAGTCTATTTAATGATGACCCTTATGGTATTTACTTAATGATAGCCACTACAAACAATTAAGTAATTACGCAACTACAACATAAGTGTCATAAAACGGAAAAGTATAATTCTGAATGTTTTGCAAAGAGTGATATGAACTCATTCATTTAACGGTCAGATCCATTTCTTTTTCATTAGAAAGTTATTAATTAATGAGCTCATCAAATTTGACAGCACTTGAATATTGAGAAGTAATTGATGTAAGATGGCATAAGTGATTATAAGAATTGAGTCACACAGATACCCATTCATTTATTTATCACAGATAAAAGGGTGATAAAATGATAAAAGGAGGAAAATAGAATTCGGTACATTGGGTGGCTCAATTTTAATTACTCTAGCAAACAGAAAAGAGAATTGATAGAAAAGTGTAATGAAAAAGAATTGCTAATAAATGCATCAGATGATGATTTACTGATTACGGTGCTTTGTTGTAGAAGGTCAAAGTGAACAGTAAATGGATGTGTTGACGAAATAATTTGTGGTGTTTGAAGGACAAAGATGGAAAGTACGTTGATAGAAAGGACATATCACCTCGTTAAATAATTATCAGCACTGATTATTATTTATAAAGAAGCATATGTAAAAAAAGTAATCTTTATAATTTTAATTAATATAGAAGTTTAAATTTCGATTCAAAGACACTATATATTAATGACACGATCTTTGGGTAGAGCCTGAGATAAATGACAGGCTTGGAAAATAATAAAAGATAAAGGAAAAGGTATAAGTGTACCGAAGAATTCAATTAAGAAGGAAAAATTTGGCGAAGATAAGAAAATGAAAATAAATGATAATAGTTGCGATAATAAAATTAAGCTGATAAATTCGTCAAGATGGTAATCTATGACTGAAAACTTGATGAAATGATGAATAGAATTAAATCATCATTATCTGCTTAAATTCTTTTGGTTGGGTCATTCCTACAATACTTACTTGGAGATAATACCTGCAAGAAATGCAACACCAATTAATGAAGAGTTTTAGTTGAAATATAAATGATACTGCAACAACACTTATGTTAAGTCAATAATAATAGTAAACACTAACGGAGCACTGTTCAGTGACCACAAGGAACTGTAAACAGTATTTTACTAGCCTGTGGTCAGAAGATTGAGTGTGGTGCTCATTTTCCAGGAACAACACTTTATTTCAACACAAAATTTACACAGTATATTCAGCGATAACTTTCCTATTCCCTTTTTAATATATCTCATTTAAATAGATCAAATATAAATTTTGTGAATTTAATTAGTGACATAAACGAGAATAGGTAATGTTATTCGATTAAGAGGAAATAAATCAATAACTCAACCAAACTTGACACTGAATGGTATTACGACGATACGATGATTTATTAATTAAATTTCTATTTAGTTTATCAAGTCTGAAGACTTCAAAGACAGGTATAAGTAAAGGAACGGAAAGTTCTGAATGTAATGTCTAATATTCTTAAAGAGTGTAAAAAAAAGTCAAAGCAGAAGTCAAAGAGAAAAATTGCAAAAATGAAAATGACATAAAAATGACATTAATTACTCTAAATGTCGATGAAAGAACTAAAAAATCGACTAGGTCAAGAATAAAATAAACTAGTTAACACCTCTTGTCAATATGTAGATATTATAGATAACGTAAGTGAACTATTGAACCCTTTAGAAAACACTGGAAATATTGTGCAGTAAAATTTGATAATGGATTCTGAATCTCGAGAAGAAGCACTTCACACAAACCTCAGTCGCTCAATATCCTCCTTAAGATCATTTAACTCAGCGATTTGTGTGTGCTGTTGCAACCTTAGAAGATCGGCTTCCCGTCTTGCAGCTGTGAGTGCTTTCATGATAACATCATCGATGATTGTGATAATCCTCTCATCATCATCACCACCACCATCCTCGTCAGTAGATTGCACCATTTCTACTTCACATTTACCACCATTCAACTGAATTGATACACAGATGGAACGTAATCGTGATATCAAATCACTGCACCGTGATTTTGCAACTACCAAATCTTCCCGTAAACGATCCATCTTTTTGAGTTCCAATTCAAGCTGTAAGTAAACCAACTTGATTTCGCATCTTTTACTTAATTTTAATTATATATATGAATTCTAGTGATACTGGATTTCCCAAATATTACGAAATAAAGAAAATATTAATTTAAATTCTCAATTCTAATTAGATTTATAAAATAATTAGATTTGGGCATAAAATTGGATTTGAAAATTCGCAGGATACGTCTTGGATAAGTTTAAATAAGCTCTGAGATAGGCACTAAATTTTGCAGAATTTTTATTTTATTTTAGGGTGAATTCCGAATTTCAATAACCTCTACAAAATATTCTGGAATTTAGAGTCCAGTAGTGATGACCAGTTTTACAAGATCTCCTACGAAGAATAAAAAAAGACTAGCTGGAAAAATTAACTTGTCTCAATTGTTCTTTCAACTTGTCTCAACAAATTTAAAACTGTTAAAAACAATGGCAGAAGAGCACCTGTTGATTAAGCTGTCGATTTTCACTTTCCAGTTCGTTTACTCGACTTCGGCTTTCCATTACCGCTCTTTCACAGGATTCAAGCTTTTTCTGAATATTTTCCATATTCATTATCTTTAGTCTATTCTCTTCAATGTGTCCTTCAAGTCGTTCACTGATCGCCTGAATTCGAATTTAAAACCCTTTTGCAAAATCAAATTCAATCTCAAAAGTAATTTAATGAAGAATAAATGAGATTTCAATTAAAGTAATTAAGAAGAAAATAGATGCTTACTGGAGGTACCTTCAGCTAGGCCCCTAGCAGCACCAAAATAAATTTTTGTCTGAAAATTCGTAGATAACTTCACCCTCTTCATTTCATAAATTTAAAAATCCATGAAATTCATCAGCTAGTCCTGTTTTGTTCTGGGTCACTGATATTATTATTCGTAGTACTTCTGCGCTTTTCATTATTTAAAACAATGATGACAAAAATGGAAACTTCGATAACTTCAGCAAATATACGAACAAACCTTCTGGATGTTTCGCTCATTTTCCAACAATTCCTTCTGCTTTTCTAAATTGTGCGCAGTTTGTTCTGTCTCTTGCAACTTACTTTTCAGCTTTCCCATATCAGTTTCTGATATTTGTTCTCTCTCGAATGCTTTTCTGAGCTCTTCGTCTGCTTGGATTTTTGCCTCTCGCAAACAGTTGATTATCTCTTCTTTAGCTTCCAAAGTTTCTTGCAACTCCGAAACCTACAAATTCTCAAACATTAATCTGAAATATCAAAATCTTTTTTACTGCATTCACTTTTCATAATGATTAAATAAAGAAGATAAAGGCATATACATAAATATTTCGAGTTAAAGTTTAAAATTTTAGCTCTAAAAATTTATTAATTCTCCATACTGCTTTAGTAAGATCATTTTTCTGCTCATTTTGAAAGTCGGAAAACTTCTTCCTGGCCTCCTGCAAATTCTGTTGTGCTAAATCCCGTTCCATTACCAATGTATTGCATAGATCGCAAGTCTAGAAATCCCTTTGCAAAATAAGTTTGGAAATATCAAAATATGAAACATTTGAAAAATGCTATGCCAATTGGACTAGCGCTAAATTATACGTTGAACCGTGACAATAACGTTACAATCTTTGCTTCTTGGATACATAAGTACAGTATTAATACTTTAATTTCAAAAAAATAAAAAAATAAATAAAAATTCAAGTGATGAAACTTCGTCATCCTACCCCTCATTAATTAAAGTAATAAAAAAAAAAATAATAAGAGAGATACCTTTTGGTATTGTGAAGTAACTTGTGATAAAGTCATTTGAAATTCCTGAACTTGTTGACCTAACACTCCGCATTCCTCCTTCTTTTCTGATAGTTCTATTTCAGTTCGCAGCAATTTAGCATGAACTTCGCCCAGTTCTTCGCAATTCCTAAATGCAGAAGTTTTGGAAAAATTTCAATTTGCTGTATGAGACTAACTGGAAAGTTTCAAGTCAGAGATTCTTCATCTGTCATTTAGTAGAAGTTTCTAGACTCGCCAAAGTTTTTTTACAAAAAAAAAAAAAAAAAAAAATTAGAATGACTTCAAATCGATTCCGTAAGTATTTTTATTTTTACCGATACATTACTGGTGCTTCTCACTGTAGAAACAAAGTTGAACAAATAAGTTTAAACCAAATCATCAGAGTGAAATTATCAACAGAAAAATCTCTTAACTCAGATTTCAGTTAAGGAAAACATTCAATAATTTTCACTTAGCATTCTCGAGCTTCGTTCTCAACTTCCTATTTTCTAATTCCAGTTCCAGAATTCGTTTCCTGTCATCGTCAGCCATCTGACTACCCAACGATTCGAAATCCTCTCGTGAACAATGTTCATTCTTCTCATTTATGGATTCCACCTTTCGTTCCAATGCCAAGCTCTTCTGCTTTTCAGTTTTTAGTTCTCTTTCTAGACGACCGTTCTCTACCAACAAATGTTCTATTTTCTCATGGTCCTGAAGTAAAGCTGAAGTAAAGCAAAGCAAGTAAGAAATTGCAAAAAAAAAAAAAAAAAAAAAAATCGTAGTTCTACAAAAATAAATGAACTCGAAAGAATTAATAAAAAGTATGGTTTGATGAAGTGAGAAATTTAGTATTATTCTATTTATTTCTAAGTGAAAAATTGAACCTTAGTGATATCAGCAAGATATTGTTTTATTTGATATTGATAATCAGCTAATTTTATCTCCATATCTATGTGACTTGAAACTTTCCTTTGACATTGTTCAAGTTGATTCTCCAGTATCGAGCAGGATTCCTGCATTAGTTCATTCTCTTCTTTTAACTGCTGTAAAAAAAATGTCAGCTGTAAGCCTGCGATATGAATAAAACTGAATAAAGAAATTACGTGACCAGAAATCTAAAGAGTAATGAATTATCAAAATTTAAAAAGAAATTAATTCAAAAATATTTTTTTAAATTTATTCCTTCAGAAACTTTGAGTTTCAAAAGTTTAAGTTTATTTTAAAACTTCAGATTTGCAAGAAAGAGAACACAGAACATTAAAGACCAAACTGATCTGATCTAAAAAAATAAACAAATGTTTGAAACAGAAATCTTCAATAATTAATAAACATTTTCATTTCAATGCAAAATAAAAGGTTTACCGTTACTCGAGATTTGAAAAAATCTAGATCTGATAGCTTCTCTTTCAATTTAATGTTATCAGCTTCTAGCTTGTCATAATTTGCCAACTGAAAACCACAAATTGAAAGGCTGTTGAAATTTCATCATTTAATAACAAAACACAACTTATTCGAAACAGATCAGTGCTCGAATGTCCGAAGCAATTAATGTGATTGTAGATATTGCCCTAATGAAGTAATTTCATATTTGAAATTACATAGCAACTTTATAGATAGAACAAACTTTACAAATGAAAACTTATGTAATTAGTTAAATTTTGGTGGGGAAATTAATGAAGAAAGGACAATATAAGAGAGATTTAGAAATGGCTGGAATGGAATTAATGAAATAATTACAACAACAAAATTTAAGACTAGCAGCTGACCTTATGCTGCAAACATTCAAGCTCATCGCGGTAATCCTTTGCAGCACGAGCATCTTTCACAAGTTCCAGTCGTTCCTGCTGCATTTTTAGAATATTCACTTCACGAGCTTCCGCTTCATCCTTCAGCTCTGCTATCATCTCCTCTCGTTCCTCCCTACAACAACTATCACTTATCAACCATTCCATTTCATATCAATTATTTATATTGCTCATAAGACATAAGCATGAAAGTATTACTTACTTAAAATAATTCCTGCAATTTTACTTCAGACTAACCGTTATTTAAAATTAAGCTAATAGAGATTGGTGTTACATAAAGATCGCCTTCAATGATCTCATATGAATCGAAAAAATCGTTTAAATTTTTCCACTGTAAGTTAATGATACAAGCTATCAATAATTCCGACATTATATTCTTCCGGGTCCGATCATACAATTTTGCATTCCCGAAATTTTGTTTTAGCATATTCAGTTGTTCAAATAATTATTCCACTTTGTTAGGAATTCTTTTGCTGGCATTTGTAATAGAATATGCTAAAGATGGAACTGAGATCAAAATAGGATAAGATTTTAACGAAGATTTTTAACTGATCAAAGTTTGATTTCATTTTTGACAGTTTTTTTTTAGAGAACATTTTGATGCCCTTATAAATCGGATTCATTCTAATGAATAAGCCATAGAACAGGATATAATCAATGTTTGGGTTGTTGACTAGATGAAATACCCGAACCTCGATCATTCCACTCGAATGTTGCAAAACTGGGGAAAGAAGTATAAAAAGTGACATAAGTCATTACATCAAGTCACCACATCTCGCCGAATATGGCTGTACAGAGCATATCTCTATTTATAGAATTCTCAAACAGTTCACGTCAGTTATTGATCTGAAATTTCTACGTAAACATAGCTTACATCATATTTCTTAACTTTCTAAGCTCGGCTTTAGCGGATGCAAGCTCAACACTTGCGTGTCTTTCCATTGCGCTTGGTGATGGAATACGGTCCTCTGAAATTTTCAACAATTTTCAAAAATGATTTAGAAAGAGAATATCATTATTTATATATCTAAAGACAAGAGAGATGTCATATATACCACATCTACTTTCTGATACTTTTGTTGTTCTGATCACTTCACTGGACACTGATGAGGAGCCAGTAGTCGTACTATTCTCATCGCTTTCCTTTAATAGCATTAATGTTTTGGAGTGAGAAAAAAAGAAAAGAAATCAAAAGACGTCCCATAGATGAATAGAAATTGAAAAATGACTTACGACATATTCGCGCTGAAAGCATCTTTAAATGAGATGCTCATGGAAAGTAGAATAAATATATTTTTATCGCATTTTATATTCTTTCCTTCATTCTCAATTATACTTTTTACTTTTTCTAATGGGAAATAAGAAACAGACGAAAAAAAAAGAAAAAATTTCTATTTTTAATTAGAATTTAAGAAGCAAAACTAACTCGTTCACCGGACATTTCATACAATCGACTGGCGTACATATCACGTTCCTTCATAATACTCTCTAAATGAGCTAATAACACTGCTTTTTGATGGTCTTCTGAAATCAACTCTAAGGCTTGGATGTTAAGCACACAGTCACCTTCTTCCGCTACCTGAAATATCGTCTAATTTGTTGAATCGTTTAAAGAAAAAATAAGATTACAAAACAAAAGTAATATAGTATATATGAGATCTTCATAACGAGTAGTAATAAATCATAGATCATAAATCAAGGACATGCTTTGATTTAATCCTGAAGGCAATTCTTGAACAATCAAATATTAGAATTGTTCGACATTTACCAGAAAACTCTGTAATCTTTCTTCCACTAAAATTTGCTCAGTGATTATACTTTTGAGAATTTTTAATTAATTTGTAAAGGTATATTTTCTCAAAATTAGCTCAGTGGCCTATGAGTGATGAAGATTATGAAGTTTCTCAGCAATTCGTCCCACAAAAACTTCCGCTTTTTTAGCTGAGAAAAAAAGAAATGAAATTGATCATTTTATAGGATATTTTAGAGCAAAACGATCAAATTTAATTGCCTTGTAAATGCTGCATTTTTTTTTTTTTTTGCATTGTTTGCATTGAAATAATATAATAAAAGGAAAAAAATAAAATGAAAATCGTTTTGGAAATTTCGAAATTTCATTATAAAGTAGAAAAACTAAAAGTAGAGAACGCTGTTCTGTCTGACAAGGTAAATAACAGATAATGTGTTGGCTGTTGTCTACTAGACAAATAAGTATCCCGAATATAACAAAACGAAACAAATAACTTATTGTTTCGAAACGGAATTGATGGTAATCAAATACTTTTAACTTGTTTTGATCAAATAAGTTATATTTTTAATGAAATACACTTGCGAAGCTTTAATCAATTTTAAGTTTCAATTACACTATTTTTATGGATAACTTCTTTTTTTTAATGCTTTAGAGAAGCTGTTGTGATTTACTTTGTTAAAGGTGACCGAGTAATTACTTAAGTAACTGTCCAATCTTTGCTAAATTGACAATGGTAAAAGTAATGCTACTATGTGAAAAATTTATTGACCTTTTTAATTTGATTTAAAAGTGCCGTTTGGAGCTCGTTTTCCATACGTTTGATACGTTCAATAAATTTACCACGTTGTTCACCCTGTACTGCACATCCCAACAATAATAGCAACACATTGTTTACATCTGCTTTACAACCATCTGCAATAGTTTGAATAGAAAAATGAATTCCAACAATTTACCTTAGTCTTGAATAGTTTTCCTCTTAGCTCGTGTATTAAGCATGCTCATATCACTATGATGCATTTGTCTTATCAAAAATCTACTGATATGTTTCTACTTGTGAGATCTCATGAGAATAATTTGAAGCTATTCAAAAATAAGTTTGAATTTTGATTGAAATATGAAAAATAGAGAAATTTATTTTTTCCAAAGAGCAGAAGAAATAGAAATAAGATTAATTGATTGATAAAAAAGGAAAAAATGTATTCACAATATCGAAATTTCGAGAATTGCTGATGGGAGTCGGAAATGGATATAGTAGTAATGGTGTCTAACACCTTCCTCCAAAAAAAGAAAAGTAAGTCAAAAAAAGTTACGAAAAAAAAAAAACTGAAAAGTTAAAAAATTACAAGCACTAAATTTATTATGTATACCTACAGAACACGATATAGTTATTTATTCACATGTAATGCCCTGCGGTAAATGATATCAAAAAATAGTTTGACATAGAAATTTCGATGATAGTAAATAAATGGAATTGGAAAAAGTACATTTGAACAGTGATGAAAAACCAGTTGAACAATCACGAAATAAATGTTAATCTCATCCTCTCCGCTGCAAAATTCATCTTTTTTTTTCGAAGGAACAGAAGATAGAAAGATAGGAAGATCAGTCGGCTGTTTAAAAAAAAAAGAAAAATTGAGTTGTAACGAACACAAATTTGAATCAGCGATTCGTTGAAGATTACAAATTACTGCACTAATTTATTTTAGCACAGAAATTACAGAATTAGGAAAAGATATTGTGGATCCCTTCCTACTACAAAGGTCTGATCAGATCAATAATTGGAAATGTTTTTGGTTTGTTAGCACAAAAGAAGTCATATGAGAGAGAGAGAAAGGGAGAGAGAGAGAGAAAAAAAATTATATTTATTATTAAAATGAAAGTAAATTAACATGGTAGGATAAGTGGAAGAGAGTGCAAAGCAGGTTTAATAGTCTCCAAGAAGTTCTAAAAAAATTTGATTCCTTATTGAATACAAATGATTTAGAGAAATGTGATAAGCTTTGAAAGCACATTCACGGGTGGAAACTATTGACTCAATTCATAAAGTATTTCAAATATTAAATGAAAATTTTATTCGATCGATATTATTCTGGTAACAGTTCTATGTTTTACTAATACTAATGCTAATACTAATAGCGATCTTATAGTCTTCCTTGCAGACTGTCATGAAATACTACCTTGTTTCCAATTGAAGTGAAGAACAGTTAGTTCAACAACTCTCGTCGAAGGTGAAATAAGGTAAAAAGAAAATACTTTTATATTCTGGACTGATTGTACTCTAGCGATTATCTGACACAGAATTAGCGACTGTCTTTTGCTGCCCCACTTCTGCTTATTAAAAGATTGAGGAGTTACGAAGATAAGAAGTTTTGGCTTATGTGGTCCTGCTACATACCCATCAAACTTTATTCTACTCTTACCTAAGGTCAAAAATCCATTGCTTGAGAAGTTTGTCTGAAATTTAAATTCAAAGCCTTTGAATTCAGCAGTAACGAATTAATTATATCGGCTTTTCTGATACTTTTTATGCCATCAAAATATAAACGATATCACTGAGAAGTTATAACTATTCAATCAACAAAAGGATTCTGTCTTCCTTAGCCTTCTCTCTTTGCTAACTTATGCAAGACGCTTATTTCAAATGATTTACCTTTTCATTCAAAGAAAAAATGAATGAAACTAATGAAACAATGTGCAAAATAATTTACAACCCTTTTAATGATGGCTCATTCGAATAACCATATGACCATTCATTGGAAAGATAAGTAATGTTAAAGGTCAACATTTGTTTTGGAAAATTTTTAACTGGTAGGATAAGGGAAAACAGAGGCGCTGATTTGTCGGAATAACTCAAATGTAAAGCAAATAGTCAATAATTCTTCCTATACCTTTCGATTTACCGCAGCAGAGATATTAAATAGGATGGATGGATGGATCAAATGGATGATACTTTGACTCACACAGTGATGTGTTTATAGTTAGGCTCTTCTACTATAAGTGAAAGTTACTTTATATAAGGTTCCACAAGATAGCTAACTTACTACAATTACTTATCTTTTATCACTGTTTATCACTCACGGATACAACTTAAAAGTTATTTTCTATGTCATTCCTACCAACAAACGATAGCTTATACTTTCACTCTTTTAATACCAAATGATAGACCAAATCATTAATTAGATAATTCGACCATTATTAGAAACTATTGTTTTCTTTTTGGAATGATTGACAAGAAAATTTGTGAGTTGAAATTTCGTGAATGAAGTTTAGGTGGCAAACTCATTTCATGTTAAAGAAACACATAACTTAATGAGCCATAAATCATTAGACATTGGTATGAATAATAATGAAAGGTGGAAGTTATAGAGAAGTGAGTGGCCAAGTTGTTTTAGGTAAGCTAATATAAGGTACAAAAGGAAGCATAATAGATTAAAATTGTCAATGGAGTTGTGACAAGATGAGACAGGAAAGATTCTCATGATACTTTCAATAAAAGTAATAATTAAATGTAGAGATTTAAATATGACGCACTGATATGATTACAGGACACAGAGATAGTAATACTGACACTCTCCATGTCTACGCTCTCTTCGCATCTCATAATAATCCGTCCGATCCGATTCTTTACTACAAAATTCCTTTATACAAATCGAATCATACTTCTTAAATTTTATTAGTCGATCTTCACAACCATATAATTCCTTCAAAATTCATTTATCTACTTGTAAAGTATCTCAAAGAAAATCAAATTTATTGTTATTATAAGAATGCAAAAGTTTCAAAAAGGAAATATTTTCCAGGTGTGATTTTCATTGCCAACAATGTAACATAGACCGATTGTCGACAAAACGAGAACAAAAACAAAAGATAAGTTTAACTCTTATTGGCATGAAAGCAAAATTGCAAAAAAAGGTAGAGAAGCACATGTGCAAAAACTTCATTAATTTGAAATAATAAAATTAAAGAAAAGGATGGTTGAGAGTGAAATAATAAAGAGAGGAATAAATTTTGTTTATCATAAGTAAAACAAATCTTTTATTCCTATATTGGTCTAGGAGATAGAGTTAAAGAAGGTGTTATACTCTTCGAGAATAGATGAATATATTCCGTTGTTTCATTAATATGCCATATTTATCAATGAGAAAAGAAAGGAAGGCAATGGCGAAGTGCGGTAAAAGGGACAAGAAGATGAACGAAATGTGTATGAATTCCTAAACAAATTTGTGGTTCATATTGTTTATATCTGTCCTCCAAATAAGTTCATAAACTTCAGAATTGCTGAAATAGGATCAATTGTTATTAAACCGTTAGACACACTCATGTGATATGCAGATGCATCATCCATATGTGCAAGCAATTCAATAAAGTATATTATAGTATGAATGAGTGCAGTGAATTCATACTTTCATACTTTTAAACTGATCAGTAGAGAAATGCGCATTAATAAATACTTTTAGGTTAATATGCAAAGAATACTCAAAAAATTAAAGACATTTTCTTTTGCAATTACAAAGGAAAAATATGTATTAATAAAAACCAAATTACTACAGTGAGATTAAAGCAATAAGTTATAATTTGGTAGAATGATTTAAAGAATTTGCGCGATCTTCGCCTGGAAGTTAAGTAAAAGCAGTCTCTTAATGCATATTATTATTCTAAGGTAATCATCTAAAGGAATAAAAATCAACAGGAAAGTAACATGACCAGGTAACCTTGAGAAAATAAACTATAACCGAGTAAATAAGGATTGGCAGAAGTAAACCGTAAACGGTGACCAACTGACCGATTCCGTTCGGTATATGCAAATGTAAGCCAGACAATAGATGAGAGAGAGGGATAGATAGAAGCTTTGTGCAATCGACCTTTTCGATTCGATGGGGTCACGCTGCATCCCTCTCGTTTTTTTAATATATTAAGATACCAAGCACAGGTGAGCTATGGTAGACAAGCATTGCTTGCCTCCAATAAAGCTTGTCAAGCAGAGATAAAGAGAAAGCTTAATAAGCCTTTGTCGTTCCATATTGTAAACAAATCCTTTAATTAATCTAAACTCTTTCCAGAATTCTTTGTGGAAGTAGAAGACGAAGTTTAAGGAAATAAATTTAATCATACAGCTCCTATCTACATCATTACTATTCCTTGTATTCTACAGTCTTTCAAACAACAAGCTTAGCTAAGCTTGTTAAAGGCCAGAATATTTGAAATGATTTGCTGAGTGGGTATAGTTCATTATCAGAGTACATTTCAATGTCGCATATCAGATATCATCAGCTCGCATAAAATTTCTTTTTCACCTCTGTCCGATTGTTTCAACAACTGTTCAACAACGATCCTTATCAGATCTAATAACAAACACTCATATGGTAATAAAATATATGATGTCGAGAATAATGAGAAATTTTGAAAGAACAAGCTTTTCTTTTTCTCTTTCCCCTTCTCTCTCTCTCCCTCTTTCTTAGCACTTTATTGTATAACACTTGACAGTTAAAATTTGCTTTTTCAAAACATCTACAAGAATACCGCACATATATCTTTCCATGTGTAATGCAATATCTGCGCGGAAATATGGATTGCAGGATTGGTGACAGTTTGATGTAAGACTAAAATTAAAAAATTTCTAGTTTAAATAAGTGAATAATTTTTACTTAATATTAATATTATTCGACATGGTATTTGAAATAATCATTTGCTAAAAAAGAAAGTGTCTACACTATCAGAATGATATGTACGTGAAGAATTATTGATGATTTACAACTAAAAGTGAATGATTGACGAGGTAACTTTACTTGTTATGAAGAATACTGAGATATTGCCATATCACAAAAGTTTTATCATAGCGATTAAGATGATCATAATAGAAAATTCCAATTTAAAAAAAAAACTATTTATTTCAAAATTAGTGATGTATTTTTATATCAATTGGAAGAAAATAATGAAAGTGAAATAACTGATAATATAAGAATCAGGAAAAATTGCACTGATACCAGAAGTTTTCCGGAGATTGTTGCTAATAAAATATTAGAAAATATAAAAAAAAAGTTATGATACATCTAATAATGATAATATCGTGAATAAAAAAACAGAAGAAACAAAACTATGAAGATTAAGTAAGAAAAGAAAACGAACCGGCGTACGGGTTCCGCACGATCGTCAGGAGATCTGGTAGCGGCATCACAATCAGTTTGTTTAATTGCTTCTGCAACGAATAATAAAATTTATAATGGCACTATTCATTCTATTTCAAAGAAACTGTAATTTTGTTCCTTGCTGTAATGCAATGTAATTCATTTTCCGCCATCACCTAAATTGCCCAGAATCTTTTCCTAATGATGGTGGACTTTTAATTAGTCTTTTTCATTTCTATCATTTTGAGCTACCACTAAAATATATACCAATGAAATAATCAAATCTATATGCTAAGATTATATTCTTTGAAATGCTATCCCAATAGTCCCTCGGCAATATCGGATATAATAATTTTTCTTATATTAATTTTTAGCAATTTAATTATAAATTTGAGAAATTTATATCGGTAAAATGTTTGAGAAATCCATTCTGGAACTGATTATTTAGTTGTCAAAACTCTTCAATCTTTTCAGTTTATATTTTACATCAAATAATTAACTTATTAAGCAATAAGGATGAAAAAATTTGAACTGATAACGAAGCGTGTTTGAGAATTCACTGGTCTAATCATCTTTCTATCTTCTAAAAAGTCAGGATTTCAATAATTCCTTAAATTAACTAAAGACATCTATCCTCATTGTCACTAATTATTTTCAATTTGAAACTTCGTTTAAATAACACTGAAGGTTTTCTAGGAAGTATTCAATTTACTCACATTTCATTTTACAAAATAATTAATTTTACTTAATGTTAGGAACAAGTTTAAAACTTCTATGAAACGAATGTTTTTGCTATGAGATCTGTTAAAATTGTAAAGTGACGTATCTATTCATCAAATTGATCTAAACTGGTGAGCGAATAGCATTGATATGCATACGTAAGATTATAATTATATAAGTGAATATGTATGTGAGTGCATATTTAATTCTTGTAAGAGTTTTAAAGTAATTGAAAAAAGAAACAACAATTAAAGTTTTAATTCATATACCTGACTTGCTTATTTTTAAATGCTTTAATACTAAATTAACTGTATTAACACGTATTTTACATTATTAAATTGATTTCTCAATTTTTTGAAACGATAATCTTAATTTTTAGTGGTTGATTGTTTAACTTACCTTTGCGATCAGAATGTATGGAGTAGTTCAGTCTTTTATGTAAAGCTAATAATATATAGAAATACTAAAGAGTGGAATAAAACTACGAAATTCTAGAAGTTATTAAATAAACTGCTAATATTAATTCAAATATTAACTGGACAGATTGAAATAATAAAGAAGGTATGAATATTTGAATATAAATATTTTTAGCAGAATTATTTTAGAAATGTTATGACCATGGATAGGGTAATGTGAAATCGGTCATACTGCAAGGCCATCCTTGTTAGGTTCGATGTTGTGTGTCTGTGACAACAACAATCCATTAAGGGTACTAGAGACAGAGGAAGGAAGATACTTTGGTTAGGGCATCTTTCTCACTACAATAAAACATTCATTGCATTGATTGATGAAATAATAATAATAACAACTGTATTCTCAAGTAAGGCTCACCCAGAAGTACCACTATCACAAGTAAACTTTCAAGTGATAACCTATCTCTCAGATAATTCTTTTATACAATATTAAGCAAATTTCTTAATAATTTGTATGAATGAGACTGATAATATTAATCATTATAAAGCAATTTCAAAAATACATTTTATTCTAAAATTAGATAAGAAAGACTGACTAATGACCACTGACTTTTCTCTGCTGGATATACGTGTTCACAAGATAACCTTAGAATTTTGAATTTTTATGTGCAGTAGCTGACGAGCTTTTGGGACTAATTTTTAATCTAATTAAGAATACAAATTGTAATCTGAATAAGTCTTAGTTTATTGATTTTGAGGTGAGAAAGAAGCTAGTTGATATTTTAAAGATTGAATTTATAAAGCATGCAGCTTTTAAATGAAACTTTTAATTGCCCAAATTTAAGATTACAGATAAAAGTTGAGAGTGAAAAGGATGTTGTTAGCTTAGTTGAGAATATTTATGCATCAATTGTTTTATTTAGAATTTTATTATTTAGTAATGTCCATCGAAATAAACTGGAAGAAGGAGGCTATTTGTAGTTGTGCTAAATAAGTATTACTATTATCATCTATCTATCTTACTTCAAGAAACACTGGTCACTTAATGTGGAATTATCAGTATTTTCATACTATCTGGTGGACAATTTTACTGAAATTTTTATTTTAAATGTTTTGCTAAATAAAAGAGGTCATAACGGTTGAATAATGGTCGTAGTAGTAAATTAGTTAAGTGAATTAGTTGACGAATTATCAGGTTAGAACTTATTATGTTCTCGTAATAAATCATCGACTACTTCTCAGAAATGAAATTACTCAGAAAATGTTGCAGAAGTGATCTCCTTCTAAGCAGTTCTAATCATAACTTCATCTGAAAGCATTTGTCGCTTACTTTGTATTAATAAAATAAGTGAAAGAATTGAATATAATTAAAAATAATAGGCAAATAAACTTTTGAAATATGCTTTTTTCAATTTTATATTTCCCTTTTTTCTTCACATCACAATTAATAAATAATCGGTTGATTGCAGTATGTCGTATAATAAAAAAAACTAGAATCACTTTTAAATGACTTATTTTTATAATAATTCACAGCAGCTGAGAAAAAATCTAGTTACAATTGAACTACGTATTTTAAACGATTCAAAAATTTGGAATTAACAAAAAAGTGCCACAATAAATTTATCAGATAGCTTTTAAAGAAATTGCTAGCGAAACAGATTCAATCATAAAATAATTCAACTTATTATTTTTTATTGACCAATTTATTAATTTTCATAAAAATAAAATTAAGCTATCAATTTTTTTTTCACTAAGAAGAATTTCGAGTGGAAATGAAAGGCTAATGAATTTGAATAACTTTGGAGAAACTTTAAAAACATCAGATTCATTTTATTCTTTGAGAATTATACTTCTACAAATTGATAATATATAAAAAAGACTTATAAACAGAGGAAAAAGAATGATAAGTACTCGTTATCATTCGCACCATCTTCACTACTCTTTTTCCAATCAATCATCTGACTCTTTCGTTGTCAGACAAATACTTACACAAGTACAAATAACAAAAAATAATAAGTCAATTGGGTAAACAAACAAACTGTATATAATTCGAGTAAATTAAGTTTATTCCTGCACTTAATTATTCATATGAAAGAAACAATCAATTGGCTATCTGTAATATCTCATAGATTATGATGCCATATTACTGGTGGATAAATTTTTGATGAGACAGTTTCTACCGTTATTATCGATGGAAATTATGAATTTCAAAGAAGTTATGAAAAGTTCTCTCTTCTCTTTCAGTTCATCCAACTACCAATACTCATTAAACTGATGGACAAAATGCCTCTAGATGGTATCCATTATCCATTTTTCGATAAAGATTAAGCAATGATGAATGACAGAAAGTAAACTGATATTTAAATTAAATTCAAATTTGACTTTAATCTAAATTTCTGCTTTAGAAGACTTACTCGATAAAATTTCCGAATATTCTCCAGTAGCACTAGGAATCTTCTCAAGCTGGTTGTTGTATCTGAGAGTGAATTTTCTTCACCACGCATTATTATCAAATTTAGTGTATTCGGTTCCCTGCAACGTCATCACTTTTCATTTATTTGAAGTTGAATTTTTTTTTTTGTATTTAAGTTTTTCAGCTTTCTTTTATTGATAACAAATCTATTGATTGTTTTTTATGCAACAAATGTATCATATATAGACATAGTGGAAGATAAAACAAAAACATTCCAAATTAGAAAGTTAATGTCTTTCGAAGAAGTAATTTTAATTATTATTTTAATCTCCCTAAGAAACCTTCCGCCTTTGATTTTATTGAAATTATATCCAATGAATACCAAATAAGTGAGGTGAAGTGTGTATTTGTAAGAGAAGAGTTTCTGACTCAAGCAAATCTTAAACAAATGAATATTGGGTGGAAGAGTGGACACTACATTAAGCGAAAGAGTGGACATTGGAGTGGTAATTGGCTATTTGTTTCCACAAAATGCAAAATCATTAACAATCTCTCTTTGCAAAGATAACAAATTATAGAGGATTTCTCTGTTATTTGTTATGTTTGCTTGCAATAAGCTTACACGAAAACGAAGAGAAGGCTGAAAAGGAAACCGTCGCAGAGTTCCGAAAACCGTAAAATACGTCCGCGATATTTTTCTATTCGCCATGCCACTTCCGGAAGTAATGCGTCTGATCCAATAATGCAATCTCTAAAGCGATTAAATGTTCCAGTTTAAGTTTTGTATTTTGGGTTTTTTCAAAGTTTTTGAAAAAATTCTGAATAATTTTGTAATGCAGAAGTTTCAGAAAGAATGATTTTACTTTTATAATACTATTTCTTATAACTTTGATCCAGAATTTGAAAATGAAGAAAGAAAACTAACAGAATTAGTTGTGAGATTGATTGTCTATAACACCTAGTAATAATTAATAATAATAACATTTACTTTATCCATGCGCCAAGTGGTTCCTTCCAAAACTGCTCTTCGCTTTTCTCGTACTCTTCCTTGCCATTATTATACAATTGAAGCATGTCGTACGTTTACTTAAATATAGATGAAATCAGAACTTTGCTTGCTTACGTATTCATATAAAGCTTAATGACATGAAGACACTTAAAATATTTGTTTAACTGCTGATGACATTTCATAAATTCGTAATGAGATTAATGGAAATTTGAATTAGTCCTGTATTTCAGAAATTTCGTAAAGAAACTGAATTAAGAAAAATGAACTGAGTACGAATAGTATATTTTACAATATTACCAGAAAAGATTAAGAAGTTTAGAAATTAAATTTAACAGAATTTGGAATCACCGATTCGTAAGGATAATTCAAATACGGAGGAGAAGCGTGGATAAAAGTCGATGTAGAAAGAGATGGGAAAGTTAAAAACACTGGAAAGGAGAGAATAACTGAAACAAAGATCTTGATCACATCTGCCTTACCGTCTGTCTTGGAAGAGAGATAGCTCTAAAATCCCAGTTTCGAAGATGCTTCTATTAATCCATCAGATGTTAAACTACCATTAATTATTTTATTTATAGTTCCATGGCATCTTGATTCTGGAAGCCTCCGTTGCTTCGAAGTTTTAAGTCTGGATAGCCTAAAAGTTCAATGGTTTAAATTTTTTGATATTAAACAATGCTTAAATGTTGCAAAACACAATTTTAAAATTAATTAAGAAGTGCTGTTTACAGTTCAAAATAAGTATTGGAATAGATCAACACAACTAATATTGTAGAGGGAACCTTTTTATTCTCCATGGAGACCGAACAACGAATCACTGATAGGTGGTGGTGGTTGGCCATTTGAATGCGGTTGCTAAGGAGGTGTTCTTCTAATAAAATGAAGTGGTGCCAACATTAGACTAACATCTGAGAAGGTTATCGTTATGAATAACGGCCAAATTATAGATGACACATAGATGTCACCTGAAGTATCTTTTGGAATTTTTGACTATTTGTTTAATTAAAATCCTTTACAGTAATCATTTTAGAACAAAAAATGCTTCCTTGATGAATTGGAAATTTTTTCCTTATACTATTGATAAGTATTATACTATGTTTTCTCTTCTTGATAAATGTAAGAATAACTTTAATAGCTTAAATTTCTTGCTCTAATTTGTCCTTTAAAAGTTTCGGGTTATCACTTAAATTTTGGTATAATTGAAATTTGGTATAATCAAAAAAGTCTTTTCCAGTTGATTAAAAACATTTAAGAAAGAGATTAAAAAGTAATGAGGATTCTGAATGAGCCCTTTACTAACAAAAAAGATTTCAAAGCGTAATTTTTTGGAGGCGAAGAAATTTTGATCTATCTTAATTATTACTTGTCAGAAAGATAGGAATACCCATTGCCTTATTTGTGAGAAATAAATAATGAATTCGTGATGATTTGTCCTACAAATCTTACTGTTCATAAAATGAATCAATAAATTGCTAACAGTGAATAATAATGTAAACTGTTCCACAAAATATAATAACAAGTAATGTGAGTAAGTAAGGGGAATAAAAAATCAAATGATCGTTAGTTATCTGACAATGATAATAACTGAAATGACCAAACTTAATCTGTGACATCCCCAATTGGTATAATTGAAATTGAAATTTTTTTATCATTATTACTTTCAATTACATTTTTCGTATCTGTACACTTATATTAAGATAGATGAAATTTAGACATCTGAAAAAGTAAAAACCAAAATTTATATCAAGCACACTGCACTATTTCAATCACTATTATCAATATTATCACTTACATTCTTATTGAACTCATCGCTGTCACTTGTAAGTAAAAGTTAAATTGGTGTAATCAAAATCAAAATTACAGATCAATGTTATTAAAAGTAATCAGTGGTTCCTTCAAAGGTCACTGATGAGACATATTTGTATGTGTCTGTCAGTCGCCACAATGTTACCACATTATTTTAAGTATCTTTTCTTGAATCTTTTAACATTAATTTTTTCTTACTTGATTTTCTCTTTTCGAGTTTCTTTGGTACATCACCAATGGTAATTTTTTTAGTATTAATGCTAACATTTACCATTTTAAATTTACTCTACTATCTATTTTCCGGTTGAAGAAATAAAATTAAGTAAAAATAATGTTAAAGCAACAATAAAAGAAAACAGATCTCTTATAAAAGTCTTATTCCTTCTCTGCTTATCAAAATGTTTTACTAAACTAAAATTCTTAAATTTCAAAATTCTTATAACAACTCTCAGCACGGCAAATATTTTATAATCTAATGAATCTAAATTAAAGTTTTTTATTCTCTTTCTTCAATTCCAAAATTTCCTTCCATGTGAACAAATACGGATTCTTACGTCGCTCATAATGTAGGGTTGACACTTTAGGATTGAAAACAAAAATTAACCATCTGCACATTTCCCTCAGTGGAGCTAATTTGTTTCTGAATAGACATTTCTTTAATTTAAATTGAAAACAGTTCAGATTCTCTAAACATCATTATTTCTAAACTCTTTTTAGATAATGCATAAAAAGTATTGGAAATTCATCGAAACATATACAGAAACTTCAGAAAATTGTTCTACTCATACTGTATCAATAGGAAGAGCAAAAATTGAAATGTGTGAATTTGTTTTTTTCATCATCGCTGAACCAATTCCAATTGTTGGCGATTTAAACAAAAATTTTAATTCGTACGAACCGATCAGTGTTGTAACTATTAATTTAGCTTCTTATGACAGGCCATGTTTCGCACTCTAATTAATTGCATGCTTCTGACTTCTCTTTTTTTCTTTGTAAGATATTTTAAAGTTTTAATTAGTGATCTACCTCGAAATTTCAATTTTTCTCCGCACGAGAATTTTCTCTCCTACATCTTGCCTTGAAATGCTCATCTATTTAATTTTAAGTGGTTCAAATCCCAAAAATTAAATTCAAATAGACTTACAGCAGTCATTGTAGCTAAAAGACAAATCTTTAAGTTTTTACAAAGTCTTTCAAAATCTTTCAAATTTTACAGATCAAATTCTACAAATTGAAGTTATTTTCCAACTTTCCAAATGAACAAAACGGATAACTTCTTACCTATGCAATCATCACCAATGACATTTCTTGCAATGTGTGAAATTCAAGTATGACTTTGAGCTCTCTCTCTCACTAATTCTCAGTATTGAATTTATTTGGCTATAGTTCTAACGATTCATTTTTTAAATATCAAAACATTTGACGAATGATCTCAATTATGAGTTGGAAATTGTTTATGGCCTAAATGATTGAGGAAATGAAAGATTGGGTAGATTTGAGTTTTGAGTTCAGCAGTAGATATCTTCTCCATACAGTCTTTCAGTTCTGGGATATTCGATAAAATAAAAATATACATATGCTTAGTCTCTTTTTTATAAATTAATTTAAATTTCATGAAAGTTCCAACATTTTACACTGTTTTCATGTGTTAATAGCCTTATTTGAATTTTGTAAATTTAGAAAGAAAGGGACTTTAAAATCAATTCTGATCCAGAAATCCTTAAGTAGGAGTTCTTGAAGTAAAAATTAAGGAAATGACTTGAATTTCATACTAAGAAAATTGAATATAATGGAACGAACTTTCGACTCCATTCCTATAAGTTTCTCCTGCCTTCTCAGAATTTGTGCATATTCATTCAGTAGTAAAAAAACCACAGAATGACATAAAACATCTCTAAGAAAAGTTCAAAATAAGCAATCTTTGTAAGCACTAAACTTCTTGCTCGTTTCTCTATAATCAACATATTTGGTAAGTAAAATATTCTGATATCCATTTTTGATGCTATATTCACAGAAAAGCAATTCTGCATTCTTAACCATGCAGCCAGCTAACAAATGTAACGATGCTGTTTAAGCTTATTTGTGTTGTGAGTGGGACAATCAGTACATATGGAATCAGTGTATAGTTTAAAACTGAAAAGTGATGTGAATATTTTACTTTCAAAACTTCATTAATAAGCAAATATATACTAACTGAGAACTGCAAACATGCACTGAGTGAGAATTAAATTAATTACAAAGATTAAAAAGTGCGAAAAAAATTTTAAACGAGCTGCCAAATAATATAACAATAAAGTACTACTAAGTAACAACAACTTTCTATTGAAATTTGATTATATAATCTATGTACCAGTGGTGATTTATAAAAGTAGCATCAATTTTAAAATTGATAAAACACGTATAACTTAGGTAGCACACAGTACTAAGCAAAATACAAAAACTTTTGGGAAATTTTCTTGAGACTGTTGACATCATGGAACTATTCCTTATCACAAATTGGTCAGAAATAAAGGTAAATATGTCACTGAGTACAGTTTAGAATATAAGTTCAGAAATGAACACCGAACATGCGCGATAAAAACCGAACGACCTTGTGAAAAGCACACAATGTCGATACGAAAAATTCAAGACAATGGACAAGCTCCCACTGGGTACAGGTTAGAATTTTAACAATATGTACGTGAATACCTGTTGAAAAAATGTCGTTACAAAAAATCAAGGATGAGAATCTTTTAAATTTGTCGTCAAATAGAAACAATTTCCAAGAAATTAAAAAAAAGAAAATATTACTGCTGAACATAGTTCGGTTGAATTGTTGTTAAAACAGGAACCGGTTGAACTATGGTTGGTGGCTGTTGTTGTCCGGGATAATAGTACTGAGTTGTGTTGGATAACTGTGGCTGCTGTTGGCCGACTGTAGCTACGGCTGCTGCCGTTGCTGCTGCTGTTGCTGCTGTCGGTGGTGCTGCTATTGTTCCATATGCTGCTCCTACTACCGTTATACCTTAAAATCAATTCAAATTTGGTGAATCCAGTTTTCCGCTTCAATAAAGCGGTTTCACAACTCACTTTACTCTTTCAGTTCATTAATGTTTTCCCATAAAAAATATGGGTCACAATAGTTGCAGCCAAATATGGAATTAGAGTTGTTCTAAATGTTGTGAAGACCGATTGAATGCGATTGAATGGCGCACATAATTCGCAAAACTAAATGCTTTAGTTGGACGACTCTACGATCTTCCGGAGTTGTTCTCGAAATCAGACTTCTTTGATTATCTGACTCACCATTATCTGTGCTCGGCGCAGCTGCATAGTACTGTTGCTGTTGGTGAGTTGGATATGCCGTATAGCATGCAGCGGTTCGCATTTTTTTGTCAAGTGGATCACTGAAAGTAGATGGATCCAGCTTTCTAACACTCATAAAACTTAAAATTTGAAAATCTGTGGTCTGATTAAACCTTCTTAATGAAGCAAGTAATAGCTTACCCAGAACCTCTCACATCAGCAGCTCTTTTGTTTGATACAGCAACATTCTCAATACTTTTTTGAAGTTGTGTGTGATATTCTAAGTGCTTTTGGAGGCTGAAATAAGAGCATGACTTGTTAAAATCAGTTTTCACGAACATATCCCTTCACATTTTTTTACATAGAGATTTTCCTTAAACAATAATGATGATGATAAATGAATAAATAGAACTCGTCAGAATGATAAATGAATAAATAGAACTTTATTTAGTTTATTGACGAAGTAAAAAATACACGGAGGACAGAACCAATTAACAAGAGATTATAATAAGGCAACTTAAAGAAAGTTTAAAATGCTGGAATTATAAGAAAATACAGAAAGGATTAGAAATAAATGAAACTAAAGCAAGTGAATCAGAAAGAAAGTTGAAGATGGTAAAATTATAAAAAAAGAAAATATATAAGGGTTAAGAAACGAAGATTAGGAAAAGGTAAAATGGAACAATTAAAATGAAAATAAAAAGTAACGACAAAATTAAAGACACACATCGTAAAAACTATGGACTGAAATTCAGAAATCATTAGATTTTTAAAAATGAAACATATCTTTATTACTTTTAACGAAAATTTTCGAAATTCCAATTAAAAAATTGATTTTTTATCGATATATACAATTTCTATAAAATTTAAATATCACTGGAAATTAAGAGTTTCGGAACTAACGCTTCAACATCTGTTCCCAAGTCCTCCAAAAAGTCCAGCTTTCTTTGTGAGAAACGCAATTTATCTTCATCAGAAAGTTGGTCACTTTCAAGAACTTCATTCAATGCTTCGATCACACTTCGTTCATTGAATACTGGTGCAGTATAAGCCAAATCAACCAGCGCCAGGTAAAGCTGTGGATTGCTCTGGAAAAATTGGAATGGTATATGCATTTATTGAAACATGGAAATAATGAAATGCTGAAAGCTGAAAATAACAAAAAACAGCGAAGAGAGGAAACAGCATATTTATATGCTTATTCTACTAAACTATACCGACGTCGACACCATGTACAATAATACCATAATTTGTAAACTTCCACTTACCTTATCACGATTTATTGCATCTCTGATGATTTTTTCAGCAAGTTTGCGATCATTCCGTGTTTTGGCATGAAATCTTGCCAGTTTTAGGGCATAAAATGCAGACAGTTTACGAGGAGTACGTGAATCATGTATGAGACGCTCAAAACGTGATATCACAGAAGAATAGTCCGGAGAATCCCTAAAAGACAATTTTTCAATCATTTGACGGCCTAATTGGAAAAAAATTCAAAAATCGTAAATCCAAATGGATTAACTTGTTCCCTCAAACTATCCTTATATTCCAATAAAATCTATGGCATCATTACGATAACTAGCCTATCTCCCGCTTGTCTTATCGCAAAGCGCCGCTCGATCCCAATCCTACGTAGTGCAATAACAGCATATCCTGGATAGCGATGATCAAAATTTGCCAAAATCGAATTGGCCTTCTCAAAATCACCTGTAACAATTGCATAAGATGCTATCATAAGGACTTATTAATTGTAAGGCGAAAAAGGCCTGCAGAACTTTTTGACTAACATTTCGAGGAATTTGATTTTATCTTTAGTGGATTTCATTTGCATGAGAATTAGAAAAGGCTTCATCAGCAAAACATGCAGTTACATAAAAAAGTAGTCCTCAATGAATGAATGCAGTAGACGGCTCATTTGCTGTGATCTGTTGAAATGCAACAGCATTAAACTCCTTCTGCCGAACTTAACAACATAATTCGTATTTAAGCCTGTAAACGAAGTAAACAATGGCTTTCCAAGGAACCTATTTTTTTTTAGAAAACTTAGAATTTCGCAGCCTGGAGAGGTCCGCATATTCCGCTTCTTAATTTTGATGTCTTGAACCAATTTTGCGAATTGCGGAAGAATCTACTAATTTCATTTCCACAATACCAAACAGATTAAAAAAATTAATGCTTCTGTGATTATTTTCATGCGCCTATTCATTCGTTGTTATGATCATTTTTTCCCTACTCAACAGTTCAAAAACTCGTTCGAGATGGAGAATTAATTTAATTAGTTTCGGATATTTGCTTGAGTAGAGAAAATACTACTTGGCTTACCAAAAACTTTTTTAGAGTTTACTCACTTTTTCAAAGAATTCCCGACCAGTTATTATGAAGTAGATGGAATGTATTACGTTACAAGGAATGGAGAGAATCTTGAGACATCAATATAAAATGTCAGTCATTATGATATCAAGCCAGAATCCTCTTATGTCCCGACATCCTTTAAATTCGACTATTAAAAAAATAACTCAAATCCACTAATTTGCAAGGCTTGATATGATTGTGATTTTGAAACACTAATTAAAATGAAAATGGAGGTAAATTATGCAGGAAGCGGTAAATCAGCTCTTACACATTAAAAAGAGTATCTTTTTTACTAATGTAATAAAAAAAAATCTACTAATGTAATAAAAGGGTAGTATTCAGAATCACAACGATCAACTTTAAATTCTTCGTGGATAATTTACTGGTAAAAGTATACTCCTCTTACAACTTTTATAAACGTTTAACAGGAATCCGATTTCAATGACTTTTTCCCATCTTTCTTTCATGAAAGAATAACTAACAGTCACTTATATCTCACATTAAAAAACTATGGGACCACTGCTATCTGAAAAACGGAGCACAAATCAGTTTTCAAAACAGTGCTGATCAGTAATCCGAAAATATTCAGAAACTCCATGGATTTAAAATTTTATGCTATAGGAACACGCTACAGAACTAGTTGTTGAAAAAATCCATTCATATTCTAATAGCTTTTAAGACTTTGAATGGTAAAGGCTGCACTTACAAAATTTCCAGGATTTCGATGAACAGCATTTCCTGCCTTCAAGTCAGATTTTGCAATTTTAGTTTCGAAAAATCCGAACTTAAAGCCAGTAAAGCGTTATCCTACTTTTTTAAACAATGAAAGAGATAAACAGTAATGCTAACCAATTTATGCCATAGAACTATATCATAAAGGATCGCAGCAACTCGTCCTAGTTAACATAAAATCTTAAGAATGGATAAATATCCATCTTTAGTAAGTTATTTAATTCAATCTTATAATTAAACAAACATAAATTCTAACAGCCATTAAAGACCAAGAACTCAAAAAAATCTCAGAATCTTACACAGGCAGGAGATAGAACCTTTTTTTAAAAAGTCCATTTTTTCAGCAAGTAAAGCCGACTTGAATTATGGAATGAACTTTGATTTTGATTTCGCCTAACTCAATCCAATTTCATTAAATTCCTTTAAATTCTAAAGTTTTCATCTTATTTAATGATTCAGTTTTTTGAAACGCCAGAAAGTTCGAGACTGTTGAACGCAAAAGACAGGAAAAAAAATTCGAGTAGAAAAGGAACTGCATCTTGAGCAAGTCGAGATCCGATGAAATGCACAGTCTCAAATAAAATGATACCCTTCTCATATTTGAATGAATAAAAAGATACTTCATCTTTGATCGCATCGCATTTGAAGACTTTCATCACTTTTTTCTAAATTATTTTCTAAAAACCATACTTGCCATCTAGTTGTCGGACGAGTGGAGCACCATGAGTGAATGTTGTCTGCTGACGGTGATAATACTTTAGCTTATCATCAAAGTTAACCACATGAATGAATGAACGGAAAAAGAGATCACCGGTTCGTATATCACAAATATCACATTTGCTGTGGTTATTACCATTTTTTTCTTCGAAGGCGCTGTAGGCAAGATGAACATTCGGTTTGCGAGGTAAGTGAACTTCGGTTGCTCGACGAAAAATACTGCGAGCACGGCTGGATTCTCCAATACTCTCCACGTAACGAGCATACTGGAATTCAATTTTTGACAGAATCGTTAAGCGTGATAAATTGGTACTTAAAATAAAACTAGATGCGTAGTACATTTCACCTTAATCCACATTTCTTCATACAAAGCACAAGCGATTAGACATCTTTCGAATAGAATAATGATACGTGTGATATCACCACACTCAATTTCAAAGTCAAGGTAAGCACGCCAATTACGTAATTGAGCTCGCTCCAGTGGTTTTACATGAAAATATGGTCGTTTTATCTGAAATGAAGTTTTTTTTTTTTTTTTTTTTTTTAATAGTAATTAGTAAGAAAATTACTTGATAGTCGCATGAATTTGAAACAAACGTACATTCTCTTCAAACGCCCAACGTCGACTAACTTCCTGTTCATTCAATAAATATTTTTTATTCCGTCGTTCGAGTATTTCTGCACGTAAAACACGTAAGGCTTCTTCACAATGCTGCACGAAATATTTTAATTAAATTAAAAATAATGAGTAAAGAATGAAGATAGTAATAACTACTTCCACAGATTAAAAAAGACCTTGCGTCTCGTAAAAATCTTTTTCGGTGGCTCCTCGCCATTTTCCGGAATGTAATCCGGTGGAGAATCATCGACGCAATCTTCTAAAAGAAATAGATCACCATCAACGACATTATGCAAATCTGGTTCAACCTAAAATAAATTTTCACAGAAGATAAAAAAAGATAAAGATACAAAAGATAAAGATAATTTTTTAAATGGATACTACTCACTTTTGCAAAAATTTCACTGTATTCATCTTGACTTACTACTCGATCTGGCTCGTTTGAATTCACGAAGGTCTTATATCTGAAAACAATGAAAATGGTTGAAAAACGGCAATAAGAAAAGCAGCAAATGGAAATTCATTTCTATCGAAAAAGTATGACGAAATCAAAGGAATTCCCCTTAATTCATTACAGAAAGAAAATATAGCGATAGTAAAGACAACAACAGGTGAATAACAACGCTAACAGCTAATTCTCAAAGAAAAAACGAATCAAAATGTTATAGATCATATTAAATAAAATTTGTCATAGAAAATGATGATAGTCGGTAAGGTATCCATATAATCTTCAATATGAAAAGAACATACTTATCAAAATGGTTACTGTAGAGCAAAGTGGGTATGCTTAATATCTGATCAAAAAGTGCTCCGGCTCGTACAGTTTCACCATTACTTAACTCCCAGTTAATATATTCATCCCACAGCTTATCTGAACGAAATTCCATACCACATGCTTCGATTGCATGATCATAAATTCTGCAAATGTATCGATATTATAAATTTTGAAATGAAGCAAACATCATTAACAGTACTGTTATAAAGTTACACTCTGGTCTTCTGCACTGCATTCTCTTGATGTTGAACGATTTCTTTAATGAAAGCAATGTAATGAAGCCAAAGATCAACACTCAGTGGTATAGCCGTGACCCCACGTTCATAAACCTGCAAATATGCTTTCATTTTGAGTTAATAATGTTAATCAATCTTAACTGTTTCCGCTTCTCTTCCTGGTTAATTTCACAACATTATATAAAATAATAAACAAAAAATAATAATAAATCATGATTAAACAAACATAAAATATATAATAAAGAAAAATAAAAATAATAAACATAAGATGAGGATAATAGAGAGTTAAAAACTACACAGCAGTAAGATAAAAGGTATCGTGTGCCAAAATTACAACTTACCTCAGTGCAGCGATCGTAGTGTTTATGACGACGTTCAAATTCAGCATATTTTCTCCAATATCCGTAGCAATACGGGTATCTCTTAAAAAAGTCATCATATGCTTCACGAGCAGCTTTTGTTTCATCCTGAAATAATTCAATACGGGTAATTTTCGGAATACTATATCTATATCATTGATTATAAACCGCTGATAATGTTGAAAAAACATCAGAAATATTATGATCGAAAACTAAGATTTCCTATAGGATCATAAAAACTAAGTCTCAAATCACAAAAGCACTCAGGAAAATGAACCAGGTAAATCTATCGAAATTTTAGCATAGAAATACTAAGAAGAGTCGATTTATGTCTACTTTTCACGACTGCTTAGGCAAAATATACTTCAAATCTATGTAACTTAAACAACTCTTACAAGTTGTTCGATGTACTGCAGAAGATGAGTCCAAGCATCAAAATTTCTTGAATCATCTTTTAGTGGTTTCCAACAAAGTTTCAACAAATCTGTCGTTTCTCGATCACTCGAACGACTTCTGCTAAAATAATTTTCTTTACCAATTCCTAAATAATAAAAAACAAAGGTCAAATTTAAGTATTTTATACTAGTATAACACATATTTCACGGAGCATTTCATAAAAATTTAAAAGCTCTTAATGTAAAGCGAACTTTAAGCGAAGAAGAAAAGAGGACATCTATAACCGACCGTTAAACTCTGAATTTCAAGTCTCAGTGTAAGAAAAAAGATTTCGTGCCAAAGTTGAATGGAGACATTTCATTATTTCTTTTTTTGCACTTAAAGAAGCTTATACTGTTGTTCTCATGTGTTTCTAAAATCTTCAACTGTCTATTTCTTGCCTCCCACATCTTCAACCACTCGTGTTTTCTAAAACCTAAACCCCTATTGTTGTGACTTGTTACAGAAAAGTTTATTATTTATTTAATAACAAAAAATCTGATACCTCACGAATCTTGGTAGTAATGTATGCAGGTTAGAATCATTCAGTTGTAGACGTCTCTTAATTACTTATGGCAAGTAAGAAATTTTGGCTTATTTAACAATAAAAATAAGCGTACCTTCGACGATCATGGTGATGGCTTCGACTTCTCGTACGACCACGTCGCCTGCTATGACTACGACCACGATGACCACTATTAGGACTTCGACTACGACTACGGCTACGACTTTTGCTAGAACTTTCACTCCGACTTCGACCACGACCCATTTTTTCCAGCTTCTTCGTTAGCTTTTAACTGAAAAGTAAGACTCAGAAAAAAAAATTACTTGAAACATAGCTAACGGTTAACAATGCAAATACGCGTCGCTTTGTGCGTTTACTCATACTCTTAATAAACGCGACAAATTGATACACGTAATTCCACGCAAAATAATCTGAATAGCTAGATCAAAAAAAATCAATATTATAAAACTCAGTTTCATATGGAAGTTCAATACATAAAATTACTTATTTGATGATGACTGAAGATTCACACAGTCAAACACGTGGAAGAGTAGATGCAAGAAGAAGAATCTAAAATACGAAAAGCGCAAAGGAATATGTATGAAGTGCCCAGCACCAGGCCTCTGTAGTTGCATAGCGTCGCCTATGCAATATGATTCCCTTATTGGAGTGGAAACAACGTCAGGTGGTTGTCGTCGTGTCGTGTCGTGCTGAAGTGTCGGTTGTCTGCATGGATGTAATGTTGGGTGCTCTGTCATTGTCCTACGTATTCAAGCTTAATTTCAGGATGGCCACAAGTCTGTTCACATCTCTCTTACTCACTATATTACAGTTTTATAAGTGTTGTAACAAAGTTTGGAAAATACATTTGTTTTGACAATTATTACATCTTTGCATAAACTTACATTCCTATTGTTGTAAGATTTCCGGAGTGATACCATCTGGCAAGTGAGATTAAAACTATCTAATCGATCGGACATAAAAGTTGACGATGACGCGTTTTACATGTCCGCAGAGTAATGATATGATATTATCAGAGGGGTCAAAACAAGTTGCTTTTATATGGGTGTTTAATACCAAAGTGATGAGATGTTAGACGTGTATGTGTAGATAAGCTGAGATGAGAGGGACGAAGACAGTGTTCATGTTTTGAGTATGCTGGGACGATGCTTTATCCCTCGAAGCGTTTTCCCAAATCAGCTTCCCAAAAACGGGAATGCTGAGGTGGAGAAAATAATTCCCACCTATTGCAGGTGGACAAGTTTGGTTTGTTAGTACGGTCAGAGGCGCAACACAGAGATACCTACATTTTAGATTAAATGTCATGTTTATTGAAAATATTACATGAAAAGTGAAGCCATCAGAATTAAGTTCAATCGAAAGAGAAAAGGAAGCTGTAGCTAGCTTAGATTAGTTTGAACGAGATGTTAGATGATCGTATCCATTTCTATTCTCTCTCCTGTGTTTTGAGAAAAAGTAGGCGAATTGAATGGCTTCTTTAGTGCCACCTGTGGTAGTGTATTGAGCTGATATATTTATCAATCATGTTATGTACTTTTCCTAACCGATACGTCCTTAGTGCATATGTGATATTTCATTAATTTCAGTGCCTACAACTCCACATACAGTTTTCTGTAACTAAAGGACTGTATGATTTATTCGTTATTTCAGTATCCAAAACAAAGGTATAAGGATGTTTTACGTTTTGATTTAGATACAATCGCAGTAATCCAATTAAACAAGTTTAAGCATTTTGAGAGGGAGAGATTTTGATTGACTGAAATTTCTCTAGAGATCATTCTCAGAGTGAAAATATCAGAAACTTCAATTTGTAAAAGGAAGAATATGTGTTATGCATTGCGTGGGAGAGCCAACAAAGAAGTTAATCGAAAAATCAGTTTGACTAAATGATTATTATGAGTGGATAAAACGAACGAATGAATATCTTCGCTCCATTTTCATCCTATTCCATTGCATGGCGAATGAGGGATTGTTAGACAGGGAAAAAAGAAAAGGGGAATAATGTTGACGAACTGAGGGAAGCGACAGCAATGATTACCGATGGTTAGGGAAATGGAAATCAATAGAAGCTGACATTGTTGTTGTGTGATGTTTTCATCATATTTCGTATTTTCTCCTAGAAGTTGAATGAATTTGCACTTTTCTATCGATCTTAAATGGTTGTTCTTTGGAATTTTTTTTAAATCCCCAGTTTGCTAAACTGAGATGTTTGAGACACTGTAAGATTTTCTTAGATCATCCCGTATTCTTTGGCGTAAAAATTTAAAAGGAAATGTCGCTTAATATTTGGGAGTGACATGTAATATTTGTTTATAAGTCGTAAAGAGCTATAAAATGGGTAGGAATGATCTAAAATGGGTGAGTCTTCAAGGTGTCACTGATTTTGCTTTCGCCACTGCTTAATTTGGAATTCATTTTTTTTTTTGCTATTAAGGGGCAGTAAAAAATGTTGTTTGTTTTAAGTTAAGTATGTGAGGTTGCATAAATTGATGGATTTAACCTTGATCAGATTTTGACGTTTCTTTGTTGGATTCACATTTTCAGATTTCAGATTAATTCATTGGGCTTAACAGATTATATTATATATCGCTTCCATTGCTTTTTAATGGCAGAAAACGAGGCTAAAGCCCGGAAGAAGTTGGAGGACGCGGAAAAAAAGGCAAAGGGTGGAAGTGGATTTTTTAGTGGTTTATTTGGCAGTGCTAAGGCAGAAGAAGCTGCCGATCTTTTCGTGCAAGTTAGTATTTTGCAGTTTTTCGCCACTCAAAGTTTGCATGAATTTGCTGTTTTGCTAGGAATTTGTCAGTATTTGAATCCGAACTTGTTTTTCTTGTCACAAAAACTTGCTGAATTCGTTTCTAAAAGGATGCACTTTTGGAATTTGGATTCCACATATATCTTTTTAAGAGCACTTAGATTCGTGTAGTTCAGTTATTTTGCGATACTTTTTAATTTGTCTTACGTTTAGATTTGATTTTGTAGTTTCCTATGGAAAGTTCTAGGATGATTCAGAAACCGTATTAATATGCGAAGAAAATGGCTGTGGAATGGGTTTTCATGATGTCGCCGCTTTTGAAGACCATTATGAGCGGTTTCATAGATATCAGTGTGCTATATGTGGACGGCAATTTCCAAATACACATTGCCTAGAAATTCATGCTGACGAGAATCACTGTTCGATTTTTAAGATCAAAAGAGATCGTAATCCTTCCACAGCTCTGTTTCGATGTTACGAAGTCTCTTGTTCCCAAATATATGCAAATCCGGAAAAAAGGAATTGTCACTCTGAAGAGATGCATGGTATTAGAGATCCTTCACAATTTATGAGGAGGAAGTTGCCACGGAAAGAACTTATAGTAGAACAAATGAACGAAGTCAGCACTGTCAGCAGCAATCATCCTCGAATACTACGAAGAATAGTTTTTGGCAATGAACAGAAGGAGCCAACTTTTGAAATTAGAAGAACGAAAGTTCAGACAGACCAATGAGTAATGAAAATATATGAAGGAAGTTGCTGATCACTGACTATCCGTAATATTTGTAATATGCTACTAGTTGTTGAGTAAAATTAAGTTTACCTGTGCGAGTGAAATCAGTCGTGAGTTAATTCTGTTGCTGTCGTGATAGTGTTATTGAGCTGGCTGATTTTATAATTAGTTGTTCAGGCAGTGTATAAAATAAATAATTGCATGTTAAAGATTTCTCTGCAAAATGAGGTGCAAAGAAGCCACATAAAAAAGGTGTTTTATTTACTATTGTTATTGGATGATTTACTGTTCTTCTAATTATACGTACCATCCATATTGTGCCTTTCTATCCATTTAATAAAATTAATGTGGTTGATGGTTGAGGCTAATATCAGCAAAAAAGCAAGTTCGGAACAAATATGTTTTGTTCAATGCTTTTGGAGATTATAACTCTAGGAGGATTCAGTAGACTTGATATGAGACTTTTTTGATTGCTGTTTTGGATGGAAGTGCACCAGTTATGTTGCATTTTAATAATTAAGGCAGGGAATTTGTTCAAAATATCAAAACTGTGGAGAGAAGCAGGTGATGCATTTGTGAGATCCGCAGAATTACATGCAGCAGCTACTGATCGAAAGCACGATGCAGCTTCAAATTATGCCGAAGCGGCTAATTGTTATCGGAAAGTTAATCCGCAGGTAAACTTTTTGGGTTGTTTTTCCATCTCTTTGTTTAGTGATTAATTAGCAATCTGCATGGTAATCCAAATTTTTCCAGTAGATGTAAGATTGTCAATTTGAAATAATAGTATGCTTTTCATTTCATCGAATATTTTGGTTCTCGCTATGAACATGACTTTCTAAATAAACTTCCTATAACTGTTATTTTTTTTTTTTTTGTTTGTTCAAAGTTTTGTTATATTTTTGTTAACTTTAAGTAAGAGTGATTACGGATTATTAATTTAAACTAAAGTGGTGCTTTTGTAAGTGAATGTGACATTCTTAACAGAGATTATCCTTATGCACATTCAAATGCATGTATCTTGTAAAAGTATTCATTTTTAAAGAGAGATCGATTTCTCGTCAATGTTGCATTCCTTCCTTTTCTGATAGCATTAAATCCTTAGAGAGGACGAAGACTCAGATTTCGTGATACTGCTAAACTGATGTAGATTCGTTTCGTATATTCTAAGTCAGTAATCTGTCTCCCCCTTGATGTTATTATTAATTTTATGGTTTTAAAACTGTTATATGAAGTCATTGTTATGAATAACTTATTATGAAACATTGTGAAAAATTCAAAATAAGTTTTGTACAAATTTACAGAATAGTACATTGAAGCTGAAACGAAATTCAATAAAGTATTTGCAGCAAGCAATTGATTGCTTAATGAAGACTGCTGAAACATACACGGATATGGGTCGTTTTAACATGGCTGCCAAATATCATTGCACAATGGCCGAAATTTTTGAAAGTGAAGCTCCAGATATGACACAGGCCATGACTCATTATCAGGCATGATTTTTATATTGCTCAGCTTTTTTTTATTAGTGCAACAGAAATGTCTGAGCCTCCTTTCGGATCACATCGGTTTACATGTAAGTACTTCCAATTTTTCAGGAGGCAGCTGATTTTTATAAAGGTGAAGAAAGCCGAAGTTCAGCTACTAAGTGTATGATTAAAGTTGCACAGGTAATTTCTACTGTTTTTCTACATTTACCACCTCCGCTTCAAAATTAAATGCTTTTAATCTTCTTTGGTCTTCTTTGTCTTTGAAACGACAACCAAATACTTGATTTCTATCTACATAATTATTCTTTCTTAAGCAGTTTTTATGCCATTTTCAGTACGCTGCACAACTGGAAGATTATAAAAGGGCAATCAAAATTTTCGAAGAGGTAGCTACTTGGGAAGCCGATCATCCGACCTTAAAATATGCTGCAAAAAATCACTTTTTTCAAGCTCTTCTTTGCCACCTTTGCTTTGACTTGGTTAGTTTCTTTTTCATTATTTTAGAGGAAACATGAAAATGACTTTGGCGACATGAATGACTCAGTTTGCATAAAAAGCATAAAGTGAAAACATATTTCATTTTCCTCAGAACTAGTGAGAACAATCTATAAGTGTGAAACGGGGAAATTTGGAGATGATGTGCTGTAATATATTTTAGTAATACAGAAAACATTACGGTGTTACCCGTGATTAATTATAGTGAAATAAAATTTTTAATCTAGAATGGAGTTTTTGTGACTAGTATAATATTACGAAGGAATTTTGCTCATTTTAAATATTATACTAATATATCTTTTTTTTTACTTCTGTTGTTTAATTGTTAAAATTTTTAGCTAGACACTCAGAATGCGCTAAAACGCTACGAAGAAATTTCTCCATCATTTGTCGATTCACGAGAATATAAACTTATCAAGTTTGTCTCTGTCATCATTGTTGGGAGTTTTCGTTATATTCATTTAATGCAGCTTGGTCTGTTTGTTATATTTCAATATTTTAAACTTTATTTCTCAAGTTACTTTTCTTTTGTTGTTTTCAGTGAATTAATTTCGTGTTTGGAAGATAGAAATCAAGTTAAATTCACGGAGGTGGTAAAAGCTTTTGACAAAATATCACGTTTGGATCAGTGGCACACATCGCTTTTGGTCAAAATCAAAAGATCATGTGGTGATGAGGATGATGATGATCTTAAATGACCTTGTTTTATTCATTGTTCATAAAATATTAATCACTTATTCTATTTCAATTCCAGAATATTGACAACATAATTTAAGGAAGAATTGTAACTTCTTTCAATAGTTTGTGTTTTTGAAAATTTCCATAATCATTCAAAAATTTGTGGTTGAAGTGGAAATTTTAAGCTATTACTGTTCATCTGACTGATTGTATTGAAAAATGTATTGTGAAGAAACACTAGTTTGCAAATTGCTAATATATGAAATGTTTTGCAGTATAATTTTTATCTTTTTTAAATGCTTGTTGAATATTGGTTTGTTTTATTCCTGCAGGAAATTTTGACCAGCTTGATATCTTTCTAATTCACAAATCTCCCAAAGAACTCAAAATTTAAAGTTCACAAAACTTAGTGACACATCATAAACCCAAGAATAATACTACTGTTATAATGTCTCTTTCTCATCCATAATGCTTTCTTGATTGTAGTTCGATGACGCTTCGTAATATTTATGTATATATGGTTTTGCTTCGATTGTATGTGGAAATGTCTAAGATTAACATCATTTTGAAACCAAATAAGGTTGATTCTTTCTATTCCAGTGTTTAAAGATGACAATTCAGTTCATTGGTGCAGATTTCAAAATTATAGATTTTCATTTAGACGTTGATTTTGATCCACCAGTGAGAAATATTACAGTATGCCCGAAGAAATGTTCATTTGCATTGAAATCCGGGTAAGATTGTTAATGTCTCTTTTATTCATAAAGTTAAAGGGAAGAGAATGATGTTTTGAAATTATTTGTGAAACATAATATATAATCACGGGAATTGTTGAATGTGCTGTATAATTTTGATATTTCTAATAATTCAGTGCATTCACGTATGAAACATTGGCGAGCATACGCCAGCAAAGAGAGATGGGAATGAAAACGATGAGTGAGTTTCATGCAAAATCACAAATCATCCCTTAATTTGAAATGCAATTTTTGTACCCTTACTTAAGCCTGGAGGATATTTTTCTTAGCTATTTTGCATGCGAATGTTCTTAACTGCGGTGTGATATTGATAAAGGAATTTATTAAAATAAGATTATTTTCAGACTAGAAAGACTATTAGAAGGAAGGAAAAAAACTGAGGATTAACTTTGAAATTGAGAAAATAGAAAAATTATTTTTTAAGCCGACCAGTTATTATATTTTATTTATTAAGAAAAGTGCTGTACAAAAGGTTTCCGCAGCTTTATAATCCCCTGTATATTTTGAGTGAAGTCTTTCCAAATTGAATTTGAAAGCATAAAAAAGTTTAATGAACACAAATAAAGGGCTTAAGATTTCTCATCGTTTTCATTTCAAACCCATTCTTCCCTCCAAACTTCCTTGATAACATCCCCAAATTTCATATCTCAGTTCGCTGAGAAAATTAAAAGCGAACATTAGGAGTTTGCTTATTACGAAATGATTTATTATAACAGACTTTTGGTTGCGTTGTTAAATGAAATTAGATTGATTGAAATTTTGGATTTGTTTATTAAAAAAAATCGGATTTAAATCACTAAGCTGCACAAATCATTGGCATGTATCCAGCGCTACTCCGTTGATTTGAAGCTGAGTTCATTTAAAACGATATTCTAATTTGATAAAATTCAAATAGCAGCCTCAGAAGAAACTCAAGCTATTGAGCGCTAAGCTCCCTGATTTAGAACTTTTGACTACCGCACTTAAAACCATGCAGATTTTATGATTTGATGCAAAGAGCAAGTCATGGTTGATCCTATGGGTTATCCTGCACAAAATTCCTCATCCTTGATACTATCATTTCTCTTTCTCGTATCTAGTATTTCACATAACTGGCATTTGAAAAAATTTAAATCTAGTTTCTTTCTAGTACCTCTTCTTGCTTCTGTTTCTACTTTCTCACCCTTTCACACTTTTCTTGTCCATGCCTGTGTATTATGGTGTATGACTTATGTAAATAATGCAGAATGGGAAAAAAATCCATCTGGTCGATCAAAACTTGGTCTACACAAGAGAAGAATATGTAATTTATTCATACAATAAAAAATCAAAACAATCATTTCATTTGATATGCAGATCTATATCCGCAAGTTTAAGCTATTACGACAACTTCAATTCTTGTTTCTTTTTCTAACTGTTACTTTTTTCCTGCTCTTATCTATCTTTTCCCGATATCCTTGAATTTTTTTGCAACGGATTTATACGGTTTGAATACTGAGCATGATATCAGCGCTTTTTCAATAAATCTGAAGTTATAAGCAATTTGGAAAGTTTTACAGAAAAAAATTCGTTTTTTCAAAGTATAAATGATGGTTTCTGGAAGATTTTGGATCTAACGAAATTGAATTAAAGCGCTATATCACGGTAGAGTTAGGAATAAGATTACAGATACTCCTATACTATGCTTGTCATTCAATTATCTCTAGTTGCAATCCCTAAGGAGGAACACATTTTAAAGAAAGTTCATTCGTGAAATGACTAGATTTTCTCAGCTTGAAAAGGAGCAAATTTCTTCACTGCCCTTTCATATTTTTGAGTACACGAAAGTAATACTCGATCGTGATAAAAGATGACACGGTTCCTATAGAATTCTTGCAGTTCTGTGACATCCCTAATATTTTCCAAGCGAAGCGCATGCATCAATGCTGACTGAAATTTTTGGAATTATTTCCTTTTCTTACGATTTTATTCACTGGGTAATCACTATACGTACCCAAACAGATTAAACATCTAAATGTTTTAACAAGCCGTGATATTACTGCCATCGAAGAGTAAGCTGTCTATATTAACAACTGAAAGGATAAACAGAAACTCTAACAGCTTGTAATCTTTTCAAGCATAGAGCGCATTCCTGATCAAACTTTAATTTTTCTAATCTTAAATTTTTGCAATGTGGCAAAAAATGAAGTAGCCGAGAAAATGGGAAAGAAATATTTCCTTCGATTTTTATAAAATTAGAAATACAAAGTGACATACAGGGAATGCAGTTTCTCTACCCTCGACTCGGCGCTGGTGTGAAAGATTCAAGTTAATACACATTCGTTTTATTCTCGCAGCAATAATCCGTGATATGAGATATGTCACAGATGATTCCATTTCTGAATGAGATTTTTCAATAACATACTTCAACGGCTCAATATCAAGTAGCAAGCTAAAATATTAGGTGTTAAAAAGCAATGTTTGTTAAATTACATTCAGGCAGAAATTCCACCATTAATGTGTTGTTAAGGAGTACTTTGAAGCATTAACCTACTAATAAAACCTAAATGAGCAGCTAAAACAGCCACCGCTTTTCTGAGCAATAATTGCATATTCTCTTCCGAAAACTCATCCTCCATATCTTGCCTGCAATTCTTGCAACTTTTTAAAACATGTAGGAAAAAAGAAAGTGTTTTAACATTCAATTTTGCTTTTACCAAAAGATTTCAGAACATCCCTTTCTTCTTTTTCAAAAGTATAGAAGTATTCCAAAACACTTACGAGTTAGGCAGTTTTAATTTAACGGGACTGAATATAGGTAATGGTGGCGGTGGTCCCATTCTTACCCGATAGCAATTAATTTTGCGATTATACCACAGCAGTGAAATGGTATGCATTACCAACGGATCGAAATGAATCCTACAGTGAAAATTTTCACCGTAAAAATATTTCACTTAACACAATGCAGAGAGACATAACTAAATGATAACATTAAAACATGGTCCTTTAAAACAAAAAACTTACTCAACAACCTTACGTTTCTTTGTAGTTTCAGTTGAGTTGAACAGTTTGTTTTGTTTACTAAAACCATCTGAAATATACAATTACTCTTCGAACGACAATTGGAAGCATTATGAATTTAAAGAAAGATGCAATTTAGAACCGTGCCTGAAAAAATTTAGCAGATTTCAAAGTTCTGAAACCGTTAGCAAGAAACCAACACTGAGAAGTGTAGAAAACCAACCAACAACAGATTTGGACGGAGGTACAGCAGTCTCGAGTTCTCGGATCATCACTTCAGGCCTGACCAACAACAGAAAATCTTGCAGAGACCTTAAAAAAGTGAAGAAGGTGAATCAGAGGGAGAGAGTTAGAGAAAATGATCCATTCAAGTGCAAATATAAGTACCTGCATGGATGCAATGTCTCCTGAAATTAACAACGAGACTGATACACCGACTATTTTGAATGAACAGGATGAAACCAGGAAGGTATAGTTGCTGAAATCAAATATTTCAGTAACTGTACCCCTTTCTCCCCTCGTCATTGTATTCTATTTCTCAGCCAAGAAACTTCGTTGGTGTTACAAAATAAGAAAGATAATAGTCCTTGTCCAGGTAAAATGCATTTTACACACTTCAATTTATTTAACTGTTGCAAATTGCAAATGAAGTTTTTAATTATGAACTGAACCCAATGTGCAGACATTGTACATTTAAGCAATCCGGATAAATAAAACTATATAGACAGAGAGTATGTTCAAGTAATGCCAATGAATATAAATGTATCAAATTAATAAAATCAAAACTAAGAACCTGAATCAAGTAGAATACACTAATATGGGCAAAATTCGAAACACAATACACTTAATTTTATATTATAGGATCTGCACTACTGCTTAGTGAAGTATGATAAGAGCAGTATAAGATAGAACATTTTCCCTATAAAATATACAATTAGCAAAAAAAAAAAAAAAAAAAAAAAATGAGACTAACAAAACTGCTGAATTCGAAGATTTGAACATATTAGAGAATTATAAAGGTCATAAAACAAATTAGATTTAAACTAAGTCAATATATGGATTGAAGGGTAAAAAATATCAAACATCGATGGCTGAATATGGAAACATGGGGGTCACAGAAGAAGGATCAAATAAATGAAACTAATTGAAGCAAAAAAAAAAGGACATAAAAACTAGGTTAATAATATACATTTTAGACGTTTCATACATCCTCCGGATATCGCTAAAAGAATTTCAAATAAGATCATCTTCAAAAAGGTCCGGTAATGTCTCACCCTGACTCAAACTAAAAATATAATCACGTTCGGACGGTGGTGGACTTAGCTTCCTCATTACTTCTCGAATTTCTGAAAGCAAAATTAAATCTAACAAAAATTTCCAAAAAATAGAAAAGACGTAAAAATACATCTAAGAAGAAATTACCTTGACTAAACGTGGGACTGGTCTCTATTTGTGATTGTAGAGAACTGCACGTTTGCTGAGATGATTTCTGCCGATCGCTTTCTAAAAGGATTACATTCTCAACCAGGAAAAATTCTGTCTGTTCAGTTTTTATCAACATTTTTCTCATGATGTATTTTTTAGCATTATATCATTTCTGATCTACTATTATAATGTTTCAAATATTTTATAGTATAATTCAAAAAGAAACATTGCTTACGAGAGGGAATAAAAGGCAAAACGGGATCAGAGCTGTCGCTAAATTCTTCATCCAATCTCCTCTTCTTCAGTAAACCTTCATCTTCATCCTCCTCCAAAAACTGTCTGGGTACATCACCCTCCACAACATATGGTATAGGCTGAAATGGATGCTTTAGCAAAGTTTTTAAGAAGTGACCGAATCCTATGGAAAAAAAATCATGAAAATTATTTACATTTCACAAATTATAAATATCATTTTGAATACCTGAGACTTGTTAGTAAATAAGTCGCCTTGACTTTGATCACTGTTCATTTCTCCTAACAGTATTGCGTTGGCGGGGCCAAATGTACTTTTCAGTCGTAAATTGTATTGCATATCAAAGTCACGCATCTGTATATTTCAGTTTCAATTGAAAAACGAAAATTACAGATGAAAACGAGTAAAATGATATTAAGATATTAAAAAAAATGCTAAATTGTGTAAGTAAAGCAAACCCTTGGAGGTGCACCAATTTCAACAAAAGTCCCAGGAGGAGCCTGTATCGCAAAAACCCGGCTATCTTCAAAAACTGACAGTATGTCTTCTTCCGTCAAATATGCCAACTTCATGTTTTTTTGATATTCACTAACATTTCGTAAGCTCTGGAAATTACACTTCATAATTACATTTCAAAGATAAAAACAAGTAATAGCAGATGAAAATGAAACCATAAATATGGAAGCGGTGAAAATTTAAACTTGTTTCATCCACTTAATGTGGGTATCGAGAATGCGTTCTTCCTTCTCCAACTCTTCTAACTCAGCTTTCTGCTTCAAAATACGTTTCTGTTCTTCAGGATCAATATCCGGAAATGAACCATGCTTCCTCAACTTTCCACCTCTTTAACGAAAACAATGCACCAATTAATTAAAAATTAATGAAGTGGGCATCAACAATACTACTACTTGAAACTTACTTCCAATTAATGATATTTTTCGACTTTTTTTCAATTAATCCAATACCTTCCAGCACGTTGGTTATATCGTATATCCTTCGTTTCTGTCTCACTTGTAGTTCTTCTGCGGCCTTTAGAATACATAAAAAAGTTTCAAAACCACTGATGTTCAGATCACAGAAATTCAAATCAAGAACCACAACTTAGATACGCTTCACTTTTAAAATAGCCATTCCTTTGCCAGCTACTTCAGTCATTATTAATTAAGCAACAGAGAAAGAAAAATTCCTCAAAAGCTAAGAATGTAATGAAATCGCACGAACAAAAATATGATACTCTGAAGTAGCAAAAAATAAAGTGGTGAATAAAAAAACACACATATATCAAGGAAGATAATTTTTTTATTATCTTACAACTTATCTTAGCAATCAGGAAAAGAAATCAAGAATTCTCACAATATTCAAATCGACAATGCCACCCCGTGCTCGTTGTAATAAATCAACAAATCGCTGGGTTAATATGCCAAGTGATTTTTCAGCACGACATACAGACGATGGTTGTTTCACATCCTCATCATCGACTGATTCTTCATCATATCCACTTACAACAATTTCGGGATCTTTATCCTCCATTGCTTTCTGATTCGGTCCATTGATTTCCAGTGACTGATGCCTCCACTGTTTCACACTAGTCATTCTTTCAAGATGATGCAATTAGTGCGATGTCACACTAGAAACTTAGTCGCAGTAGCTAGTCTTGAAACAAATCAATTAAAATAAACTCCTTCTAATGAAACAGGAAGAGATGATTAATTTACTGAACTTCCTGCATCAGAACAACTTAGCATGAATTAATTCAAACTGATGTGAAATGAAAATGAAGCAAATCCTTCAATGGTAATCGATTTCACAAATTTCTGACGATGCTAAAATCGAAATGCGTAAAATCCTAAATAAGCGATCATTGTTTTTCAAACGATGGTGAAGCGCATCAACAGATTCCATGTGAACGACCTTGCATCATCAGCAAAAAACGCTAATACTTCAAGCACTTAAAAATGACAAATAGTTCCCGTTACTAACGGTTTGCAAAAATTAAAAACTACCAGCTTCAAATTTTTAATAAGTCATAGTACAATAACTAATAAGCAAAGTTTTCATTTAAATAACTGGTATAAATCTGCACTACTATTTTTCCATTCATGAATTCAAAAAAGTCTAATACATTCAGTGCACAGATAATTCATAACTAAAACAGTCATACTATATTGGAGAACCATCAACAAAGATTCAAGAAAATCACACCAAGAAATAAAAGTGAAGCATAACAACATCATACATACAAAGATTTAACAAATCTTAATTATCTTCATCATCATCATCTTCAATAATCACTTTTCTTTTTTTCTGTTTTCTCCTTTCCTGCAATGACAAACCTAATCATTTTGAATCTATTTATGGACTCATTTATTACAGTTATCCTGCGACCAGAGGAAAAAAATACCACAATACTGTATTTAAAGAATAATATTAAGCCAATAACCTGGTCACTATCACTGTCTTCACTATCTTTTTTAGCATCATGCAGTCTCTTGGAATCTGAATCTTCAGAATCTGAATGGCCAATCAACGGTCTATCATCCAAACCATGCTTATAGCGATTCTTGATGGCAGATATTGACTCTTCGTCTATAAGACAAAATGTTAAATCTAATAAATTAAAGATCAATGAAAAAAAAAAATAGTAAAATCTTTAGCTGTACCAGAATCTTCGTCTCTGTCCTCCAAAAAGTTAGCGGTCAGCCCTGACCGACCTAGAGATGGACGCATACGATTACGCCTCTGTTGTGCTTCACGACGACTTTGAGCACGCATACGTTCTTCTTCTTTTCGAACTATTTCCTGAAGCAGAATAACCTCTACTATATTCTATCCTTCCTCTTACTCAAAATTACATTTGCAAGTTGTAAATTGAAAATAAAGAACAAATTATACCGCCTTCTTCGATTCTGGATTTGAACCAACTGCTGTTAAAACTTTTACTTTCTGCGACTTATTAGATCGATCTGCCATTGATAGTGTAACTTTTCGATGCGTGATAGAATCAGTTGAATGCGGCCGAAATACTAATTTTTCCCTTTAAACAAAGATGTTCCTCATCCAAAGTCAGCACATATAATAAACTAAAAAAGCTTTCCCAAATCATTTTATTCACACATAAAATCTTCGGGGCTTGGATTATGTCTTAAAAATGAAATGAAACACATCTTATGTCTGGCAAACTCAAAAATGAAGAAATATAATTTTAACTAGAAAATTGAAAATTGGAATTTACTTGAAAACAGCATGCCCTTGTAAGCCCGCACCTTGTCGCAAGAACAAATGATTATCAAGTTGCATTGGTTGTACTGTTATATCGAAAATTTCTCCACCAAGGTAAAGAGACATCCTGAAAGTCTTTCCACAGGTGACACTAAAAATCTTTTAAAAAATCCAATAGATTTGAAAATCAACAACAGTATTCCAGAAACACACGTTCCATCCGACCAGCGAACAACCTTTGAATTCCCCTGCTTCTGTATATTACCAGCATCATCTAATACATAACGCCAACGGATTGTATTTTCCACCTACGAACAAAGTAGTTTAAGTATTATAAATAAAATCAGCACTAGTTCAATATCAATTGATGTGCACAGATGCACTTAATGACTGCATTGTTACATTAGCTCAAAATCAGAGAATACCTGGTTCGCAGTTTTATATCGCTCATTACATAGATATAACTAGGAAATGAACTGCAGTCATATCCCTATATATTTGTTGCAGCAAGCTATTTTCTTGAGCAATAGAGTTTAATCAAAATGTATGCTTGACATTAAATAGTTCTTGACACTAAGCAATCCATTCGAGGCTAGATTTTGAAAAATAGTCATAAAAGCTGAATGCTGGGTATTTTACATATCTGTTAATCATAAGATGCTATAAAGAAGAACATCAGTACATACTCGCAACTTTAATCTAGCACGTCCCTCTTCATCTAGCAAATCGTCTTCATCAAATTCATCTTCATAATGATCCTGATCAAATGGACGCGGTTCAATACTCAAAAAGTTTGGGAATTTCACAAAATATAATCCTTCGTCAGTGAATTTTGGACATATTCTTGCAGTGTTAACTTCAACGATTGTCGGCTCAAGGCGTTCAGTATCTGCAGCACTTGTTTCTGGATCAGGATAAAGACGCGGTCCAACTATGTCATCCTCTGTTAATTCCTACAACAAAACCTTTGTGCCTTTTTTGAGTGATAGAACTAATTATTGAAGTTAAAGTCTTATCAAATATATCTTACTTACAATTCAGTATGCTATTAATGCCATATTCAAACTCATTTAATACGCAATAAAACTACATTTTTTTAAATTCTCGAAATCAGATTCATTTTTAATTGGTATCATGCACCTCAAACATGACATCCGACTATTTCCCAAAATTTATGGAAAAGTATTTTGCACCACAACATGTTATTACGCTATTTGCAACTACGGAAATTTTAAAGCAGCAGTGAAATTCGTTCCGGTTTGCGAAATAAAAGGAGTGATTTTAGTATTTTTTATCAAGTTTCCCAGAACCGATAAAGTAGATTTAAAAGATCGTGAATTCTATAATTTAAAGTTAACGAATTTTTATTGGTTATCAAAGGTTTCGCCTTAATAATCAATAAAAATCTAAGGAAACTAACCTTTCGTCCTTCGTCACTTTCTTTATCACTGTCACTTTCAGATAATGCAATATCTTTAAGCCCTTGTTTCCCCTCCTCTATTTCATCTGTTTCTGAAGGGCTCTTTGATGTGTTGTCACCATCTTTTTCGCTATCATTGGATTCCTTTGCTTCATCTAACTCGTGTTCCGAAACAGAATCTGAATCATCAGAAACAGCTGGAAGTGGCTGCCGTTCTGATAGGGCATCTAAATCTTCCTCAGCTTCCAAACGTCGCTCTGAAGGAGCACCAGAGTCATCACTTTCTGCAGATACGCTTTTTTCAACAGTGAAGCCTTCCACTGTAAAGAAAAATCCACAATTACTAAGTAAAGTAAAGAGGAAGAATGTCATCAGTGAACTTCATAAGCACTACGTATTTCACCTTTCTTCCTTATTTGTTCATCATCATCATCCGATGATGTGACTGTACTTCGTTGCTGCTCCTCAGCTATGGAATCGTCCTCTGATGTGCTTTCCTGGGCATTTACTCTTGATTCGTCATCACTTGAACTATCTTCTGAGGACATTAGTAAGCTGGAAATTGAAATAATATAGTACAATAAAAGTAAAATGAAAATAAACACTGCTTGCAAAGTACAATTACTTTATTAATATAAATAATTTTGAAAATGTGAGAAAAAAATAGTGAAGAAATGATAAAAATGAATACATAGTATAATTACAATTACCCCATTCATGCTCATACTCTTCATTAAATCAGTAGTTTATTTCCTTCAATGCATGATAAGGTAAACCGGTAAGCACTTCGATATCACGCAACAACTTACTCTACTACTAACAATTACCACGTAGCTACGTAAATCGACGTAAGTGCTGATGCGCTCGATCAGAGCGAATGCGGCCCGTCAAATTCAAACCCATTTGAGGTAAATATCAATTTAGATGGAAATGGGACCTAGGGAATACCTATACTGTGGTAAGAGATAAGTAGAGGTGATGTTTCGCTCTGCCCATCGATATATCCCGTCATCACGAGTAATTCATCAACAGCTATTGAGAAGATACAGCAATTACGGCGAGATCGACTTGAGGTAACAGTTTAGGCTTTAATAGTTGTGAAGAAAGCTATCATTAGTATTCGTCTGTTCTTTTTTTATCTTGGAAGCATTCTGTTTGCATCATTAGCATCTCTTCTTTTATTCTGGAAGTATTCTCTCTGAGGATTTGAAATATGTAGAAATTTTGATGTTCGAATATTTGAATGGAAGGATGTGCTGTTAAAAGAAGGATAAGGAAGAATTAAAGCAAATGCAGTGATCACAGGAACATTAGTGATAATAAAGTGGTGAAATAGTTAATGGTAATAATATATGGTGAAAAGATTAATTAGAATAAGTTCAAATTATCTGTCGATGAATTTAATTGAATTTTCAGCAAACCGTGTACGGTGATTTGTAAGAGCGGCACAATTGCTTGCTGGCATCCAGAGAGGTCATTCCCCTACGAACATTCCAAACCCATTGATTTGAAAGAAATAAAGGCGCAGAAGCAGGTTGTTCTTGTTTTATTTGGAAATATGATTGGCTGATCGATGAGGTCTCAAATGTATAAATGTGCAATGCGTAGTAAATAGTAGTGTGTTGCAATTTTTTTTTCTTATTTCTCTTTGTTTCAACATTCATAAACAATTAAATAAGTGAGATCGATAGAATCAGTGATCTAAATGAATTTCATCGAAGTTCTACTTTGAAAAGAAGTCGAATTTTATACCACGGGATTATGCTTTTCTTTCACAAGTTGCAGGGTTCGAGTGTACTGAATAAAGAGACCGAGTGTATTGCTGATTTAGGAGGTTCACTTGCACGTACAGGCCCTCGTAATTATATACTTCGTGAAATATTTTATACTGGCAAGCACGAGTGGTACACAAGGTATATTTTTGCAGTTTTGAAAGATATTAAACAACAGGCATTTGTGTGATTCATACTAACCTCGAGAATGTGGGAAGCTTGAGCTACAATTGTTCCCGATTTCTTTGTACATGGAGATGCTGCGTCACAGATCTTTTCATGCATCTCACTTTGGTCTGTAAAAAATAGGTATTGCAAACTGCATATTTCAGAAGCTTCAATCAAGCTGGAAAGATATTCTACAAAAGGTATTATGCAGACTAAAACTTGCTAATATCTTTTCTGTTTGAATTAGTCTAGCCCATATATTGGAACTAGTATTTCATGTTTCTATTTCATTTTAAAATAATATTTAGCACATTTTTAGATACCGTGAGGAAAGATTGCGTTCGGTAGCAGCACCTGACCCGAAGAGACGCGAGTGATCATCCTTGAAAAGTTATTTGAATAGTGCTAACTCATTGTGTTGTCTTTAATTGTTGCTCCTTTATCTTTTATCAGGTCAAACTGTTTACTTAATATTTGTTTTCTGCTTGAGACTTCCCATTTTGATTTGATATGCGGTTTGATGCGTTTTCATTGCGAAGTGTCGCTGATGCAATATGGTTAGGTCGTATCACCTATGCTGATGGATTGAGACATCAACACTGTTATGTTGACAAACTTCTTGCTTTACGAAAACTGGGATCTGATTCGATGAAAAAGTAAGTTTGAGTTGATATTCTGCAGGTCCTTACATTTATAAAAATCCTTATATTAAAAAAAATTTTTTTTATGAGATTTCAGGAGCTACTTATTATTATTAGAGCACACACCTGTCTATACTGTTGGAATAAGGCACTTCCAATACAATAAAGATGAAGAAAACCGGTTGAAGAAACTGGGTGCTGATTTCTTTCGGTATTCAGTTTTATATGTTATGTAAGATAAAGTGATCATAAAGAGTACATATGTTTAATTCAAAAAAATTTGAATTTTTGGAACTGAAATATTTGATAAAATATAAGCACCACATATATCGATTCTCGCGCGCATGATTATGCAGCATTTGATTTATTTAACATGTCTGAATAGACTTTTATGAGTGGTAATCCAAAACTTCAGCTAATTCCAGGATGATGGAAATATTCCTTTCCTAAATCTTTATTCTTCATACATTTAGTTCAAATTTTAATTTCTCAATACATCTTCACTTTTTTTTCGGTTTGAGTATTTGGATTTCCAGGACAAAGCGAGGTGGACTCATTACATTTCATGGCCCAGGCCAGCTTGTTGTTTATCCTATTGTTGATCTCCATTCTTTGCATGTGAAGGGTCCGGACCAGAACTCCACTGTTGTAGGCGTTCGCCGTTATGTATATCTTGTCGAAGAGGCAATCATCAAAACTGTTCGTGATTTCGGTTTGCGTGGTGCAGATAGATCGCCCAATACAGGTTAAGTCTCGAGATTTTAAGTAAAATGTCCTTTGGCAGTATTTTATCACATCTCATTTATTTTTGACAGCGATACATAACCAAAAGAAAATTGGAAAGTCCGAACAACAAACTATACTGATGGCATATTAAAATCCAGATGATTGAAGTAATTCTGGTGCATGTGAGTTCAGATGACCAAATTTCAAGATCGACATTGGAAACAAGAAAAAATTACCAAGTCATCCAAAAATTTTGCCTTATTATATTATAATGTTATTATTTATATTTCACTTGTTGCTATTGTTTTACTTGATAAATCAGTAGTATTTTTAGGAGTTTGGTTAGCAAATGGTATGAGGAAAATAGCGGCAATTGGCATAAATGTTCGCGATGGCATCGTTAGTCATGGCTTAGCACTTAACTGCAATACGGATTTGAACTGGTTTCATCAGGTACAATCTTATTGCGTTTAGTGTTTCCAATCATATTTTTTGATGTTGTGGATCTTGCACAGGAAATACGATTTGTTTTCTTCACACCATGTTTGTAACCGTCTCATTTTATATTTTAAAGTCCAAACGCCAGAACATTTAAATTCAGATGACCAAATTTCGATCACAATCGGGGACTGGGACAAGACAAAAGTATCAAGTCTATCCAAAATCTTTCTTGACCTCTAAATAAATTCTTACATTTTACATTTTTATCATACATACCCCCCATGAAATTAGTTTCAGATTGTACCGTGCGGTTTAGTTGGAAAAGAAGTCACTTCTCTAACGCAAGAGCTGGGAAGAAATGTTTCAGTAAATGATGTTTTTCCAATTTTTTGCGAAAAGTTTGCTGAGGTATTCCATTTTAATGTCAAAATTTGCAGTTCAGAGAAATTTTGTGAAAATGATTAAGTAAAACTTTCAAAGATTGAAGACATCACTAGTCATTTTGAATCTTTTTAGGTGAAAGAATTTTTTCCTGAGTTCGGAATCTTTTTTCTCCTTAAAATGCTTTTAATATAATGAAATGACTGGGTAGGTAAAAAGTACTTTCGAGAATTTGAGTCGGAAATAAATGTATAACTAAAGTTAGTAAAAAATAAAGAATTAGACGAAATGTTGATTCCAAAAAATGCCTCGTCGTGGAGCTCTAAATCCTCTGAATCTCAAGAAAGAGGTGTCTGCTGTTGTACTTCAGCTATTATTATATCGTTAGCATTTCAAAAGTGTTGCTTTCTTTCATGAAGTAAGTGTAAAAGTGATTTCAAAAAACATATCCTCACTTTTTGTGGTCCAGAGAAGTTTTGCAGAAAAGATTAAGCTTCAAAAAATTGAAATTACACAGCTCTGAATTGAACATAACTGCATTTCAAGATTTTTTTTTACATCTCTGCAGTAGTTGGCTTTCTACTTCGGCACAAAGGTCGTTTAAATTTTGTTGTTGTCCAGCGATATAACATGTGATTTTATAAGTCCATGCATAAGCTGCGGTTCAGAGATCGTTTACTAAATTGCTTTCGCTAAATGACAATGACTGACTGATGTGATTGCGATTTGCAAATCTTATTCTACCGATACTTTGGTAGAGATGTAGATCAATTTGGTAACGGTTTTGAATTGGGATGCGGGTTGCATGTTTGCGCAAATTGTGCTATGGATATGCCTAAAATATGGCCCGAATTAAAGTTATTACAGCTATGAAACACTTTTAGTTTCCAGTATGTCCCTCGGGAGCAAGAACAAAATTACAACATTGAAGTGAACTATATCCAAGTTCTTCATCAGATGTTATTCCATCTCATACCTGTGGCTAGCTGTCAATTGTCAACTGTTTTGGTTTATTGAATAGGATACTTCCAATTCTAATGCTTTAGCAGATGGTAAAATCGAAGAGATAAATTTATAACAAGATGTATTTCAAGATAGTAAGATAAAATATGTCGTTAATAACGGCAGCAATATTAAGAATGTTTTTAATAATAACAACAGATAAAAAGAAGTAAATAAATAATAGAAAAATGCCTGGAAATAACTAGATGAGGTTTTAAAATTTACAATTTTCAATTTATAAAGCATCGTAAGGATTACAAATCTTGTTTTCACTTAACACCTCGCTATCACAAACGCGGTACTGTTCCGGCCAACCTTCTCTGACTGTTTCTAATTGTCTGTAGCATGTGTTGTCTGATTTCCTGCAAAAGAAGATGTGCTTGTTACTGCCAAGTCGAATTCACGAAATAAAAAGAAAAAGAGTAAAAATAAATGACAGAAGTGAAGAGATATGATAAGGTTGAGAATATATTCCTACTTATATGAATGAGAATATATTCTGCAACGAGGACACACCGCAAACAATTCCAGCGCGGATACAATTTCTCCTTTCATTGTGGAAATGTTGAGCAGTGGCACCTAACAGAAATATGCGCAACAGTTAGTAATATGTTTACTACTCGTTAATTCTTTACAGGATATTGAAGAAGTGAGGTATAAATTTTGGGAACTTCTCCCGAATTCATCAGAATCAAACCAACTTTGAAAATAGTTAATGGCGTTATTGAAAGATTTTTTAGTAAATAAATTCCATTCACTCCAGGACATTGACGTAGCTGAAGTTTCTGATTACATCGAGCTGGTTTTTCATGACATGGAACCTGCAGCAGTAATAATGACTCTTATGTTAAATTTTTCCTTATCTCCAAATACTTCTCATTTTCTCTTTTCTGACAACGTAGAAAATATAAATTTAAAGCTGAAGTAGTCTTTCTTTTTTAAACAAGGGAGAGAAAGAGAAGAAGATCATGCCATGTATTTTCGAGAGAAATTACCATCGAAAAAAGTTAAGAATTTAACTGGCCGTTTGAATCAGTGAAGGACAGGTTGATTCCATTTTATTTCCAAGAGAATTTTCATATCTCAACACAATATAAGCTGAGCTTCCACATTGTTTATCACATAATTCCTGTGATAAAGTGACGAGTAATTTCACGTAGAAGTGAGTATTCATTTTTGTAGCTCAAGGAATATCAACGATTCTATACAATGTCTTTACGTGCAAGTAAGAATTATTAATACAATTATAAAAATGGAACTTCATGTTGACAACTTCAGGAACTCTATACCATTCTATTATTATTAATAAAGACTTTTTTAAGGCTTCAGTACTTGTACTTAGCTGTTCCGATTAATAATGTATTCAAGGAGATAGGTAGATGACACATATTACATATACATGTTTCATAAAAATTGATAACATTAAATGTAAAATAAATAGTAAAATATTTTGTAAATAAACTTGAAGTTGTAGAAAAAAGAGAGTTGTTGATTGTATGTACCTCAGACTTCTGCGGATACAAGTAATGACAGTGTGTGAGTGTTATTGAACCAACATAAGTCTGATAGATTCGATGTTCTGCTTTCATTACTGCTAACTGTTTCTGTAATATTTAATACTGATAACTATAAATAGTTGTGTACATTTTAAATCTGTAGGAAAGGCTGACCCTCGAATTGTCTAGTAATAGCATGACTGGTATGAAGAATCCAATGAGCAAAGCCAATATTCCAAATTGAATGAACAACAAGTATTTGCAAGGTTTACGACGACTAATATAACGCAACAAGCGCTTTTGAAGATTCTGATGTGACATGCTAGGCTGGAACAAATGAAATAGAACAATGGATCTGTTTTGAAATAACGAAAACTAGCATATGCTAGAAGTTCCTTTAATGCTCAAAAGTATTTGCTAACTTTGGCTTTGATTGCTTTGTTTAGTAGAAGTCATAATAGTAGTGGATTTTGTAAATATATCATTAATGTCATTAAATTATACGTGAAAAACTTAAGTAAGTAAGAATGAGATGAAATGTAGCTTTGCATGAAGTGTAGATGGGAAAAAAAATTACCATTCTTGACACACCGCTTAATAAAAGAACCGCCCGTGTATTGAAATGAATACTAAAATCACTTGCAATCTCGAATTTTTTAAACTCTATCAAATTTGTACCAGAGTATTTATTATTCATGCATTTGATATGAAATTTAGAATGAAATTTGCATGAGAGAGTTAAAGTATACGTTTTTTGATGATCACAATTTGATATTTTAAATAATTAAAATGAATCTCATTCATTCCAGTAAACATAAATTTAAGGAGTTATTGTAATATCTGAAGAAAGCCAAAAGTGGTGTTTAATGAAATAAGTGATAACATTATTAGCCTAAGGACTTTTTGCTTCTATGTTTCGTCACGAACAATTTCTGCTAGATGTTTGTCATTCACAACGTGTCAACATACGCCTCAATGGCTGACATCCTTTTGCGCCACCATCATTTTTTACATCAAAATAGCATACTGTTCTTACCCTTACAGATTTAGTACAGTGGTATGTATGGATGATTTCAAATCACTTCAGTTACTTAGATATCAAACAATTTTTTGACTTTGCAATAGTATGCAAATATAATTCAGGAATAGCTATGATCTAAGTTTGCATCGTTGATAGTAATGTCCAGTAATATTCTGTCCATGGGAGACTATTAATCTCAAATGTCTTGAACAGTTTCTGAATGCTACAGTTTTGAACCATACTATAGATTTTAAACGACTTTGTCTGTTTTTTTTCCATACCATAAACTTAACAATAAGCTTTGATAAATTTCTATTTTTGCTTCCTGCATCATATGCGAAATAATGTTTTATTTTTTAAAACAAAATCACTCTGAATGCTTTTTACCCGTCCTTTCCCTTGTTCGTCACAGTTCACTGTTTGGTATTTTTCTCACAACGGTAAATTTACTATAGTTACGAACAATTTTGGCTGAGATACGGAAGTGTTTCATTTCTATTCGAAAGCAACTATTATTTAACTTTTTTTTTTTTTGTTTTCATTTTAATCTACCTTAATTTTACCCTTAAATTTATCCTTCAACTTTCATTTATTTTTTTTTTCATCTATTACCTCAAAAAAAGTTCTATTAATTTCATTTCAAGTTTTCAAAGCAAATCGAAATTGCAGTCTGAAAATGGGGTTCGCCAATATATTCGAAAAACTTTCTTAGTGCAAGACAATCAGTGATCTGAGTAGCTGATCATGGAGTGATTCCTTTACATTTTGGATGGATAAGACTTAATGTAATTGATAAGAAGAAGCATTATTAACTTTGTATTCTTTGTCAAAAATTAATGCTAAAATCAAAAAATTTTGCGAGAAATTTTAACAGTTTCAATTAAGAAAAAATTGTTAAAATTTATGGTTGAAAAATTTCCGTGTCATCAGGGACAATAAAATTAACATAAATTTCAGGGCTTATTGAATTCTTTTTCGCATGTAATTAAAATTTTTGAGAATCTTGGATATAAACTTTACATTGATAAATTACTCGAAAATGTCCCATTTGATGTTCTGTGGAGTGATGAATATCCATTTTATGACCTTTTATTCAGCTTACATTTTAACCAGGTTGTAGCCTTATCAAAAGGAGAATTATATGGCTCAAGCTCAAGACATTACACAAGCAAGGTGAATTTAAAACTTTAAGAAAAAGTGTAGCGCTCAAAGCAACAAATGTTCTAAATTTGTTTCATCCTATAAAACAAAATTGGAAGTCAGCAAGCTTAACATCTGAAGTAACAAAAGCTTTCGATTTATTGCCAAAACGAGATGAGTTTTTAAACTATAACAAGCAAGCGCTCATCCAATAAATAAATAAAAACAAAAAAAAAAAAAACGGACATCATGGGATCAGAATAGGAAATGTCAAAGAAGTCCGTCTTTTGGACAATGATTCATTTATTTGGGAATATATATTAAGCTCATTTTTCATCGATCAGACGGTAAATCAGATATGAAACTATTAGTAAGATCAACAGAGATATTATCAATATTTTCCAGCAAAATATTGATATTTTGTGGTTGCTGGAAAAGTGTTATGCCATAAATACCGTTATTGTTATAAATTTAATAAAAAGACGAGTTTCTTCGCAAGATATTCGAAAGATTCGAAAAAAAAAAGCCTTTTTTGGAATGATAAGTTGGAACTAGAAAAAATCTATAAGCATCATAGATTGACAACAAAAATAAGCAAGTAAAGTTAAATGATAATTGTTGATAGAAAGTTTTTATTTCAAATCCTGCAAGGTTTATTAGTTGATTGCTTTTTTCAGTAAATTCGATATTGGTATTTATATCACGCTATTGAAAGTATTAACTTGATTTATTTAAGTTTAAATATATTCCAAAGTAATTTATAATATCTTTTCTTTAGTACAATTTAAAATGGATAAACCTACCAAGAAGAAAAAACCGTATTTAGCAAAGCTAAAGGTAGTCAAGAAATGTCCGTTTCTGTTTGTGATCTTCAAGTGTTCAACAATGACTGCGAATTTAAATGTTTCGACAAAGATGGCCGTAAAAAAGAGCTGGCAATTATTTTCACCTATTAAAGTATCACTTAGATTTTTGATAGAACTACTTCTGTAAATGTTATTAGTTTTGCATTTTAATTTCCCTATGCTTTTACATCAATAGACTGAGAAGTAAGAATGATTACGGAATTATCAAGTGCCTTTCACAGTTTAACTTCCATCAGTGTACCTTATAAGCATATACCTTAGCAGGCTGTATGCATCATTTTTGCATACCAATTTCATCGGTAAAGTTGAATTACAATCTCAAAAAATAGCAAATAATAAGTAACACACTTCAACCAAACCATTTCCAGAAATACCAACTATACAGGCATCGCATGAATTATCAGTTGTTGGGCATCCTAGAATCAACTTATGAAGAGCACATGCCCAGGCGTAACACACGTCGAATATTGCCACGTACGATACACAAAGCAAAAAATGTTAGCCAACTTGGGTAGAAAACTGGATATATTGCTTACTCTTTCATTCGAAAGTAAATTTAGGGTTGATAAAACTTGGTGTTTTTGAATATTCATCGCTGGAGTAAATTGCATTTTCGCCTTTACTTTTGTATCAACGTATCAAAGGGAATAAGTTATAAACTGAAGGAATAAGCTATGTCAAAAGGCGAATATATTTTCTAAAAGCACATTTCTTCTCATATTTTTGTCACATTTCATTAAAAAAACAAAAGATTCTTGGAATTAAAATCTTTAAATGCTAGTCCGATAAGTATAAGTAACAAATGGAAATCAGAATTTAAAAGGAGTATTGCTTTAGGATACAGCACGATTTGATATCAGAATTCGAAGTAGGTAATGTATGACTTTTAACACTACTAAAGGAATTTTTTGCTCTATAATAAGCAATCAAACACTGACTGAAAAGTAAATATCGATGTGCAGCTAGAACCATCATTTCTTCTTTTAACTTTCGTGCATATCTATTAGCAAGTAAGTTTCAAATTCTAGAGAATTAACACGGTAAATTTTATTAGCGAGTTCTTTTCCATTGCTATAAAACCACGGAGTTTCTGAACTTAATGACTCACGTAACATGCAAGATATGCAGGATCAATGTTACAGCATGCATTATGTAGAGATGAATAATGATCTTAAGAAGAATGAGTAAGTCAAACAGGTCCCAGTCACACAAAATATCAAAAATAAATTGCTCTTAGATGAATTACATTTAAAAGATTTGCCTCTCTTCATGATCTGAAATTTCATCGATCTTCAGTTCATGACAATTTCATAAATGCTCTTAATTCTTTTAAAAACAATATTTTCAACATCTATAGGATTTTTATAATACTATTCCAATAAATTTCCAAGGTCTATGAAAGGTTCTATCAAATGACGAGAAGCTGATGAATAGCTGCATGACATTCTCATCTAACCACAAAAACGTAATTCTGCGACTGCCTTAAAAGGCTACCTTAAAAGCAAAATATTTTTACTTATCGAACAATCGGTGTATGTTCAGTATATGTATATGCTTCCTTCGAATTTGCTTTGTATTTAAGCCACGGTAATTTAGCTTTCAAAAAGTAGATAAGAATATATGCTAATGAATTCAAATCGCCCATACTACTTAACGATGTGAACTTTTTTAATATAAATTTCATTTTATTTATTGAAAATTTAATTTTTTTGCATTTATTCCAAGGGCATCACTCCACTTTTCATGTTTGCAGTAAAATTGATATTGAATTATTATTTATTCGTTACTGATAAAAAAAGTTCTTACGAAAACTAAGCATTTGAAGAGACGAAACATACAATAAAACTTTTTTTTTTTTTGTATTCTGTATGTGGATCCATGAATCCTTGCATGGACTCATCCATATCTGTTAATTTAATGAAGACCATCAAATAAACATCATTTTCTTGGCCATAACCAGCACCATGGATTATTAACTCATAAAGATGACTTTAAACTTTACTGTATATGCAATGTAAGGTATCTCTCTGTAATGATAAAATTTTACCGAGGATATTTACTAGGAAAAAGAGAAACATGAAAGCAAAACCCGATACAGCTACGAATTTTAATATTTTGTGCTTTGCATCAAGACCCATAATAAAGTCTCCAGGTTTGTTATCTCTGTGAACGATACCTGCCAGATGTAATGTTTGCAAAACATGCTGATAGAGAAGAATTAATAGTTAAATTAAGAATTTAATGATTCTTCCATATGAGAAAGAAAATACATCACTTATATATTAAAAGAAAAAAACATTGTTGATATTTTGCAGTCAGCAATGAAATTACAGAATTCAAAAAAATTAGAACATATTATACTATACTCTTAAAAGATAGCATTGAAAGTATTATGATATCATATTTCTTATTAGAGTATTTAGTAATGAATAAAGAATGAAATGCACAACTGCTTGAGAATAGTCAGGTATTAAATTGCATGCCAGCTGGTTTGCTAGAAGTCATTAGACTAAAAAGGCAAGCTGCAGAAATTAAACTGATCTTTCAACGAAGAACTTAGCAATTCCATTACTAATATGTTGCAATTACTTTGATTACCAAACCATGGAACCGAACAATCGAATGATAATAACCTTATAATTCAAAAATTAGCAACCATAAGCCTTCTAGCAATCAAAAATTACAGAAATCTTTTACATCGGGAAATCCAGTTTCTCTAAGGTTTTGTAAATATAATATTCATGTCACAGTCTTTCGTTGTTCTTAGGTTTTATTGCCGGCTTTAATGCAACTTCTCTATAATTCCTGTAAATTCAATATTAAGAATTTGTTCAAAGCACTTCTATGAAGAAACAAACAAAGAAGAGCCTTAAGGCCTTCTTCCCTCTTTCCTCAACAACATACCTTTATATCCTGAGTAGCACTCAACTTCCAAAAAGAAAAAATAGAGTAACGATACTGCAGGTATTAATAATGATAAGAATAAATAGAAGGTAACTTTGTAAGCTTCTCACTAGCTACTTTGAGTGCCAATCGTGGCGATGACAAACAAAAAGTCGTCATCATCATCACCATCCTTTTCAGCTCCATACTGTTTCTTTAGTTGTCATTACAGTGAAATGATTATCTGCTAATATAATTTGATTTTCAAACACTTCACCAAAACAATATCAAAACGTTCACGCATGTCACGTATCACTCTCTAACTTTTCAATATTGAAATGAAAAATATTAAGTATATCGGGAACAGTCCAACTTACTAAGCTTACGATCTACTCATTACACGCCAGTATTTCACTGCAGCACGTATATCAATCACTTCACTACTCCTTGTTACCACTACCAATGAACAATGAATGCTCTTTTTATCATTCTGTTAATGAGTAAATCTTACGTGTATTCTCTTCTCCCTCTGTGTCGGACTACGTCATTTACTTCTTTATAGAAATATTCCTCGTGCATGCTTTGTCTCTCTTTTCAAGAATACCGCATGTCCGTTTTCCTTTTCGAACAGCAATGTCTTTCGCTGAAGCAAATTGCGCACGTTTGCATATTGACAGTAAAGTGCTAAGGTAGCGTATGTCTCCGGAAGGAAGGAGAGGGTCATCCTGCGATTTAATGCGATAAGAATGAAATCTTCCAAGGATGTTACTAGGAGATGTCGAGTTTTTCACTTTTTTAATATATAAATTTTGATTTTAATTTCTTTTCATAATTTTAATTATATTTTGATTATGCGAGCTTTAATTTTTGAATTGTGGCGTTACTTATTGCAAGAAAAAGTATTTTTTTCATTTGGAATGTTTTTCTGGTAGATCACGGAAGATGTCCTATCTCTTGATTACAATTAATCAAGAGATAGGGAGCAAATTTGATCTAAATACCTTGAAATTCTCTTATTTTATCTCGTTTTATTTTAGATGCTTCAATCTTAGGGTCTTCCCCCACTTCTGTCCTACGCTTTCTACTAGAAAAAAATTACATTCAAAGGTATATTAAGTTATTATAAAATATACTCAAACATACATTATACAAGATTTACTTGTCTATGGGTGAACTTTAACCTCAGATCTAACAGTCGGAGGGTCTGCTATTAAGCTGTGAAAAGATTTCCGTATTTCTCTTATAAGAAACGTTTAATATTAATTTTAGGTTGTTCCTTAGCGTCTTATACAAAAGTTCTTTCAAAATGGCAAAGAGAACAACTACAGAAGAACGAATGGTAAAAGAGGAGGATTCGGAAATACTGCATGTCACCAGCACAATTTCGGAAATGAAAATTTCTGGTAGTAAACATTCAAGAAATGCGAAAGACAAAGTTGTGAACATTGAAAGTGAATATCCGAAAACTTCTCCTGGGGATCAAACTACAAACAGTCAACAACTAAAAAGCTTCGTTGACGTAAGCTTTCAAAATTTTCCCGCATTGTGATGTCATTTGTTATCCTCATCTCTGAAGGACTCTTGTTAACTTCACATATAATTCTCGACGTAGTCCACTGTTTATAATTTTTTTTAAGCTAAAAGATTTCTTTATCTGTTTGAACACATATGTGTTTTAATAATATTCAACTTATCGCATACTTCACTTTCTGAATGACAGTTAAGACTTGTCTTGTTTAACCTTTATTGTGATGAAAGAACGATAAATTATAAGGTGTAATGGCTATTGATAGTAACTACTGCAATGATTTATATCCGCAGCAAATGTAAATTGATGTGAATCTAGTAGGAAGTGAAAAAGTTTAGCTTTAAGAAAACTTCCTTACCCTTGTTATTTCACTTCTCGACATATCAAAGATGGCATTCAGTAGAGGAACACAACTGTCATCACTAAACAAATTCAGCTTAATAAAATCGGATGAAAGGAACCAGAAAAATAAAAATGTACAGAAAAGTTGTGATCATATGTTATTCGCATTATTAATCCTTGTAGATATTGTTTTTTTTTTCTAGGAAGAGAAAGTATCTGAACTTGACCAGGACCAGGATCAAACACATCCAGCATACATCCCTCGCATAGGACAATTTTTCATGCACGATACTCGTGAAACTTGTGAGAGAATTACACCACATCTGTTGTCTCGTGCTGATTGTAAGTGGCGGCATGATTTATACAACGAAATAGATCAGATACCAATGTCTAATCAGGAATTCGCCAAGAAGTACGGTGTAGATCGGGAAGGAAATCCTATCTCTTCGGTAAGGCAAGTGAAAATTTTTGTTGAAAGCATGTTTAGCATGCTTAGATTGAAGCAAACAATTTTAATTGAAAGAGCTATTTCGAACAATTTTTCATGGCTTTTACGTTTCTTCTAACCTATTAAGTTTTCGATAAGATTCTTTCAAGGACAAGTCTTTCTACAAAATTTTGTTACAAGAATTTTTTCGGCTTTCCAACATGATATGCGTCGCACAAATCAGACTCGAATTCGGACATCAACGAACGTTTGGAACGCATCACGTTGTTTTACAAGGACACATAAGAGTATGTTTTTGATATTCGAAACAATTCGAAACAAAAGTTGTGCACTTATAAACTCTTAATTGAGCAAATGTAATTTCCTGACTTAATTTTAATTGTATCAAATACATTTCAGAACTGTATTATTTAATGTATTGTTTTATAGTTCATGGTCATGGGGCTAATTATGAAAATAAAAGAAAAGGTGTAAAAAAACAAGAAAACGGTAATCGTTTATCATTCATTGGTAATATACTGAATAAAGAACATTCTAGTGTTTGGGAAAATAGAAAGTTAGATGGAGGTAAGTAAATAAGTGTTGAGTATGACAATAGGTTTATAGAAATGAGTAAAAGATATGTCAATTAAGATCTTTGTAAGATTAATTCTCGTTTCAGATAAATTAGGTCATTGTTTCTTTTAGCCATGTTTAACCCGTTGCTGGTAGACACCTATAGGCATTTCTTGTCTTGCAGCTATAGCTGCTACCCACTTTGTAGATTATGTAAGATATGTCATATTGTTCTGAAGTAGAACAGTTTTGGATCCAACAGTTACTAATCCATCATTAAAATCAAACAGAAGCTAAATTTCCAAAAAAATATTCTTATATGTTGGCTTTAGGTAAAGAAGCAGAAAGCAAGTCTGAGACAAATAATACTGATGATAATCGTGCGAAGATGGAAATGCGTCTTGGTAAACGTTATTCGACACAGCGACCAATAAAATCGTTTGAAATATAGACTTTTTTTTTTACAAATGTTATCTGCAACTCTAAGTTTTTTGTTGTCTTATTTCCACAGTTAAATAATGTTAAAGTTTGTGTGTAAAAGCTGCTCAACAAGCAACTAATGTCATTTTTCTTCACTTTAACGATGTAATAATATAAAGGTGAGGCAAACTTGTCGTTCTCATTGTTATACTTGTTTTATCTATTTGAAGACACTTCCATGCAATTCATGAAAACGGATTTTGTGCAATGATTTTCTCAATTGCTATCATATGTTTTTATATGTCCGCCGTTTCATTCTTAATTCAGATTTCAAAATACTTAATAAATAGTTGAAGCACTGTTTCTTTTTCTCTCCAACTGGTTTTGATTTATAATCCGTAGGACTGAGCTAGAAGATCGATAATTTTCCGAAAGTGAATTTACCGCCTAGTGAACTATATGTTGCTTTTTAGAATGAATTCATCTCTTTCTTGTTCATGTACAAGTGCATTATCAACTAATTCTGTAATTTGTCTGTTGTGATACTGCAATAAAAACTGCCTTGGAAGAGGTGAATCATAATAATTTCGAGATTATGTCTTTGAAGCTGCGCTATTCTCCAAGTAATGTAGTTGGTGAAAAGCAGAAGATGAGTTCGAAGTTTTCATAGTGGCCTGGAGAGTGGTCTACAACGCAACGAAACTGTTAGGTCTTGTTTGAGGGTAAATAGTTGTGGTGTGGGTGGGGAGATTCGGTGTTTCTTTAGGGGATTGGTTATTGGTAGTGCGGGGTTTGGTGTCAGGGTTGAGGTGGATGAGATGGCTTTTCGTTTTGTGATTGTTTTCATTTCAAAGCTTATCGAAATGGCTAAACGGACGAAGAAGGTTGGCATAGTAGGGAAGTATGGAACTCGTTATGGTGCTTCACTGAGAAAAACTGTTAAAAAGATGGAGGTATTCTTTTCATTCACTTCTACTGTTTTTAAACCATTCCAGTTGGTGGATGCAATATAGTTTGTGATTGCATGTGTTGGTATTAGCAAGTGAGTTGGAAGTTTTTATATTAACTGTTGACATCAGGAAATGTAGTATTTTGTTTGCTGCTGAGTCGGGTTCTATTCGAAATACACAGTATTTCTCTGGTGTAGAGTAATTCTCCCAAGTTTCTTTTTATATCCATTTTTGTTTTTCCTTTTTATTATTACAAGTCGTAATATACCTATAAATATATATTTCTTCTCACCATTTAAGTATTTCAGGTAACACAGCATTCTAAGTACACATGTGCTTTCTGTGGAAAGGAGTCGATGAAGCGAAAATGTGTTGGCATTTGGAAATGTTCGAAATGCAATAAAATAGTTGCTGGTGGTGCATATGTATACAGCACAACCGCAGCAGCCACTGTGCGCAGTACCATCAGGCGTTTACGAGAAGCTAAGGAATGAGGAAACGGAATGAAATTTTTGTTCGCGTTTTTTGTTATTGAGAATAAGTAACAATAAATTTTTTATATTACCAGAATTAGATCGAAATGCATCAGTGAAACTATATTTTCTATTAAGACGGATTCATTATCTGGTTGCTATTATCAGTCTGGTTAACTGCAAAAGGAAGTTATCTATCAGGTGTGCTACACAAACAGATGTGACTGTTTACACCAGGACTATCTCGGTTGCAATCTTTAATCGTTCTGAATGTCGAAATATTTAAGATAGTAGAAGACGTTTTGTTTTGTTTAATTATCTCTATTAATCTGTTAGGTTATGAATGCAATGACAGTGGATAGTTTCAGTTAATTTTTCCTTCGAATACCATTTGGAGCACTTCTAAGCTAGTGTCTTTCGACTTATGAAATTCGTTATTGTCAGACTCATTAAAATAGTCCTTTGTTGAGTGACGTATTGTTGCACTGTCAGAATTCCTGGTTTTCAACTTCAACTTTCTGCTGTGTCTAACCGTTTATATGTAGTAGTTTGGCATGTCAAGAATGTTAGTTTTATAGGATACCAATAGCTTTGGTTTGTAGTGCTTATGGAATCTCCGAATTATGCCAATTTTATCAGCAATAAGGTAATTTTTTTAACATTTTAAATTTGTAGGAATTTGGATGCTTGCTCACAAAGAGCGGTTCAGCAGATTTACTGATGCGTCAGAATAAGTATGGGAAAGCATTTATGACTTACCAACCCCGACATGTCATTCAGTAGCTGTCTTCTGTAGAGCTTTACATCGATAAATGAGGGCAAGAATCTATTTGTGAAGTGTAAATGAGTCGAAAGAGCTATATGAAATTGAATTTTTCTCCTTTGCTCTTTTTGAATCAACTTTGGAGTATTATATGTTGTTCATCTTCCTTCACCTTACTGCATTTTTATATTCATTTGTCTCCGTATCGGTATGTGTTGGGAAGCATATGTTTATAAAACTTAAAAGAAAAAAATTAAGCTCTGTAAACAGTGCAAAAAAAGAACCAACAAGATACGATTGAATATATTAAATCGGGTCTTCTTTAAATACAGTGACAGTTTCACAGTGAGCAAATGTTATTGGCATTATTTGACCAAGCAATCAGCATCTTCTCATAAACTTTTGATACTTTTAATAGATTGAATACTAAGTATAGCAGTGAGAAGAGTAACAGTTCAGATTGAGCACGGAAAAGTGCAGCACTAGGAAGTACGTTCTCGATTGAATGTAATATAATGATGTCAGACAAATCAGAGCAAAAATTTACCAGGCAATACAGAGGAGCTGAATTTTTAAATGCTTCACGAAACTTTTCTTGAGAATTTACAAATTCTTCCAAGGAAAATTATGGGTTCTCATTTTTTTTCTCCGCTGCGATTCATTTTTATGATTATCTAATATTATGACGTTTTAGTAGCTAGTCAAGCTCTGATCATGAATTCAGAACTTCTGCCATGAGATTAGGACAATATTTGGTTTATGAAAATGCTTTAATAAATGAAATTGCAGTTTTATTATCAGAATTTTCAATTGAATTATAGCCTTAAATTTTGAGGTCAAGAAAGAATTCAAATTCTTTTAGTTATGTAACAGATATTTTTGGGTAAGCTGATCATTTTTACGTAATATGAAAACAGAAATAATGGAGAAAATTGATGGCTTTGAAGCAAGTCGTCAAGGCTTATTTTCTCATAAAATCAGATATCATTCTAGGTGTTACTTCCTTCCAGGACATGCTTTTGTCTTATTTTTGCTATATCTCCTTATCTTTTCCATAACTACTTCTTTTCTTGGTTTCATTTTTTGTACAACTTTTGAGTGGATTCATTTTCAGCCTCAACGGAAATCATAAAAATACCCTGAAGTCGTGAAAAATATGTTAGAATCTGGTCAAACATGCTCTCGATGGGTAGTAGATTGAAGATTGGAGGACAGAATTTTGAATTACAATCGCAAAGTTCTCGGTGTCGTGTCGTCGACATGAAAACAAATGGTGTTATCTACAACTAAAATTGATTAGAAATGTATTTTATTATTGTAATTTAAATTTATTTTGATATAGAGTAGTCTTCGTTCAATTTCTTTCTTCTTTTCTTTAATTCTGTTTTTCTTTTTTTTAAGGAAAAAAGTTGATCTCACTGGATCAGCAAATATCTTTAAAAGAACACATCAAAAAACCATAAGTTTCATGCGATCTCGAGCCGAAATTCGGTTAGATAGACAATTATTTAAATAATGAAGAATAAAAGGGAATACTTGGGCTGGAAAGAGAAGAGACAAATTTGAATTGCGTAACTATGCCTTCCTTGTAATCTTTCAACTTTACTGGTAGCAATCAGTAAGATGAAACGTATGCTTAATAAATTTTATACTTTGATGCAACATTCCGATGTATGCTTATCTTTGAAGCAAATTTTGCACCTTTATTTACTGCTTATTATAGAAATTCTTTTATTGGTTACAAAGGGCACGGCTGTCATTTTACAGTTTTCTCTCCATCATAGAATTACATGGTAAAAGCAGTCTGTTAGTTTTTTAGATTTTAAACAGAGATTCACACTCAGGTTTTTTTTTTTATAACATATTTTATAAGTATATGTCAATTTCTCAGAGGTACAGATGAAAGGATTAAAAAAATTTCCCAAACTTCTATCAAATAGTTGAGGAATCTGCTAGTGAGAACGAACATGATATCATGGAAATAGCGACATCAGCAGATTTGTCAAGGCAGATTTTGCCCATTGAACTGTTTGGAGCATGCAAAACATTCTAACACATTACTTGTTGAAGATACTCGATTGGTTATGATTTCGTTCGCTTTTCAAACGGAAACTGATTTTTATTTTTCCTGCAATACAAAACGAAACTTCGCCTTTCTTGATGTTTTTTTTTTTTTTTTTTTCACCAAAGGATTTCAAAACAATTAATTACCGAAAAGTTATTTCGGTCTGTCAAGTAAAATAACGTTTAGTTACTCATTTTCGAGTCAGCATGTGCTACATGTTTGTCCTTCAAACGTGCTTAGAAGATGATTTTTTTGCATCAACTATTCAGGAATGGAATTGTCGTAAAACAGAAATTTATTAACTTCAGTGGTTTGCGAAGGAATTTCTAGAAAATATTGAACTGAAAATTTTAGAAATTATTGGAACTTTTAAATTTGGTTTTCTATGTAAATAAAAATAGTATTGAAGAATTGAAATGTGAAGTCAGTGATGTTTCAAATTTTACTAAACAGAATGTGATATATCGAATTTTTTCGAAATTTAGGTCCAGAGAATATATTAACAAATGAGATAAAGATGTACAAGTATAGTAAGTTTTCATTAATCCTTAATTTCCTTGTTATCTTTTTAAAGAAACTGTTTCTAGAATGTTTTATGTCACTTTTCAACTCCAAAGAAATGGCTCACAAACAAAACGCGACAAATGAATAAGAGTTTAGTGCTATTTCTGGAATTTCATATAGTTACATGAAATGGACACTTTGTTGCTTAAATCTATTCTACCTAGGATATATTATTGTTATTATCATCACTACGCTTCGTTTGCACGGCTTCATTAGACATTTTGAATATTTTTTTAGACCTTGTTACTATTTCATTATCAGTTAAGAATTTGATCTCAGTGAGATGATTTCTATGATCTGTTTTTCCGGACACATCACACTGTTAATAAATGAATGTTATTACGATGCTTTGCATGCTGGCAAACTTTTAAACATTTTTAGTGGCGCGGTATTCTCTTCAAGGCTCACTATAACTTCTCCCTACTTTTATAGAAAGCTTCAAATGGGATTTCGCGGTTTTTCTGTACAATGCATACAATACAATTTTATCCTACTAGTTCTGCATTACTTTCATTTTTTTCTATTATTAAAAGGTCCGAAACTAGTTGGGACTGCGTTCATTACCTCTGCATTTCTCATGTTTTAGATATGTATTGCTAAGTACATTTTCTTTAAATTATTCAGCCGATCTGATTTTTTGATCCTTTTAAAATAAATTTATAAACCACAGTTTCATGCTCACTTCACAAACCTTATAATGATCAAGAATTCTACTTGGAAATATTGCTATATGTCTCAAAATATAAGTTTGCTTGAATTTAAACAAACATGAAGAATTTGTAAATATATTCCATTGCATAATTCGTTTTAATTTGTTTCATCGTAAAAACATTTCAAACACTGTCATTGCTGACGCTTAAAAAAGCAAGTAAGCTTAAATTTGTTCACTAACCATATCAATCTAGTTTAAATGAAAAGTAGTTGTTTGCACTGATCGGTAAATACATTAACAGAGACAGCACTTCGTATCTGCCAGCATACATCGAAAGGTAGTGTTTTTATCAAACTTTACTCTAATATTCCTCCCAACACACATACATATACACGTGCGGGATCGATCATAATCCTCTAATTAGCAAAAATTTTTGCACATCGTTTAGACCCGCGTCTAATTTCTTATATTCACACTCACTGGAACATAACAATACGGTCATACCAATATCTGAATTAATATCTTCTAAAGATCCTTAACAAAGAACAGGTCAGCAAATTATGGATAGATATAAACATACTCAGAAAATAATTCAGCACAAATGAAGGTACCAACCAAAAGCAATTTGAGAAACAACTCGCAAAAATATTATGTAATTTAAATTACAAGCCTGTAGCATACGATTTTAAATGATACACAAAGGCGTCTGAATGTTCACCTAGAATACTTTCTTATTTTTTGTGTAAAAAGACGTAAAAGAAATAATGAGAAGCGTGACGACGTGAAAGAAATATAATAGTAGGAAATGAGTGTATTTGTTACAATATAACCTTGTGAAAAATTTAAAAAATTTATTTTGTAAAAGCCGTCCTGCTTCATTAGGACTTTACTTTTGATGTTGATTTAAAATAGAATTAAACCACAAAATAAACAAAAATGTCATTGAATTAACAAGAGCAAAAGATAGTTACTAAAAATTTACATAGTACCTAGCTACAAAACAACTGATTAACTGTTATCTTCCTCAATGAAAACGATTTAGCATATGTCGAATTAATACCCGATCCGGTTCTTAGTCTTAAATATGGAAAATAAAAAGCAACAATGAAATTATGCCTAATTTCATGACAAGAAAATGATCAACCGAGAAGTGGTAGAAGTAATTCTTGAGAGTTAGTAGGAGAAAGTCATAGTTAGTAGTACAAAGTTTGCGACCAAAATATATTGTATTTTCGTATTTCCAATTACTTCAAGTGAAGTAACTTTAACCTTTTCGTTACACATTCGTACTGTTAGTAAATTCTTAACTTCTAGAATCTTTAGTAGTCAAAAATTAGTATCGGCAAAAACTCTTCCATGCTTACTCCATAAAGACTGAAATTCTTTTGGTTGTTTTCCAGCTGGTGGTATCTGCACTGGTTTTAACTTGTTTGGATCCTTTCGGCCACTGTTGTTCGAGACTTTAAATGAAGGTCGAACTGGAGTCTTACCTTCCTGATTGTAAACAAATGTTGCAGTTGATCTGTAAAATTTTCATTTGTAAATTTTAAATATCTCAAAATTTTAAATAGCTCAATTTGTAAATATTTCAAGATATTAACAAACTAATGGTATTTACACGTTAGAATATGAACTGCTAGTACTCTAAAATATGTAGTACCGCGAATTAAAAATTAACCATGTTTCTTCTATTGTCAGAGCAAAATCAGTGGTTCATTTGGTCAAATAAAGTAAGCATGAATTACATCAAATTTTGTCTCAAAATGCAATGCATCTTACTTTTCCTATTATTACCTTGTAGGACTTTTGAGCAGAGGTTTTTCCTGATCAAATGCATAGAACTTTGGCCAATAGTCTTGTGGCATTCTAAGTAAAGCCATAAATACCATGATCTGAAAGAGATTTTTTCTCACAGACGTCATAGTTTAAAAATTTAAATGTATTTAACACTTTCCAAAAACAGAAATTACCTGCTTTGAGACTTCCTCAGCGTTTTGCGCTATACTTGTGGCACGTGACGGTGCGCGACCAATAATTGTTGGAGCAATACAACGAGCCAGAACCTCTGGAGACATTTTATTTCGTAAACGGTTATCACAAACCTGAAAAAATATTTCAAGATTTCAAATTTCCCCGAAAAAATGAATGAAATAGGACTTATAAAGGAAGTGAATACAAACCCTCTGGAAATGAGAGCAAAGGAAGGCGAGAGTATCTCTATTTGGATAGGGTAAATCCATCACGGAGCGATTTAAAGCCTCGAAGTCATCACGTTCAGCGGCACACACAAATTCTTCCCAAGACGACACCGGAATTACTGGATCCTGAAAAAGAAAACCTTCGGAACTGTCAATAAAACAAGGAATCAAATCTACAAAACTTGACCAACTAACCCTTATTTCTCTTAGGAAACGTTTTATACAGCCAGTGATTGTCTCTGTATCATGATATTCTAATTTGGGCAGTGAGCGACTGTTTTTGAATTCATTCAGTAATTTAACAATTTGCGATTCCTGGCTGGAAAATACCTCAATTATTACTCAATAAGTAACAGTATCAACTATGAAATATATTAGATATAAATACGAATGAAAAATTATGTTCGTAAAACTTGACAATAATTTTATCATTTTTATTATCAAAAAGTAGCATCAAATATGAAAAAATAACTTTTACCCAGGAATTCGATAAATGCCTTCTGTACTCAAACGATCCTTATCTAGAGCCAGGACGCAGTGTATGATGAGAGACGGAATCATCGGTTGAGTTGGTGGACAAAAATCTTTCAGCCGAGGACGTTGTTTACCAGGTGTTCGAGGTGTTGCTGTTCGAGGTACGCAAGGGATTGGAGCACTTCTTATGCATAATTTATGCAAACGAATTCCACAATCTGAATAAATTATTGGAAAAGATAAGTGTCCCTATAAAATGTCTCTTAGATATATTAGTATGACTACTGGAATTGAATTAAACAATATTCCAGAACAAAATTTAAAAGATGATATCCAGAAATTTATTAACTAAAAGCTAATTTCGCTTACCAGTACATTTGTAAGCTGCTTTACCAGTGAGCCCGATCCAACGGTTACACACTTCACAGCGATCACCAAGAATCGATGTGAAATTAGCAAAGCTATGCGGTCTAGTCTCAATTGAAGAACCATTTGTCCAAGTTTTTGCTGCAGTATATGGGCTGTTCCTAAATTGTCAAGGCAATTATTTATAGTTTCTTAACTGATAACGCAATTAAATCGTTTCAAAAATAATACCCTTTTATGTCTTAAAATGTCAATAAAAGTTAGTATTCATGCCATCAAAACTTCATAGGTTTTCAAAATTTTGTATCAATTTCTTGCACGAAAGCTATACTTTAAGCTTTAGAAAAAAGTATGCAGGAAGTTAATTACCAAATATCAGCACCATATAAAATGATGTTGAGAAAAGTAATTAGTATAGAAGCGAAAATATTGGTGCACTGAAACTGCAGTGACAAAAATTTGCTATTCTACGCCTACTTCAATTTTATTTGTAATTTTATTTGTATTTGCCATTTTTTGTCAAATGTAATTGATACTGAAATAATAAATGGATACAGTTAGTAACATATTCTGCTTCCACTCTATTAGTACCAATGATCGCACAATTCATGAATAATTTAGACCAAGAAACAGATTCACAGTAATATATGCATGGCCTCATTTTTTTCCTGCCATTTACAGGATCTACCTTAGTCAAAGCATACTAATATCATTAAACTTCCATGACTTTCACCATATGACATAAACTATGGTGATAAGAGCTACAGTTTTAATGGTACAACAAAAAACTAGATCTAGTTATGCCTGCAAATAAACACACAGTTAGAGTTATGAGTCATAAGTGATGTCAAATTAAAACTGTTCTCATAATGAGACACTTTTGTTTCATTTTTTTTTTTTTTGCAAATGGAACAACTTCCTCCATTCTATTTTAGATTTGACAGATTGGTATGTGAATGTTAGCTGCTTGATCTGATCAAAGAAAACAAATCACCTTTTAAAAATAATCCGATTGAGATTACTATTCAATAAAACTACAATAAATAATGAAACGGGAGAGGACTGCATTTAAAGAAAAAGCATTATTTATATTTCTTAGAAAGATTGTAATCATATGAGAAACTAACTGCTAGTTGCTTTCATAAACTTGGTTGGAAGAATAAAAATCCTTACAAATCGAGAGCACTGGCTCCAAATCGTGGTGTGGTTGCACCAAATTTTGTCGTCGATTCAACCACGGCTTCTTCGTTTTGCTAAAACGATAAACATGAAGATTCAAATCTCTCTGTCCAGTCTACAATACTCCAAACAGACTCCACAAATGAAAGTACAAATTATATGAGAGAAAGAGCCCTATGTTATGAAATGAGTTTTATGTGAAAAATTGTAATAAGGTATTCAAAAACAAATGGTTAAAACAAACATTCAGAATATTCGATTCTGACATCGACCGATTTGAACGTTTGAGTGAGACACTAGCTGTTGCTGGTTGTCTTCCTTCTGGATTCATAGTTATTGCTGTCGTTGTAATAATTGTTTCAGTTCCATCTTTTGATCGTTTGCATGGAGTGGCCTTAAAAGTTATGTGAGAATAATAGACAAAAAATTGGCACTGCTACCCATTGAAGAATGAAAAGAAAAATTTAGTACAGCTTTACAGTGCGAGAATACCGCAAATCTAATTCAGTTCTAGAGATATCGAGATAAACAACAAAGCATCAGTTTCTCAATGAATAATAAAGCATCATTTCTACGCAGAAAGATTTTTGCAAATTTATAGAACTTACTATTTCTTCCTCAACAATATTCATTCTTTTAGATTCTTTGGAACGCTTCACAGTAGCAACAGAGCTATGGGTGCTTGGAAGAACGGCTAAGCTTCGTGACCTACAAAATATTCTAAAATAAAAACATCTACCAAGAAGTGAAATAGAAAATAGAAATCAAAAGGATTTTAATAGAGATTTTCCCACCTTCTATATACTTTACCATTTCGTAAATGAGATTCATCAGAGTCATCATACGAAATGTCCATGGAGTCTGCCGTCTTATCATAATCAGTGTCTTCGCCATGTGAAAGCGTGCGTGAAACACCATGGAGTATATGATGTGCTTGTCTTTCTCTCATAAGTGGTTCATGGAATGATGATTTGTAGTTCAAAAAAGATAGTTTCTGGCGATCTTCCTCTTTTAGTAATGACTGGTCATTCTGAAACAGAATTTCAAGTTTAGAGAAAACAGATGAGAAATATCGTTCACTTTATTATTGAATTTCAGATGCAAACTTTAATTCAAACCTTCAGCAGTTCGTTAACTAACGCAAATTTTCTTTCCAATTCAACCATGTCACGCTCCAAGTTCTGTTTATCGGACATCAATGTAGCAATCTGAGCACGTGCATCCCTAAGTTGTTCTTTATACATCCGATTTTCTTGTTGCAACCCACTGGAAACGATGTGACATATATTCACACAGTTATTAAAAAAATTCATACTTTCACAAAAAACTTCAAAAATTCGTGTCAAAATTAGGCATAAGTCAATTTAATGATTATGCTCGATTCATAAAGTATAATTTTTCCAAATGTTATCGGTTTCTAATTTAATTGCCCCCTACTGTCTTTTTCTTATGTCTGCATTTTTCATTTAGTTTTAACGATTTCTACTCATCCAGTCTTCAGTTGTTTTCAGTTTTTCAAAATATTTTCTTAAAAGATTATATTTGTAGCCCGAAACTTTCAAGGATAAGCAAGTGAAATGGAAAAATTAAGAGATAATTGAGAAATTAATTACAATATTCTATGAACTTCAGCAGAGAACATCAGTAGAGACTTAATTTAAAATCATTATACCAACTTGTCAGCCAGTAGTTATTGAATAGATCAGTTTTACCAATTAATTTTTATAATGGATTTCATACAAAATGATTTACGAATTTTTATATTTCTAGCTTGTTCAAATTGAAACATTCTTTATACGTACGAATAGCATTTTCAGGTTCAAATCGAAGTCTGCTAGGTAATGACTAACCTGTAATCGTATTCTCGAGTATTCATTTGTTCCTGTAAAGTATCTGCCCTTAATTTTTCAGCATCCCAGTTGTGACGCATATTTTCCATTATATCAAGGAGATGTAGAAATTCTGTGCCTGAAAGGAATATAATAAATGATTCTCAGGCTCTAAAGAGACATCGAAATAGATGTTGAATATTTCCAAATACTAGATATTTAATCAAAAAAAAAAAGTTCTAAATAATTATGCTGGCTGAGAACGAAAAAAAAAACAAGGTAAGAAGCAAAAAAATACAAGTGACAAAGCATAGAGTTATATAGAAGAATGACAGTTCACCAACTTTTCATTTTTGGTAATGAGTTGTATGGCATTGACTTAAAACATTAAAATGATTAAAAAAAAAAAATAAAATTTTCATAAAATAAGTTGAAAACTACCGCTAATCCTCTAACACTACCCTGGAATAGCAAATTTTGTGACAAAGTATTAAACCATATAGTTGCCTTAATATCAGCTTGGTAAAAGTTTTGGTAGTTATCTAGGAGTGTCGTCGCTTTCCAGTGTTTAGAATACATCACACGTAGAACAATAAAATAATGCTCAGTACATAAAACAGCAATAGTACCTTTAAAAAAAAGTAGCAGAGGTAGAAACACCTACATATATATGTTACTGTTATGTAATTAATACTGTTTGCATTTGAAAGACGACAAACTTACAGGTGCTTTGTCCTTCAACAAGAAATTTAGCAATACCGATTGTCTCGGCGTACTCATTCAAGACAATGCGAGATCTATCATGGCAAATATTATCATTCATCACTTCTTAGCTTTTCTGCAACAATATATAAACTTTTTTTCGCTAAATCAAAAGTACAAAAAGAACGATGTGATAACAATCTTTTCCACAAAACAAAAAAAAAAAAAAACGATGAGAACTGTCATAACCAATAGTTTTCTCAAGTAGAAGATATGATATGCTAAATATCCAGTAAATATATCGAGGAAATATTCAGATGAATCACCATGAGTCGATGAAAACATACACGAATATTTGCGACTGTACATACAAACTGACATCAAAAATTAGTAAATATTTCTAGAATGATATGAGAAAAGAATAAATTTGTTTGAAAATCTCAATTCACTACCTATTGTCAAAGCTGCTGTATTAGTTTAATTAATATATGACAATCCATACAGCCTGACAATAACGGACATTAAAACACATGGCAATCTTCCCGCCGTTCATAAATTTAAGAGCTGTGTGTGTTGCAGCCCTAAGTAGAGATGTCGGTCCAGGTAACCCAGCAGAGAGATTGGTAATTTGTTTGCGTAGTCAGTAACATGTTTCCTTTTCTTTATTGTATTCTCCTGGGTCAGAGGTCGATACTAACCACTGCTGCATTGTAAAAGAAACTGCTACCAACACTAAATATTTTATTGATGTCATAAAAGCACCTAGCACTACTTTGCCAGGCGCACTACATTTTAAGTATCATTGTACACACAATAAGGTGTCATTAGTGTTTTCAAAAACGAATCATATGTGGTAATAAAAAGCGCGATAATATACATAAAATGTTATTGCGTAACAATCGTTGGAGAATGTGATATAAAAGAAACAAAACATATATATTTGTATCAAAACATTTCAGTACCGTACTCAGTGGCCAAATTATTATCACCAAAATGTTTACTTTTATGTCTAATAATGTCAATCAGCACGTAAACTTGGGTTTTTAGTTGAAAATCTGAATCAAATTCAATATAGTGCTCATTAAAAATATCAGAATAAGAAGGAATAAGTATAAAAGCAAATATTTCAAGAGTTTTTGAATAATGTTTCGATATTTCATGCCTTGTGATAACATGGTATGTCAGGTATAGAATTCTCTGTAAAAATTTCTCAAAATAAACTCAAATGAAATATATCTATATTTCAGTTAACATAAGAATGAATTCTATCAAAAACTACGAAAGAAAATAAGTGGAATGTTAAAAGATGCATTCAGCTCAATTAAACGGGATTAATTATTTAATTTAAAGAGAAACCCATGCAAACCACAGTAAAAATATTTTTTTTAAGCTCATTCAAGGAATAAATTCAAGATAAGTACGAAATGTGTTCTTTTGAACAGGTTGATAAGTTGCATCTCATTGTGACAATATGCATAATCGTTAAAAGAAATATGTCATCAACAAGATCGATGCTATTATATGTCTTCTTAAAAGGTTACAAGTTATCTTTCAAAAAAGCAAACGTTAAATCTTCAAAAAGAAAAAAAAACTTCAAAACCGCAAGATCTTCAAAATTGCTTTTAAAAATTACACCAAACAGACATCAAAAACACCAGATAAAACTAAGCTCAAAAAATGTCGCCCAGAAAATGCTTTCGTTTTGATATTTTCGGTTGATAGATACTTGCTTTTTGTCCAGATGGTGGAGTTTCAACTGGTCCCAGAATTGATCTATTTGGATTCTTGTATGGGATTTTCCCAAGTTTCCTGTTGTCATATAGTGTACTGAAAAATACTTCCATGGTACATGTTTTCTGCAGTCCAAGCAAAAAAACGAAACTATTTGAGAGATTTGTGACAATGAAGGAAAAATTTGTCCTGCTTTTTCATAAGATTTTTATTTACCATTTGGGACTATTGATCAGTGGTATTCCTCTGTCAAAATTGTAGAACTTAGGCCAGTAGTCTGGAGGCATTTTGAGCAAGGCTGACATAACTGTTATCTGCAAAATAATTCCTTTTTTTTTTACCTTTTTCAACTTGCGCTTCTTTCAAATGTTTAAAAAATCATTTCGCATCCCTCACACAGTTGTGCATGAGATATAAAATTCCCTTGATAATAAATCATTTAAATTTATTTAAAAAAATCTTGCAGCAACCTGTTTTTTTTCTTCATCATCTTTTCCTACATGTGGAGGAGCTGGACCTACAACTATTGCTGCAACACAACGTGCGAGGACATTTCGAGGCATCTTGTTTTGAACGCAGTTGTCACAAATCTAAAACAAAAAATGAACCAGTAAGAGGTCTGAACCAAAACATAGTAAAGCTGAGTTTCCTCACCGTTCTAAAATTTCATTTCAAAAAAAAGTAGCGGGATATTACAAGTTAGGTGATACAATGAAGAGGAGTTGCCTTGTTTCGAAAATCCAAAAACTTAGTACTTGTATTCTGTAATTTTCAAACAAACAAACAAAAAACCTTCTGAAAATGAGCACAGAGGAAAGCCAGTGTATCTCGATTTGGATAAGGCAAATCCATAATTCCATTATTTAGAACTTCAATATCATCTGTTCGGGCAGCATTAACAAATTCCTCCCAAGATGTGCTTGGGATTACTGGATCCTGTAAGTTAAACCATAAAGAAATTTAAAGGATTCTGCAAATCACGATTTAACGAATGTTCAGTAACCAATTCATTAAGAGAAACCAAAAGATATTCATCGAACGAACTCGTAGCTTATTTAAGAATTGCTTAATGCAGCTTGTTATTGTTTCCGTGTCTTGATAGTCCAATTTTGGAACGGAGCGACCATGTTGAAATTCATTTAATAATTTCTGAACCTGAGTATCGTCCCTAGAAGTTATAAGAGATGGGTCAAACATGAAAGTCTTATATGGGATTTCCTAAATTATTTTAAATGATGCTTCTGAAAAAATTTCTAAAGCTAAATTAAAATTAGAGAATTCAACAAATTACCCAGGGATTCGATAAATACCCTCTGAGCATAATCGATTCTTTTCCAGAGCTAAAATGCAATGAATAAGAATTGGCGGTATCATAGGTTGCGTAGAAGGACATAAATCCTTTAAGCGTGGACGCTGCTTGCTAGGCGTGCGAGATGTTGGAGTTCGTGGCACACAAGGCACAGGCGCATTATGGATGCATGATTTATGAATATGCAAGCCACAGTCTGAAGAACTGTTATAAATGTAAAAAATACATAATTAAAAAGTGTTGTGGAACTTCAATAACACATTCACAGAACCAACTCGTTCCCTTAACTTTAATGTAAGATGTCATGAACAATTTTTCAAAACAAATTTTCTTTAAAAAAAAATCACAAAGACTACCACAGCATTTGTAAGCCTGTTTTCCGACAATCCCAATCCATCCATTACACACTTCGCAGTGATCGCCAAGAATTGAGCTATGATTAGTATATGTATGTGGGCGTGTCGAGATTGATGCACCACGAGTCCACGTTTTCGTGCCACTGAGTGGAGTTCTCCTTTGAAATATTTTCACATAAATTTAAATTACATACATTTAAAACCAATCTTGGTTTGTACAAACATTTTCGTTAAAAAACCAACATCTGAAAGACTATTTTCTGAAATAAAAGTTACATCCAAGTATCTTTTCGCACTATAAATGAAGAACGAAAACGTACTATGAAACGAATTGCGAAAAGTATCAGTTTAGTTTAAGAATCATGCAATAGAGAATCTTGATTTCATCAAAGAGAAAATTTTATAAGATAAATTTAGCACTGCAAAAAAGAAAATCTGTGGTAAGTCTTATGAATTCTTCTTGTACTTTTATTCTTGCGGACTATTCCAGCTTTCAATATATTTATATATGCATTATATCTTATGTGGATATTACATAACTGGGTAAACAGATATTAATAAAGAGCATTAGAATTAACCAATATAAATGTTGTTGAGCTTGAAACCACAAATCCACTACTTTATCGACATAAATAGCGCAAATAATCCCCATAAATCTAAAGCGCAAACTACCACTACTATTTGATCATACAGGTATCACTAATATATGCAAAAGTAGGATAGTTCCATCTCTTCATCTTTTTTCATTCTTGGAAATTAATAAAAAGTTCTCGCTATAATGTATTTTATAAACATTAGATGTGCTCAAAACAGGTTTGAAAATTCTTCTTAGTTCCCCATGATTTTATCTAAGTTGAAACTCATTTTTAGGCTAAGGATGGATTAGGAAAGAGCGCGTTCCAATACATTCAGAAAATTAACGAGCAATGTGATAAACTGGAGATTTTTATTTAGTTTATTCAAAAAATCTGCTCTATTTTTTGAAATAGATAAATATCTTCGTAAAATATCTTCAGTAACTGATTATTGTAAGTGCATCTGTGAATGATCGGCACAATCCGTCGTTAGCGAGATTATGGAAAAACTGCAGGAAATGATTTGTTAAGACAAAAAAGCCATCAGCAGTGAAATCCACATGCAAAAAAAAATTGGTCCATTCAGTTTCTGTGCAATAAAATTCTTGTGAAAAATAACTTATGATTGTTTATATTCACTCGTTTTCCATTCTTATGTTACAGACGTCAATACTATACATTGCTTTTGTTAGGGAACAGTTCAGCTATAGACGATGTCAATCATCACGTGACGTCACAAAAACGCTCGATAAATATACAGAAAGCATGTCCCATAGGATACAGTTTCAGATGCAAAAATAAAAAAACTAACAGATCAGTTGAACTTGTTCCACATCGTGGCGTCAATGTATTTGTTGGCTGTGTCATCGTCTCTTCTGACTTCTAAAAACAATAATGTTTTATTTCATTTACCTTTTTACTTTGCCAATAGGCTTCACCGTTCTGAATTAGAGACAAATGACAGTGAAATCAATATAGCAATTTCACGAACATTGAGAATATTAGACAATGAACGATTATTCATTGAACGTTTAACAGCTATTTTAGTTGTAGGTGAATTATTGTTCCCAGTATTCATTGGGGTCATTATTTCTGTTCCACTTTTTGATCGTTTAGAAGGTGTTTCCTAAAATTTATTGAATATTTAGAATGTTACAATTAAGTGCAGCATTGCAGTGATATTAAAGCAATAGGCGTACTAAAAATAGAACAATAATTACAACTTCTTTGAAAGCACATCATTAAATTTCACTGAAGCTTACCACTTCCTCTTCAACAGTATCTATCAACATGCTTTTCTTTGGTCGTTTGCTGGCCACTGCTGAGATACGTTTTGCTGTCAGCGAAACCATGCTACGTGACCTAAACTTGAGGAACGAACAAAATTTAAAGTATTCTCCAATTAATTCTACTAACTGAAATCGAGTGAAAATAAATAGTCATCACTCGCCTTCTATAAACTTTTCCATTCCGTAAACGTGATTCATCCATTTCATCTGATGAATTATCAGATATATCAGCAGTTTTATCATAGTCTATATTTCCCTCATCTGAAGAACAGTGCGAAAAACTTAGATGTGTATCACGAGTTTCTTGTAATTTCGTAGGCTTTTTATTTAAAATGCTTCCATTTGTAAACAACTTCTGTCGATCTTCCATGCTTAGATGTGATTGGTCCTATAAAAAATAATCATGTTTAAGAAAATGCAAAAGATGCTTTCAAATAAAATGAATTTTTAACTTCATCGATAGCATTGAAGAAATTGAAGAAACTATAATAAAAAAGTGACCTTCAGAAGATCAGTTACAAGTTCGAATTTCCTTTCCCATTCTCCAATATCATATTCCATGCTTTTCTTGTCAGACATTAGAACTGCGATCTGTTTTCGAGCATCACGAAGCTGCTCTCTGTACATCCGAATTTCTTTTCGCAATCCGCTAAAATAGGCTGTGTTCAATAGTATTCATATATTATAGGAATTCTCGCATTTTATGAGTGCAAACCTCATAAATAACGTAGCGACAAATGAGTAGCACTCATAACATCTCAAAATCTTCAGCAAATCAATAAAAAACAACTGAAAGAGAAAAACAAATTGTGCAGTGTAGAGCGAAGAATACAAAATAAAACGTGTGAACATGTAATAACTTTAAAAATCAATAAAACTTGCATAATTTCCGACATTTTGGAAAAAAAATTTACTCTTTTTCTTTATTCCCTTGGTCAAGCTCATCCTCCATAGCTTCTGCTCTTATTTTTTCATAATTCCAATTATGTCTCATTTGTTCCAGTAAGTCAAGCACTTTCAACATGTCTGAAATACTTTTCATGCATTAATACATTTCGCAATATAACAGAAAATATGAAGTGAAAAAAAGTACCCAATTGGTTCTGTTTCTCAATCAATGTAATCGCGAAATGATTGTTTTCGCCATATTCTTTAAGAATTTTACGGGATCTGCCACTACACAGGATTTTATCCATATTTGGACTATATTCTTATCTGAAATTATTTACCATTTAAGACTTTCACTTTCCTTTCTATAGATGATACTTAATCAGTTGGAACTTTTCTATATTATCCTTTCTAAGCAACATCACACCTCTAACTATGCACTAACTAGTATAAAACTAGCATAATCTGGAAACCTGTAGAAATACCAAGACTAACCAGTAACTGCTGATATGTTCCTAACTCATTGGTCACTATTCCCGCTTAGGATTAAAACATTCTTTCCCCTTCCAGCAACAACTAAAAGAATTATTTCAAAAGATTTTTAGACACAAGGAAAAAAAAGACGAGAACAGCAATAAATGCCACAGAATTATTAACATTCACTCCAAGACGATACTGCACCTACGATGAACGTTTTGGGGCGCTTTTAACTACTCAAATGGGCAAATGAGCATATGTAAGGTATAGGATAAATTTCCCATTCACACTTATAATAGTTAACATTGAAGGATAAAAAAATCAAGGAGACAAAGTTGAACTAAAACGTCTCCGTGGTTAGGACGACTACGATCACATCTTCAAATGTCACCTTTGCCGCCAGTACTTTGTCTTCTCCTTCTGTAGCACTATAACGTCGAGAACATCCACCGCGATTTGTCCGGTCAATAACCGTTGATCATCTTTTCGATGATTTTGATGAAAATACTGAATAAGGACTGATAAACACATCACTACTTTCTTGTGAGGACGAAGTATCAAACAGAAATGTATAAATGACTTTTTGCTTTTTTTTTTTTATTTGTCCGTTTTGAATTTCATATTGAGTATTTAAAACGATTAGTTATGAAGGAAAATTTAGTAAAGGAAATAAATATATTTTACTAAACATATTTTTCTTTACAGTTTTCTTCAATTTTAATAGTAAGGATGAGTTGGGCTAAAAATAAGTCGAAGAGAATAAGTAGACAGTTAGCCCGTATCTGGTCACAACCCAGAATGTCACCCTACACATATCTTTATTTTCTCTTTCGTTTGATGACAAATTTAAGCTTTTTGTTTCCTGATCCAACTTTAACAAATATACTATCACCTGGTCACACATAGATTACTTCCACATTTGAAACAATTTGAATCAAATTACTTCAATGAATTGCAACACTGCGATAAAACATTTTTTGTTCTATAATATTGCATAGTCAAACGATGAAACTGTTGGATTTAGGATAGATCAAACAGTTCCATTTTAAATTTTATGAGAAATTAAAAGTTGGAATTCTAAGTTAATTTAAAGCAACTCATTCTTTCAGTCTGTCTGTGAACCCAATTGTATTAGCTTTTGGATAAGAAATGATTACATCCATAAAAATTTTTTAGAATTATAAAGAGTTTTATTTAACAAAAAAATTATGATGTAATTGTAGGAAAGAGTATTAAGCACATGAAGTATTGCTTAGATATAATTATGCCGCACTCACAACTATTATTTTCGACTGCTCAAGTTTGCTAGTAAGAACTATTTATCACAGATTCATGAAGAGATGAAGTGAAATTAACAACATCGATCGAATATATCAAAAAGATGATATGAGGTTTCATGAAATAAACCACTAAATTATTCTGAAATAATCATCTTTGTCAATAAAATCTTAATAACCAATTTTGTTTACATCGGTAATTTGGTAGATGGCAGGGAATCAAAAATGCTGAATTTTTGTCAAGGCTTTATTATTCACTAATCGAGATAGGCGTCAATAGCGACCATATATAATTACTACTTCTGGTTGAAATTATTTAACAAATTTCTGTTCTGCAAAGTTTTATTCAATCTTACCAACAAGAATTGAAGAATGATTTTTAACGCAAGGAACGATATGTTCTGCATTATTCATTTTCAATTCTTTTCAGACAATTAGAACCAGCACTATTCATCAAGTTCAATTTCTTGGTTTTCATTTGATTATAAGGGAAATAATATTATTTTCCAGCAAATTGCTTTCTTTTTCAGTTTTTTTTTTTTAAAAAAAAATTTTCTTGAGAGTCTTTTAAGTTACAAAATTTAGGAGGTATTTTCGAGTCACAATATTTTCGTTCCAACGAGAAGAATCGGATGAGGCTTAAGATTCAAAACTTTTTTCAGTGATTGTAAAATCATTTCAAGAAATACTTTTCACTGAGCAAAAACCCCATTTCATCACTTTAATCTACAATTTGCATGAATAAAGCAAGCATATAAATTGCAAAGGATAACAAACAGCTGCATTCCTTCTTCGATCGCTTATTTTCTCAGTTGCTTTCGCGTTTTTGGATTTGAAAATTGTAAATATAAATGATTTTGGATTACTAATTGCAGAATATTTCATTTATAAGAATCTTCAATCTTTAATATGTCCATATTATTTGTCAACAAGTAACAAGAGTATTAAGGCAAATCACTACTATCTGAATGGCTGAAAAAGATAAGACCGAAACTGAATTATCAAATTCATCTGCCAGTAGTACTGTCAGCAAAATAAGTATGAGCAGCCGGAATTCAACAGCATATATGAATGAACTTGAAGAACAATCTGATCACTTATCAGAAAGAGCATTACAAAGTTCTGTAGTCGACATCGTCGTCACAATTCAAAATAACTTCTTCAAAAAAGGAAAACCGCTGAAAATATGGCATCAATATCTGCTCAATAAAATCCTTTACAACAAAAATTATGTTTACGTGGATAAGGTATTCTGTTTCGTAGAAAGCAAAACAACGGTTAGAAGAGAACAGGTTTGTCCTTTAGATAGAGCATTATCAGATAAGGTAGGATACATATATATATATATATATATATATATATATATATATATATATATATATATATATATATATATATATATATATATGATAATATGAGAGAACTTCAATTGAGCCAGCTATCATCTCGTACCCTAGTCAGTAAGATAATATTTTACTTAATATTTTATCAAGATAATATTTTGATAGGATTTGATGTAATCTGCCAGTTTTCCATGAAAAACATTAATTTGCAGATATTCTATGCAATAATATTACTGCTAATTGCATTTGTCCTGCTAGAGAATTTTGATCCATTACTATGCAGCATAGTTAGCTGTCTTTATCCTGCATACGAAACTACCAGGGTTTGTCTATCAAAATTTCCTTTGATTTTTAATTTATCCAAGATCAATTATGGGACATATCAGGTATCAAAGGTCTCCGTAGACTATAATTTTTCTCATACATTTTATTCAGCAATCTTCCTACTCCCACAAATTTTTCTCTATTTGGAAAAAAGTCAAATCAGAAGACTGATGAAGAAGTAATGAAAGAGATGACATCATGAAACTTATGAAACTTGCAACAAAGTTGCTTTGTTGAAAAACAATCGAAATTTCATAAGCTGAGATATAATTAAAGACAGCTTTATGAGGATTTATGTTTTCTAACATTTTTAATAAAATTTCTTGACAAAAATCACTTTTCTCTTCTTTATTTAAGCAATTTTTGAAGTTTTGCAGTCTTTAACCGTTCACAAGAATAAAGCACGCAAACAACGTGAGCATTGGCTTATCTACTGGATTGTATTCTCGTTTTTTACGCTTCAAGATTACTATACGGAGTGGTTAACAAAAATTTTCTCGCCACTTCTTTTACTGAAGGTTGCAATTAATCTAATAACGAAACTAATAGCAGAGATTCATTTTATACTTTTTTTTTTGAAAATTTTTTAGCTTTCGTTTTGAAGTTTAACAAGCATAATAAGTTTTCGAAAATTTTTCAATTTTTTTTTTTCATATGTAATATTACTTTATTTAGATGTTATTTTTAATGCTTCTAGCATTACCGCAAACGGGGATGGCTAAGTTGTGTTATCACAACGTCGTAGTTCCCGTATTTTCCATTATCAACGATGCCTTCATTAAGTATAATCGGGTATGTTTCTAATTACTGAAAGAACCGATAAAAAGGATGCGTAAGGCTCTATTTAAACTAATTAGCATAAAAAAGACATATAAGTTTGAGAGTGATACTTCTTTGCAAGACAGAATTACCTTTTTTATGGTAGCTGTAACTAATACTGAGAAAAGCCGAATAGATTTTAAAGATTTGTACAAATGTTTATTCAGCGAAACTGCGATATCGAAGGTATCACAGGAAATGCTTCAGAAATTGAAGAGAACGAAAAGTAAAAAGACATCCCACTTTTTAGAAATCCTTCCTTTGTTGTAACTCTGATCCTAGCTTAAATGTCGAGCTTTTACAAACAGTTCTTAGAAAATAGTAATTAACAAGATTTCGTTGATTTTCCATTATTTTAGTGGAATATAAGTAAAATAGGAAGATTGTGACCAAAACTTTCTAAGCAAACCTACCGCATTTAAAAAGTAGTTCAGATCAATTCCGAGCGCACATGAAAAAGCACTTCATCATAATTTGAGATGAGTTAAAGGTTCATGGCATGCGAAAACTACTTGCGCTCACATTTGTAATCGTTTGCACACTGTAAACTTCAAACAAAGGCAAAAATAATTTTAATACTTTCAAAACTTAAAATCTTATGTACAACAAATTTTCCCTCCTCACATTTCGATGTTATCCTATTAAGTATAATTCCATTGTTGTCACGGATGTCTCATGCAAAGCAGAATAAAAATACTACTGAAGTGTCGACACAATGTGTCACATGAAGCCTTTCGAAAGACATGAATAAAGGAAGAGATGTGTTTCGTTTGACACTTCAAGTTTCTCGTTTCCTATGAATGATAACTTTAAAGCATCGATGTTTGATTGTTTGACCTTTTGTTGAAATGAGCAGTGATGTGCACATTACTATTCATTGTATACATCTTGAGAGAAATCGTGTCCACGTGGGACGGAGTGTTGGTGGCTTAAATGAATCAATCTAACATCCCACAACATAACAGTTCTGTGTCACGCAAAATATGACGCAATTTCGAGACGTACTACTACGTCTCCTAACACATGCCAAATAACTTATTCCATTTTCACTTTCTTTTGGTTGTTCTCAAACATTTCTCACGGCTTCAGAAAAATTCCTCTGAGAAGAAAGAATGCTTCCCCTCACATCTCTTCCTTTATCTATATTTATATCTCTGTCACCTAGTTCCTCGCCTTAATTATATTCAGTGTCACACTCAATCTCCTCTACTCACGCATATCAATTCTAGTCCTTCCCAAAATTTTCCGTACAATTCCCCCGTTTTCTTTTTCAGAAAGAACAAATGCTATTAGAACTCTTCCCACGTTCTAATTCCTAATCGAAGTGAAAAGAACGTGTCATGACATCCGATGAATCATCATCCTTAGCATTTCATTCTCTTGTTGATTGCTTCGATATATATGTAATCATTCTTTTCTTACAGAAATGTTAGAAAAATATATTTTTTACAAAAATATATTTCAAAACTCTTTAACAGTGCCTTCCTCCAAGCAGATCTCTTCTAATAGCGCCATTAAATGAAAGACCAGTTTGATACATTCATTATTCTCAATTACTTATAAAAGGTAAGGGACGACTTATTAAAATAGTCTTTCATCTAAAGCGCCTACCACTTACCGCCTTCATAGCAGCCTGTTCTCTCGATCGACCGACCACTCCATTCAGGCATTCCACTGCCTGCTATTGCTGCACTGAGTGGTTGTGCAGAAGCTTTGCCTGCCACCTGTTGTAAGAGAGCGAAGACACAAGCAGAGAAATTATTTTAAAGAGATACGAAAGCAGAAAACAGCGGTGTGCTGTAATTTGAAATAAAACTGGACGGTGGTTTCATTTCCTAGTTTAATTACCTGCACTCTGCTACTGTTAGCTAAAATTGGCTGACTTCTGGTGGCATCAATGTCTCCTTGGTTCTGTTTATTTATGCTAATTACTGCTAATTGTGTACTACTGGCTGTGTTTGTTTCCACTTCTGATTGCGATAGTTTAAAGGACAACTTCTGCAGTAAAGAACGACAGAGGTTGAGCAGTAGTCGAAAAGAATTCATTAAATCAGTTTCTGCAGGAGAGGAAAGAGAGGGTGAAAATTTACACCCAGAAAGAGAGAAACAAATAAAATCCAGAAAAATGAAGATATTCGAGGATGCTACACGACTACTAACTCGCAACATAAGAAACGCAATGGCTTGGATGTCCGGTGCCGATTCGAATGTTGCTTTGGTCAATAATTTACAGAGTAATTGCTAATTTTTTCTTTAAAAGTAGGGAAATGCTATCTTAAATTTGTTTTCCGTTTTCGTACTTTATAATCTAATATTAATGCACCGGGAAAATTCATGATGATAAAGTAAGAATCAGTAGCGTCAATTGATTAACCTTTTAGGCAATAATTTATTCAAGGATAAGCGTGTAAGAGATGCTATGCTGAAGGTGGATCGAGCTGATTTCACAGCTATAACGCCGTACGGCGATCATCCCGTTTCAATCGGTTACGGCGCTACGATTAGTGCCCCGCATATGGTAATTGATTCTGTTTCGATTCCGGTTTTCCGTTGACTAAAGGAGAAGAAAAAACTTACGAATAAGTTTTTTTTTCTTTAAAAAAAAAAAAGTTTTCTGTGGTGTTAGTAGTAATTAATATATGAAGAAATTATTTTGTGAGAATAACCGGTGTTCTTTTTTGATATTCAATTTGAAATGTTTCTAAAAAGCAGTATTGATTCTGACAAAAAGTTTCAATAGTCAAAATGAATAAAAAAGCGAAATTTTAGCATGCGTCTTCACTAGAGCTTCTGAAGGATCATCTGAAAGAAGGGAATCGAGCGCTGGACGTAGGATCAGGTTCCGGTTACTTAACAGCCTGTATGGCGGTAATGGTTAGATTTCTCACAAATTTTCCAAAAAATAATTACAATAAGAGGCCACAATCATTTATGCGCTGTTTATAAATTGATGTGGCAGTTTTTTAGGTTGGTAAAACAGGAAAAGTAGTTGGCATAGATCATATTCAAGCTTTGGTGGATGATTCAAGGCGTAATATCATGAAACATCATGCAGATTTATTCACTAATCACCGCATAATTCTTGTACAAGGAGATGGTAGGAAAGGTTATGCAAAAGAAGCACCGTATAATGCTATTCATGTCGGAGCTGCTGCACCTGAAATCCCTGTTCAGGTCGTATTCATTTAAGTACTAAAACAACAGACAAAATGATTCAATTTTAATATATTTATTTTGGACTGAACTTTAAGTATTTTAAAGCCAAATTTTTTTTCTTTTTTTTTTGTTATGACTTCTGGGAACATTTCTACGTCCGAAAATGTAAAGTACCAAAAACATTTATTGATATATGCTTTCGATCTATATGTTACCTTGTAAATATCAGAAGAGATTATTTAAGGAGTTAGGAATTCATGAGCAAATAATGTCTCCATAACAAAAAAAGAAAAAAAAAACATGTGGTTTTGCAATATATAATGAAATTTGTTTCAGTTAGTAATATATATATATATATATATATATATATATATATATTACTATATATACAAATAATGAAACTTGTTTCATTCATTTCCTGCGAATTTTAACCCTTCTGAAACTGGCAATGTTTTGCACATAACTTTCTTCCAATAAACACACTATTACAGTTAATAGAGCAGCTTGCTAAAGGTGGAAGGATGCTGATTCCGGTCGGTCCTGAAGGTGGTCCTCAGCGGTTTGTACAGGTTGACAAGGATACTGACGGTAATGTAACGCAAAAAGACTTAATGGGTGTAATATATGTTCCTTTAACTGATCAACAGCACCAGCTTCATAACTGAACAGGTGAGTTAAACTTTTGCTCCATTAGAGAGATTCTTGTAGATACTAAGCCTTCCTTAGTTACAATTAAACAATAAGTGGACGAGTTAACAATTAATTGAAAAAAAAAAATGATTTTAATTCTGTATAAAATTTGTTGTAGAGAAGTTTCCCTTTATTTCTCAAGAACACTGCTTCTCATATGCCAACAGAATGTTTCCTTTCCAACAAGTTAATGTTAATGAATGTTCCCCATTCTTGTTGAGAATTATATATATATATATATATTTTAAGGTTATTTACATATGGGATCATTTTCCAAAAACATGAGAGCTCGAACTGCATTGTATATCGAAAGGAACCTACATTGGATAAGAAAGCGAGAGACAGACCAAAGTTGAGTTTTTAGTAAAAACTGAAAATTATCGTATGCGCGGGGTAGTTTTATTTTTGTTATTTAAATAGACCATTAGTTCTGATTCCTCTAGTAAGCCTAGAAGAATATTTTTAATCAAACTTATAAAATTTTCGAGGTATTTTCTAGTACCCTTCGATCTTCCTTTCCAAGGATGTTGAATCATAATAAGGCGTGCCATCAAAATCTGTTATATTCAAGGTTTACAACGAATGAATTAGCCAATATGCCTAATAATAATATGCCTTATCAGAACATTAAAAACTAAAGGCATCTAATTGTGAGCATACTACGCAAAATATCATAAAGAGATGGAAACAATCTGTCCTACTTTGTGGTTGCTGATATTGCCTGTGAAAGTTACTGGAGGTTATATCGAATAAAAATATAAAAAGTTTATTGTATACGGGCATTGCAGGATTCTGATTCAGGAGAAAGGCAAAATATTTTTATTACTGTTGTCACACAGTCATAACAGTTAACATAAACACAAAACAAAAGAAAATTCAATAAACATCGTCGGTTGTTAGTCAGTACAGCAATTATGTTGTACTCAGTTGATTTCGGACATACCACTGATTAGAATCTTCTAAAACAAATCAAAAACATACTGAAAAATCTAATCGAACTAACAAATAGATAAACTTACGAATATGAAACATTTACGAATGAAGATTCTTTCAGAATCATGAGTCTGAGCTACTGAAAGAGAGGAAAAAAAAAAAAAAAAAACAAACTTTCTCGATGACTTTGTGGGATGTCTGCTAACAAGATCCAGTAAATCTGATGGAACCGTTTGTTTGGCTTCTTTCAAAACACTGACAAGTTCGTTAACTATAGGTGCATCACTGCGTGTGCACAAGGTGTATGAAGTACCCTGACGAAAAAACAATGCAAAGATCATGTTGAAATTTTTTTATTAAAATCAAAGTAGTTTTTTTTTTTTATTAAAATCAAAAGTTGAATTTATCCACCTTCTGTACAACAAATTAAAAAGATTGTTTGCATGCGTTACCTGACTAGATTAAAATGTTAAAGAAAGGCATACAGTTTTATCATGGCGAGCAGTTCTTCCAATTCTGTGTATGTAATCTTCAATATTTTTCGGACAGTCGAAATTGATGACATATTTAATGTCATTTACGTCTGAAACAATCCTTTATAAACAAAACAGTCATTGCTTTGATTATCAAGATTTATGGAAGCTAACGAAACAAAAAACATTAATGCTTACCCAAACCGCGAGCAGCAACATCTGTTGCGACTAGAATCGAACATTCACCATTTTTAAAATCTAAAATATAGGAAAGATCTCCCAAACAAACCAGAAGTAGTCGATCATTCACTATGGCTGCATCAAAACATGGGTGTCTTGAAACATTCATGCTGCTAACCATTCAAACGAAGTAATCTATTCTCCTATTGATATCCGCTCATAGGTTTTAATAATAACGAAAAGAAAAAAATTTCCGAATCATGCTAAGGTGTGATAGAATTCAAATTAAAATCACTTTCATTTTACAAGAAATATTGAAATCACCGTTCATGACAAAATTTCGTTCTGTTTGAGACTTATCACCATGTAAGCTCAAAGCTGGATATCCTTTCTTGCGAATCAGTCGTGTTAACCAATCCGCTGTGCGTTTCATACCAACGAAAATCAATGTTTTGCAGTGTTGCTGAGCATATCAAAAAATATTATTTTCTATATAATGAGAAATAAATAGTAATGAGCTTCAGTAAGTAGTGCCAAGCCTCGAAACAACTGCAAAATTTTAAAAATAACCTCGCTTGACGTCCTATTTAAAAACTCTAACAGCTTTTCTTCTTTCTCATTTTCTTCAACAACCGTGACCAGTTGTATGATGTTACTGTTTGCGGCAAGTTTCAATGATCCAACATTAACGAATACGGGATCACTTAGAAAATCCTTCGCTAGAGTACGCACTTCCTTTGGCCATGTCGCTGAGAACATCAAAGTTTGTCGATCCGGCTAAAAAAGAATCTCTTTAACTGTACTTCAATAATTCACTTAAAATGTAAAATCAAACTACTCACTCTAATCATGGATACAATTCTACGTATCTGTGGTTCGAAACCCATGTCTAACATACGATCAGCTTCATCCAATACTAAATAAGTGCACCGATTTAGATTCAAAACACCAGCAATCAAGAAATCCAATAAACGACCTGGAGCTGCAGCCAAAATGTCTACTCCTGAAAAAAAAAAAAAAAAAAAAAAAAAAAAAACATTTTTCATACAAAACTACTAAATCATATCTTCCCAGAACAATATAATCCATAAATTCCAACTTTTGTTGTTGTGTATTTTAATAACTTTTTGCCTACTTTTTGTTGTGTACCTACTATTTTTATGACACATCAGTGCGTATAATGAGACAAAAAACATGTGCTTATGATACCCTGACAAAATATTTTCTTACAAGCTAATTAGCAAATATTTTACATATAATGAACTAACGAAACTTACCGAATTTTAAGTAAAACAAACCAACCTTCGCGTATAGTTCTAGCTTGCTGATCCCGTCCAGAACCACCATAAGCACATGCTACTTTAGAGTGAAAGTTCATCGCCATTGAGCTTATCTGTTGCACCAACTCTCTTGTTGGTGCTAAGATAAGCACTGCTGGACCTCGGACTTTTTCCGGCTGTTCTTGATTTTGCATATGTACAATCCCCGGTAAAGTATACTAAAATTTTGGACTTCTAGAAAACTTTATAGAAAAACTGAGGAAATAACGGTGAGAAAGCTTTCGTGTGCACAGAAATTTTTGAATATGAAAGAAAAACAGTAAAATCAATAGAAATACTTGTTCATTTGCCACACCAATTAATTTTCCAAAGATCTTAAAATCAATTTTCAGAAAAATATTCATTAAATAATACGCTGAATATTTTTCAAATCAGATTCATGAACTCACTGCTAAAGTTTTCCCCGAGCCTGTTCTAGCAATCGAAATCATATCATGTCCGGTCAACGCAACTGGCCAAGATATCGATTGTATTACAGTCGGTTTTTCAAAGCACGCTTTTTTGAGCTTCTCTATAATTGCTGGAGGAAAACCTGTCTCACTGAATTCGAAAATGGGGCGAGGAGAAGAATTTCCCTTTAACGTGACTTCATTATGCGTAAACCACTCAACTATTTCTTTCTGAAGATCAAAAATCAAATTTATTTTAAATTTAACCAAATGTGATTAAAATCCAGGAACAATAAATATTGCAATTTGGACACTTATGAACAGGAAAACAAGGAATGCGACTGTACACTGCTTGGGTAATGCCTGAAGAGGACTTCTGACCCTCTACCTGCGACCTTTATACAATGATTTCATTTTGGCATTTTATCGGCCCACATGTGGCATACACATCACACATGGTTCCTATATGCCACACAGTTAGTTACTCCACTGAAGAATTGAACTTTAATCTTTAGTTCCTGTCTGGTGCCCACTCACCACTACACCAAACAGACTCCTGTATTATTCATCTTGACTAAAATTTTCAATTAGAGTTCCGTTTTGCTTTAATGAACTGTAAGATGCTAAGCACACTGACGATGAAAAAAAAAGGTAACAGTGCATTTCAACAAAAATGATACCTCGCTTCTGTCTGTAACCGAAGGATTTTCCTTGTAAAGATTCTTCTGAATGGGTGGTAAATTGAGATGTTTATAATCGACTTTTGGCATTTCAACATCTTTATTCCATGATCCTTAAAATACAAGAAAATAAAAAAGTTGAAATGGAAAAACAGATGACAAATTAATTTTGATGAATCCTGCTTGTAACTACTTGCTGCATAATTACTTGTGGCAACCTGAATGCAAACGAGTATGCATATATAAAACACACACCTCCAGAGTTTCTATAACGATCCGATAAAACATTTCTTCGAGCCCATTGATCACGTGCTGTAAGTCTCTCATGCCGACGTTGAGTATCAAAAAATCGGTCCAAACCAATGTTACGAGATCGAAAAGTACCTGGTCGACCTCCTTCTTCTCGATTTACATCAATCCAACTAGAAGGCTTTCCACTGGTAACTCTGGAATAGTACATGGGTTAGTGCTGACACATCCACGGATAAATTTATTAGGGGAACATCACAAACATATTCCAGATACAGATAATAACTATACCGTAAATTAATTCTGGAACGACCACTTAAAGATCTGCAACAGCTTTAAAACGATTGTTCACTGCATGGTTTTTCCCAACTGTCCTTGCTCACTTAGAGCTATGTCACGAGAAGGAATATGCAGCGGTCACACCACTTTCCGGACTGCCTCTCGCCAGGTGTCAACGTAGGCCGGATTAATTTACGGTATGGCGGACCGAATACTCGCCCCATTATGTTGAGGACGTTCGATGTTCCGCCAGTGAGAGAAGGAACAGGCCACAGCAAGCTGTGGCCCAAACCTCCCCACACTACACACCGATCAGCACACACTAAAGGAATCGAACCCCAACTCTCCATACTCCAGAAACAACTCGTAACCAAATTAACTATCAAAGCCAACTCCTTTTCGTCCTTATTTAAACTATTTTATAATCGTTTCCTATTTTTTGTTTAAAATATTTGTTTGTTTAGACAGCAGAGAGAGAAAAAGAGTTTCGGTCTCAATTACCCTATTTTTAAATCTAAATGAAATGGAAAAGCGACCTGAAATCGGACTGTGGTTGTTGTGGGGATATCACATCATCTACATCCTTTCGTCGATCTTTTGAAGGTTTACTTGAAGCGATTACTTGAGAGGATGAGCAACGTGCTACCCACACTCTGCACAAGTCAACTTTCCTAATCTGTCGCAGCAAAAAACCACACATCGAATCACTGCTAAGTAATGACATCTTCTAGTTCACCCAGTTCACTCTGTCACCTAAATTCTGATACTGTCGTACGAACGTACTACAGTGGACATAGCACATTGGCATTAATGGTACCGCTCATACCTTAATGTTTTACTATGGTTCTACTGGTATATTGTAAGGGTAGGTTAGGATAAGTTAAGCCAGACAATGTCTGCACAGAAACTTAGCCTTGTTGCCCCTAAAGAGAACAGCATGTTAAGAAAAAAACCCCAACCCACCCCAACCCACAACCCAGCGCCTTAATTCATTACCTCGGCAGTAGGCCAAAGTTTAACAAAATGTGGGAATTTAAACCGTTATCGGAATGCAGCTTTGCCAACAAACGATATTGATTTTCGTTTACATGCACCGTGCAGCGTAAAACATTCCTTCATGTGCATGCAACGTAATTCGTTCGTTTATGTTATCCATAAATTCCGTTATTGGATAATTTATGCACCAGTGATCATTATCTGAGTCAGTGTGGCTTCATCGATCCATCTCAGTACTTTCTCCTGTTTGTGTTACTGGGGAAAACTGTCAAACTTTAAAACCATCAGACAATAATTATTTCTGTGGAAAACATATCAAGCTGCTGTTTATCAGTTACTTCCATGGTTTTAACTCTTCTTTATTGCTGACATAATATCAGTAGAATATAGCATTTGAAACCACTAATTATATTTTCCGATTCCATGATCCAAATTCCTTTTATTTGTACCTGTTATTGATAAGAACTTGAAATTTCTGTCGATATTTTCAAATAGGAAATAATTACGATGAAATTATTTCTCATCATATCTATTAACTATGACACGAATGTTGCAAGAAACATTTGTCACATCCTCTGATCTACAGTTAAGTCCTGGCCAAATTTATGTTTATATATTGACGTTATTTCATCATTTCATGTATAGAAAGTCTTTAGAAAGACTACGTTGTTTACAGTAAAGCATCTACGAGCCATCTTTAAGAAACGAAGGTCAGTCGTTGACACTAAGTCCGTTTCTGTTACAATCTGAGACACTCATATATTTTCTAGTATTTATATTATTATTTAAATATTTCACGATCCATGACTAAACGAGTTCACTTGTCCATTACACGATGGAAGTATGTTAAGGTACATCACGAATTTCCAACTGAGTGAACACTTGTGGTTTTCTTCTGAACTGTTCATTCTGAATGACTGCACTATAACCTGAGCTTCCGAATCAGCAATCGACAATTAATTTATAACCACTACTAACATTATTCTCATATAATTACTTAAGTTATGTCAGCTTGTAGTTTCAAGAGAGTAAATGTCAAATACAGGATAAGAAGTATGAAATTTAGTGCTGTGTGCCATAAGGTTTGTAAATTGTTTTGTAGATGGATGAAGCTGTCAAAGTTTTGAAGTGCTTTAGAATTATTTTCTCAAACTGTAAGACTAGAATTTTTCTGAGTTGTTTGTAATACTGATCATCAGTTTGTGTATAAAATGTTCCATAGATTTTTTTATTTTTTGCTTTAGTTATTGCAGTACGATTTGCACTTGTTTCCTTTCACATATTGAAATAAGAGGACATTCTTTTATGTGTTTTATGACATTTTATTTTATATGTTATAGTAATGGAAACAATGACGACGGTAACATCCACTGGTGGAAGTACAAAGGTTAATCATGCAGTTTTTGCATCACAATCAAATTTTTTGACTGAATCTCATCTTTGTTTTAATAAGGTATTGACCTTAATTTTATATCTCAAGATTGTAACTTGTTTTTGCGCTTTGTATCTGCAAAAAGAGGTATTGGAATAGTGTAAATGAAGTTGTGAGCAACTATAATTTCATCCTACTGCCCAAAGCTTTTCATAATTAAATCATTTTTGGATGGGCAAAAATTACATAAATTATGTTTATTCTCATTCCATGCAAGCATTTCACGCAAGCGTTTTTCCGTTATTTATGCCTTTTAATCGTTGAATTTTTATCCTTCACTTACTACATTTATATTGTGGGAGCACGGCAGAGTTTATATGTCTTCTATTTACCATAATAAAGTAATAATGAAGCAGAAATACTGACGTGATTTTTGAAGTTAACTAATAATCAGTGGGTAAACAGCTTTCCAGAAGAAGTATTTTGTTTTAGGACCAATTCAGTCGGACAGATTTTATTGTGGAACGATTTCTAAAATTGGCTAGACGACGAGCAAGTCTACAGCAAATCCATAACGATTTACGAGTTTATTTAAAAATTGTGCAAAATTCGATGATTGAACTCATCAATGATGATTATGCTGATTTTGTGAATTTGTCATCGAATCTTGTAGGCTTGAAGGAAACAATCGATAAACTGACTAAAGACATTGAAGTGATTTTTACCTTTCCAAAGAGAGATCAAATAACAAAGGAGCATTATTTTTTTATTATTACTGTCTTCTCTTATTTTGGAGAGAAAAGATTTAATAACAAGGTACACAATTGTTTATATTTTTAACTTGGTAGAAAACAAGTTTTTTCAAAAATGGTTTTTATTTATAGACGATATGGCATGATTTCTGTAGCAACACGGAGGCTGTGAAGCAGTCTGCTGAATTTGTTGCGCAGAAAACTACGGAACTCATTGAATGCAGAAAAGCACAATGTGAAATTCGTGGGCAGATTTTCTTGATAAAATCAATTGAACGATTAGCTGATAAAATTGCCAACTGTCCAAAAGAGATAGAACAATTTTGGTGAGTTATACCATATTTGGATTTTGCTTTTTTTGTAGTTGCCAAGGTGAAAATAAATACCAAAATATTGGCTGTGAGAATAATCCATTCATTTGTTATATCTGTGGACTTCTCTATTATTATTTGCAATGGAAATAACAAAACAGTTTATTGTTCACGATTTTTTGTTTCATAAATTTGATTGTTGTTTTCCTTACCAGCTTTTAAGAAACAAGTTTAAATATATGTTAACTCTATTGCAGTATCATTTTTTGACGATCATTTTAGTGTTTTCATTTGTATCTTTATAGTATATGTGAATTATCATACAGTTTTTGTCGCAATATTATACAAGGTTGTAATAATGTTTGCAGGTTACAAAATTTTGTTGACGCAGTCATTGATATAGTTTTATGGTTTGGTAAGGTAAACGTTGTCGATGATAAGGTTAGTTTTGTTTATTACAATTTTTCGTTTCTCTTTTTCTCAAGTTTCTTAATCTTTTGTTTTATGAATATTTATAGGTAGCGGCTGCTTATGATATTTGTTTGACTCATGTTGGTAGACTGACTGAGTATTGGCTAATACAAGATCTCAAAGGTGATTGTCGCTTCATCGAACAGATTCTTGGTATAATTACATTGAATAAGAGTACCGATTCAGCCGTTTCTTGTGTAATGACAGAAATTATTGCTGAATACATTGGAGAACCACGTAGCAACTTGGGAGATTTTTTGATTGAAGTATATGCAACAATTCGAAAGGTTGTTACAGTCCATTTTTTACTTGAAAGGAGTTTTGTAACTCGTCCAATAATAACATTAATTAAGATTTTCACTCGAAATAAATTCAAGTTGTGATTGTGGTCTTTCATTTGTAATTGAATAATTTTAGATAACTTAAACCTGTAATAAATAGATACTTTGCTATTTCATAGCTTCTGAAAGGTGAAACTGATTTGGTCATGAATTCAGCTTAGAGAAAATTGGATGCAAAAAATGGAGAATAGTGGCGCGTCGTTCGCAAATATTTCATCATTTCTCGATAAATGTCTCCTCACTTTTATTGTCTCATCTCTCGATCAGGTTGTTTTAATTGCTGTCGAATATTATTGCTGTCTTTTTTTATCTTTAGCTGATTATCTAGATTGGAATTTTGACGAAATGATAGCCTAATTTATTATGACTAGGATTTGTAAATATACTGAAGTGTTGTTCAGCGTATATGATCTTTTCAGTACTTTGGTTCTGTTGTTGTCCCAAGCGATAATCGTCTTTTTCATCGGTGCTATAAGACAACTTGTGATTTCATCGGTAATTGGCCTGATGCCGCCAAGTCATGTACTGTTCTACGGATGATACGTAATAGATTCAATTTGGTTGTATACTTCAAGCTGGAGACGCAGCAGTTTCTATCGCAGTTGAAGGATCAGCTTGATCCTTCCATTATTAAATTGATCACTAACGAGAAAAAAGAAGAATGGGAAGAAAAAATCTTTTATGATTTTTCGAAACTTGTTATCGACACTTTAGAAAGGATTTGGTCTGATGAAGTTTATCTTCCGACTTTAATTGATAAATTTTGGGATTTTACGCTTAAAGTCCTTGCCAAATATTTGGAATGGATCGAAGGAATTAAGAGGTGAGATTGTTTGATTAATATTTTAGATAACTTTGAAATCCCATAAAAGATGTAAGGACGGATTGTTTTTATCTGACCTTAGTACATGTAACACATTTTCAGTTATTACTGGATTGACAGGAAAGCGCCTGAAGATTTTGAAATTTGGCGCTTATTTTGTGCTCTTTATGCTGATTGTGTAACTGTTGATAATCGAACTTTTGGAATTGCGTTGTCATCAATTTGGCCAAAAATTCGTGAACATGAGGTACAAGAGTTTCCAACTTTTTTAGCGACTCATTTTAAGTGATTTGTAATTAATGGAATTCTAGTTGGATGTGACAATATTCGGGCAATGTTTATCGATTTTTTCAACTAAGATAGCTGAAAAGATTCAAGAATTTGAAAAAATTATTGTCGAAGATGCTGTTACATCGGTGGCAAAGGTGGGTTTCTTTTTTCTCAATTTATGATGCAATTTCTTTAGATTTCGTGCAAATTGTGAGACGCTTATGTACCAATGGCTGATTTTACCTTCAGTGTTCATTATTTGTTTAATGTGCACCATTTTAATTAGCCTATATAAGAATACTGTTACTTTACCTGAGAATATAATCTGCATGGTTTTCTTAGTCGCAACGACAGTAACATGCAGTTTGCACAATATCGTACCAACACTAATGATGCATTTCATTCTACAGAATTATCTTTAATGTTACATTATAAGCAATTTATCATTTTTTCATAATTTTTCATGATATAGGAACGAGGAAAGAATATTGATGATATATTTTTTATATGCAATTTCCAAACTATTACTTATAGTTGTAGTTGTAAAAAGCTGAATATAAAGTTGTTAATGGCATGCTTCAAATACGCCACATGCAATTTGCCAACAACTTACAACATAATTTTTCAGGTTTTAGATGGTGTTTGTGGAATTCCCCGCCAGTATCGCTGGACGAAAAAGCCTGCACCAGCCAATATATCGCCATATATCAGTGAAACGTCAGCTGCATTGAAATTATTCAAGGTTCATTCGAAACTATTTTTTTTTAATTTCCAAGGTATGGATTATTTAAAAGTAATTTCTTTAATTTCAGATTTCTTGGAAACATATATGGTTTTCTTGTTTTCAATTAATTTTCGTCAATATCAGAAAATTTTAGGATGAAATGAATCATTATTGTTGGAGTGAAGAAAATATTACATCTGTATACAAACAAATATTTGCTGAATCAATGGAGATATTTTCTGTTAAAGCGAAGCAGGTAGCTTTTATAGTTTTGTCTCTCCATGAAGTTCTTATTTAGCCAAGTTACGTTAAGCAGTTTTAATTACCAAAGATTGTAAGTTCTGCCATTTCTATTTCCCGAATTCGTCATTACGTCGCTTAAGTTATTACTTTATATTGATTATTTCTTATGATAGAGATTTTAATTAAATTAAAATTTTTAATTTAAAATTTTTCTGGTCATTAAAATTTTTCTGATGCAGCTTATTTAAATAGTTCTAGGTTTTGAAGTCTGTTGAGCAGACGGAGACAAGTTTGCAGCGTTTCAAGCGAAAATCAATGCCGGTAAATGAGAATAATGCCGATTCTGACGAAAACAAAATAAGGCGACAGTTATTGTTAGATTTGGACTATTTCAAAACATTAGCAGCATCTTGTCACACTGAAGTATTACATATCGACGAATTAATGTTGCGTGCAAATCCTTCAACAGAAACCATTCAAATCCCAAGCTTGATTCAATCTGTCCCTAGTACATTAGAGACTAGTACAGCTGATATTACGGAAGAAGTATGAAGAATTATTGTATTTGATTGCGATGCTTCCTATTTATTCTTGAATTTTTAATACAATCGATTGCGTAAATTTATTTATATTATTGTGGATATCATCGGAATGAACTGACTGTTTATATAAGCTTCTGCATTGTATAGTGACATGCAGGTATATTAAATTATTTGCATAAATCCTCTTTCCTCCATGTCTTCGGCCTTTAAATTCATTCAGGTTCCAGATATGAACTCGCATGGAATATATTTGAGCTCATTTTTATATGGAATTACCATGGCATACATTTTTTTTAACGTCTGTTCCATTAACTTTCATTCCATTAACTTTTTCTGTTCACTTATTAGATTATGTTAACGTTAGTCCTGACACTTTTTAGTTACTGAATAGTTTAAGATGGAATCAAAGTTTTGGGAAATTCGATTTCTTTTCTGGGGTTTCAAATTTTACAGATTTTATATTATTTTATCGTGTTATCTGTTTGCGTTAATTTATTCATTCGTTTTTTCCTTAATAATATGCAACTGTGATATTATTTTTTATATGATAAAAGGATAACAAATTGTTGTAATTGTCACAGTACCTTTTCCGTCATCCATTTGTTGAAATTTCAAAAACTATTTGAGCGAAATTAATGGCTAGTACTTATGAAATATAAGGAATTTCAGTGAATTCAGGAAGATGGTTTAAGTAATGCCCGTCTAACAAGGGACTGGTATGAGTTTAACGGGTATATCTCGATCTATGGTGTTTTTGCACTATTTTTCCATCTTTACTTGAAAGTGAAACACAACCTGTTCAATATTTTTGTAGGATGGTGCGTTCATGTGAAGCATTCGAAAAAATGAAAAAAATTTTTTTTAATAAAAAAAAGCATATGGCTAAAAGGGATTCGGAACGATTAAAAAAATTAGATGACGAGGTATGTATATACTTCTAGAGGGAGATTTATTTCAGTTTCGGACGATGAGTGCCACATGGGCAGATATACAGCGTTTGGCTGCTGATTTTCAACGATTACAGTTAACAGAAAGCTCAAAAAAGTAGGTTCTTTGGAATTTATTTGAGATTCTGAAAAAAGTATACTGAAAATGATGCCTGTCTCATATTAAAACCTGCTATTTCTTTTAAGACTATCAGAAAATAACTGCGTGGAGTTGATGTCGATATTAATCAACTCAAAAGCTATCGATATTCTGTTCACAACTGATGGCAAAGAGTATGTTACTCGTAGTCATTTATTGAATGAAGTGAAAAATGAATGTATCGGTCGAGGTATCTGTTTTGTTCATTTCTCATCTGACATTTAAGCTCTCGCTTGCAAATAAATGCCTTAAAAAATATAACCCTTATATTTTTTGCTGAGGAGTAGATGACTCGAACGATGAGAACATTGTTTATTTGTTTTAGAAGGTCGCGTTTCACTATATGATTTGGCGCATACTTTGAATGTCGATTATGAATACATTGAAAGTGCTGTGTCTGTCATCATAAAACAGTCATCGACTTTTATACTTTGCAACGCCGAACTGATTTCCAGATTTGTTTTTTCACTGCTTCGATAATATTTGTAGTACTTATTTATGAAGTTGGGATAGTTTTTCATTTCGGTTTAACAAGCAGAAGAAAGGTAATAGTTGATTTTCTTTGGAGCGAAATTCTTTTTAGTTGTTTCTTGACAAATATTGACTATTACGCTTAAAATAATCCTTTTTAGATGGTATAATTTGTGGTGCTTATTTGGTTTACCTGTATTTAGTCGTTTTTTTTTTTTTTTCAGGGGTTATATAGATGTGTTGTGCAAAAGTCTGAATGAACGATTAATGGACGATGGTATAGTTTCTATATCGCAGTTAGCAAAAACATGGGATTTGCCAGCTGAAATAGTGAATAGCTTAGTTCTGGTGGAAGTTGGCTCGAAGGTTGATGCAATACGTGATGGTGATGCACTTTATACTCGATCTTATTTATCTGCTCAACGAAATATCCTTAGAGCTATGCTTTGTGGATTAACCAAGTTTGTTGTAATGTTTTATTTGAAGTGTTGATGCAAGGTGAGAATCTGTTATTTTATTATGGTTTTTTAGAGTGACACCAATCACTAGACTGCAGGCTGAATTACAGTTAACAAATGCGATGTTTTGGTCACTTTTTGATGAGCTGGACACAATGAAAGAGGTTCTTTCACAAAAACCAGTTTTTTGAATTGTGTTGCATGAGAAGCTTTTGTATAATGTTTATGATTAGTTTAAAGAGCAAAAAACATTACTTAGTTGACTCCTCTGTTATAGCTATTTTATATTTATTGTATTTGTTAGCTTTTGAATTCTTTCATCAAATTTTCTAGTTTGATTTGAGAGCTGATCTTTTTAATTAAAAAAATTACTAATTGTTTGGGATATCAAAGTATTGCGCTAAAAATTTTTATATCTTCAAGAGCATAGTAGTCACTACTACGTGTCATTCATATAATTCAATAAATAATTCTTCAGATAATAATATGTTTTCTTTAATTCCTATTGCCCGCGGAATGCTAGAAACTCACTTAAATTTATTATTGTATAATTCTTATTAAGCCGAAATGCTAGTTTTCAGGTTGCGGGAAAAATAGTTGGTATTCGTACTTCAAATCACTGTTTATATCATCCCAATATTTATACAGTTCTGGTTAAACAGTATATACTAAAGACATTTTTGCAAGAGGGAATGTTGAGTAATATTTTGATTTATTAACTGCATGCGTTTCGGGGTTTTTAAAATTAAGCTGACATATTTTACATTTTCTAAACACTATACAATTCACTTCCGTGCGGAAGATACATTTCAGAGTTAGCAGTGTTCAAAAAACTTTCCGTGGCAGAGCCAAAAGTTTATATGAAAGAATTATTGGAAAATACGGTGCATTCGAAATTAATATATTTCCCATCCGCTATTATGAGCATCAAACTTTGGGATGAAATTGAAGCAGCTGTGAAGGAGGAGGTTAGCTAGCACAAAATTTATTTGAGGAGCTAGTCAACATGCTCCTATAAATTCCTGTTTTATATACAGTTTTATAGGGAAACATAGATGTATTACAATTTTAACTGTTATCAGTGTTTTAGATGAATTCTAAATCGGTTGTTGATGTCCGATTGCATATTCCAGAAACTGTTCAAAGTAAAACAGATATTGAACACGCAGTCTCTTCTTTAATAAAAAATAACGAGGTTTGTAATGAATAATGTTTGATTGAACTATTTCTACATATATTTCATATTTCCTTTCTGGCAGGAAGTTCGTGTTTCATTGTCTCGTGTTTTTCGTTTTTAAAGGATTGGTTATTTGTGTCTGGTACTTCTTATCTCTATAACCGCCAGCTTCACAGATATGCAATGATAGCTTTGGATAACTTGATCAATACACGAGCTGAAGAAATCACTTCCACTTGGGGTAAACAAAAACCTTCCAAAAAGTCGGAAAAGGTATATTGAAATATTTATGCGTATTTCACGCGTATATATTGTTTTATTCGCATTGTTCTTATTGTTAATAAATTTTGTTTGAAAAAAAAGTCACGAAATTTGCTTATAGAAGCAAGATGAAGACTGGGATATAGCGAAGAGCAAGAAAACTAGAGGTGGAAAAGGAAAAATAGTGAGACAGATTCTTTCTGAAGAGTCGACTTCAGGTATTCTGGTTCGATAATGAAGAAGATTAGGGATTAATTCAGTTCTTTTGTGTTTTCTTAATAGTTTCTGTCAGAGATGGCTAAAAAAAATTTTTTTTTCTTTAATGTGAGTTTAATGGTTCACAATGTTGATTGAACTTGTTCTTTCCCTTTTAAAAATTCTTTCAACATAAAATTTAGAGCTGCTAATTACATTATCAGAAGAGGAAATCATCAAGGAACTGAAAAGAACAAGTGATATACCAAATGAACTGCTGGAGGATATTACTGATCATATACGAACGAAAGCAGAAACTTTGTTGAAAACTCGAACGGAATTATTGTTGCACAATGTGTGGACCACATCCGTACAAGATCAAAAACGTGCTCATGCACAGTTACGGGAAACATTGTCTGCACTTTATGATAACATTTGTATTTTCGAATATGGTGCATCTACTTTTGAAGGTTATTTTTAAACATATTCGTAAATGTTTTTGAATTTATAATATTTTCATGTTCTTCATGTCTAATATGTAAATGCTCCATTCATATTAATGAATGAAAAACTTCAATGGTGTATTGATGTCTTCGAAAAGGAATTATTCTGCTATTCCAACGGTTCTTGTTAGTTAGCTTAAAAATTCTTGAAAAAAACTTTAATATACTATCTGGAATTATTTTTTATGAAAACAGTTCAGTTTTCGAGAAAGAAATGAATTCAGATACGGTGGCTGATAATCTCAAGACACATCTTCTTCGCACATTATGTACATGTTTTGCAAATAATGTGTTATCTTATATATCGAGAAAGCAAAATATTGATACTCTTAACGCAAAGGTATCGTATAATAATGTATGATTCATGTTATTGGTTTTGCAAGTTGTATTGAGGGAACAATCATTACCTTGACTGGAAACTGTTTAAAGTTAGCGAATACTTCAGTTACTAATTTTTCGTTCTGAGATTAATTTCACCTTGATAGTACATTTCTTGCTAGTGAACTTGACTGTCTGTTCGTTATTCTTATATTAACCAATTTTATAACTGAATCTCATTTGTTCATAAATTTAATGAATTTTATGTGCAACTGATATCACATTTTACGGGGAAGTCTGTTTTTTTTTTTTTCTAGCTTTTTATGTTTTAGGCTCGAAGTGAAACGATAGCAAATATTGAAAGTATGGAAAGTCGTATGGCCGTTGAGAAATTATTCGTAGCGTTATCAAAAAAGGATCTGGAAGCATTCCATGATGCAGTATTTGGGGTTTGTTCATCAGCCGTTTGCGCCTTAAATTTAAAAGTGCCTGACAAAAAACAACGGTTTGTGCTTTACTTTTCTTTGTTTTAAATTCTTAT